CCTCGCCATGATTACATGAGTTTTGAAAAAAATGCAGAAACTGAAAGGGAACTAACAAAGCTTCAATTTTTGTCGAAGTCGTTGGTCGCGAGTTCTTGACCTCTGCCCTGAGTGGCTAGTCTAACTGCTAGGGTTCTCCCTTATTTTAAGCATTACAGGTAAAATAAATTTTCAAACCGGTACAGCAGTCTTTTTACTTGTTGAATTTTCAAGAATTCCAAGCAATTTTAAACGGTATTAAGCGGTACTACAGGCGGTAAAGGTTACCGGTTACTGCCTGAAAAGGAGAACACTGGACTGCACAGGTTTTTAGCGCGCACGAATTTTCTAATTAGCACTATACATTAGAGGCGCATTTTGTTGTGGTAAACGCAAACGGCAAATTAACATCTAGTTTCTCTCTTTTTTCCTCCACGACAAAATACAGAAGGGCCTCTCAACGAGTAGGAAAGTTTTGCACAAAATGCAGAAAAACATACCTGCTTCCGTCCGTTGCCAGAAATGATACGTGATGTTGAGCTTGACAAGACGAGGAACGAAAAGAAGGCTTCCAAAGGAGAAACACTGTGGAAGGGCTAAAATTGCGACAAGAATTATCGTTGAAGCAGAATTTCTGGAAGCTTGTGAGGATTTCAAAAAGTGCGCCGTTTTAAAGCTTAGGCAAGCACGTGGGTTATTGAGCTCTTCCATGAATGGCTCGTCTAACTGCACGGGTTTTTAGCGCGCACGATTTTTCTAATTAGCACCATTCCTTAGAAGCACATTTCGTTATGGTAAACGAAAACGGCAAATTAACATCTGAGTTCTCTCATTTTCTTCTGAGACAAAATACAGAAGAGCCTTCGCAATGAGTACAAAAGTTTTGTACAAATGCAGAAACTGGAAGCGAAAAATAACAAAAGTTGCTCAGGGTTAGAAAACAAGAAAATGAATGCGGATGATCTAGACCCACCAAAGTAAAGCTGTTATTGTAAATAAGGTCAATGTAACCCCTACTCTCTTTTATTCAGATTATTTTTTGAGAGTGAAACTCCTCGCTTGGATTGAAAGGGAGAAGGTTCTTTTCTCCCTTCAATTTATCTGTGGATCGCTTCAAGATTTAATCCTGAGATGAAAACAACAAAGTCAGTCTTGATGTCAAAGTGTTATTTATTTCTTTAACATGGTTCAATTCTACCTGTTACCATTAACCCCCACTCCACCCCACCCGACCCCGACTAGGCCTGTCCTGATTGTGCTCATAAACTGCTGGAAAGTTGCTGTGTGGAATGCCAAAAATTGCTAAAAATTGCCAAAAATCCAACAAGTTGCTACCTAAGTTTCTAAAGTTGTTATCTCAGTTTCTTTATAATTTTTATGTTAACGTTAATTAAAAGCGGTATTTTTCATTCTTCACAATAATTTCTAACATCCGCAAAGAAGTGTAACTTGAAAGTTAGCTTTAAAAAGTTACCCACAAATGTGGGTAGATTTTAGTATACTCTAAAAAATAAAGAAATGAAGTTAACCTTTTTCGGGCGTCATTTTAGGTGATTATCGGTAATAATATTCACTGTAACTAAATGCCTGGCAGCCAGGCTCGGTTTAGAATGACTAGAGTAGACTAAATGCCTAAATTAATTTTTTGAATCGCTTGACATTTCTAAACAAACATCTGATATTCTTGAGAAGTTTGAAAGAACCTTGTCAAGCAATTAAAAGCATACTGGTCAAAATGTTTTGATCTATGTGCTTCTCCTTAGGTTTCTAGTTATTTACACTTTACTCCAACAACTCTGAACTACAAGCCATTATCTGGATGTTGAAAACTCTGATTAGATGATAGTGCTAATGTATCCAGTGAAAACAAGCTTTTCGTCTATTTATTGTGGCAATTAATTTTCCTTTTATTCTCAACTCCACTTACTAGGTAATTGAATTATTACTACACAGGATTGACAGATTTTAAGCAACTCTTTTCAGCAAACTTTATTTATCATGAATGGTATTAATATCCTGGCAGCCATGGTGGACCTCAGATTGATCTTATCCAGTATGAGTGTTCTTATTGTTGTTCATGACATGCTGACCCATGGAGACTTTTAACATGCAGCTGAATTACAGGAGGGTAAACAATGGCTGCTGCACTGAATCTTGCTGTGTGTGTACAAGCAGCTAAGCTGCTCCATTTATCTTGTACTTCATTGTAGCACTCTGTAGAATCAACAATTGACATGTATTCATTCATTCCATTCATTGCAAAAATCTTTCCACAGTGCACAGCTACTGACACACCTCCCCTACAATGCTTCAAAGGGGCAACCATTGACCATTCATTCATAGTTGGATCAAAACGTTCAACAGTATTCAATGAACCTCTCCTGCCATTAGCACCACCTACAGCATAAAGAAAACCAGACAATGACACTGCACCAAAATCATAACGACAACAATGCATAGGCTTCACTTCAGTCCATGTATTTGTGCTGCCATCATAATATTCCACATGTTTTAGATCCCCTCTGCTGTCATCAAATCCTCCAACTGCGTAGATATGAGTGTCAAGCACAGCAAGAGCAAAGCGACGTCTTTGACGATGCATACTAGCAACCACTTGCCATCCTTCCGCAAAGGGTGAATACCGCTCCACATAGCTGTTAGAAAAAAAAAAAGCTATGTTGCAAAAAAATTTACCATCACTGAAAAGATGATGTCAAGGTTAGTCATAACTGACTTCTTACTTTATGGTATTTTAACTTGATACCACTAAGGAAACAATTAAAAGTTTCGGTGAATGTAGAATTCAAAGATTCCAGGTTGGTAAAGTTTGGGAAGATATATGTATACATTTTTTTTTTTTGGGATACAGTAAACCTGTGGTTAATGTTAGGAACATTTCACAAAGCAGGTTTGGTACTTTTTATGCATACACAATCATCAAGCTATACTATGTGCTCCAAGGGTCTTTTTTTTCTTTTCAAACTCCCATGGGTGACCTGGGATAATCAAATGGTCTTCAGAAATAGAATATTAATCAAAAGAAGAATGGAATGGCACAAACAGTATGGAGAATATCCATACTGATGTCAGAGTGTTAAGGGTGAATACTCTCAGATTTTCTAAAGGAAAATGACAGAGTTTAAAATAGCAAATAAGAAGAATTTATCTCAATTTAACTTTAGATAACAAAACTCAGTGATTAAAATGGTCAGTACAAAATGCAGACAGCAGAATGCAGACCAAGTACAAAATGCATACTGAGAATTTAAACATTTCATCTTAAACATGTCATCTAATAACTTACCGCATGTCAGGTAATCGCCACTCCATGATCATCTTTCATGATCATTTGCACTATTGTGGAATATTCCTAACCTATTTCCTGATATATTTTTTGTTATTAACAAAGTGGCCATAGTTGTTCTAACAAAGTGGCCACAGTTGTTCTTAATAGGATTTCAAGCCTTAATATAGTCTTCTCACTTTGCATGCAGCATGTCAGTATTGATTAATTAGCATATGCAACATCAGAGAAACAATTGACAGTTTTATAGGTGGTCCATACTCTTCATCTTTTCAATTGTTTATTTTGTTGAAAAATGAGGACTGAGACTAAAACTGTTCCTTCAGTGATTGGCTATTTGTTTACTTTTCCGGTGGTTTTATCTCTCATCTGTTTGGTGACTACACAAATACTAATATGTGTTATCATATATCAGGTGAAAAAAGAGTTTCAATTCTCAGTCTGCATTTTATGCCCAGTCTGCAGTCTGCATTTTGTACAGACCACTGATGAAAACATTACAGCTTAAAACATGACCTCCCCACAAAATTGCGTTCAAACATAACTCCCCTTACCTGCATGTCAGCAGACCTTCACTGGATCCTCCAGCCACGTAAATAAAGCCGTCGAGTACTGCAGCACGCACATCACCTTGACACTTGCTCATTGGCTGTAAACTGACCCAGCCATTCTGTGCTGGATCATAACACTCCATGGAGTTCAGCTTCCTTCCACGACGATAACCTCCTATAACATACAACTTACCCTCTAAAGTAGCCACAGTGAATGATGCTCGTGCTTCAGTCATAGACTTCACTCCCTCCCATTGTGTACTCTCTGGATTAAATCTTTCAACAGTCTTTACTTCTTTCATGAATGATGTTTCTCCTCCAAGTATGTACACAGTTTCAGCATATGAGTCTCTCATTTTCATCCCAGCATGCTCAAAATGAAATGTTGCTGCTTCCTCAACTATGTCCCTGCTAAAAACATCATGTTTCACCAAATCATGTCCACTCACATGTTTCTGAAGATTTTTCACAGGAATAAAAGGCAGCCTCATTGCCTTTAAAAATTCAGCAAGGTGTTGCTTCCTGCTCACAGTGTTGTATTCAATCCATCCCATGCATGCTTTAAATATTTCTATTTCATCAGACACATTCACATCATCTCTCTTCACTAACTCAAGCACTTCATTAAGGTTGAGATTATGAAAATCTTCAGTTTGAGAGACTTTCAGAAAGTTCTCAGTAACAAAACGTGTGGCAGCTTCATACATGGCCTTGCAGGAATGTCTTTCAGCAAGTGCTCGTACACCCAGACAGTTTGTGATGTCTATTTGCTGCATGATAAAGTGAATGCAAGAGTCTTTAACCCATTTGAACTGAAGCAGATCTGCAGCCAGAAATAGATTTTGAACTCTGGAGTCAGTGATTGTGAGTTGTGATGTGTAGGCAAAGTTTATGAGAGTTTCTGCTGACACAAAATCAATCCCCTTGATCTCCACCTTCAATAGAAATGGATAAATTAAATTTGCAGCCAAGAGTATTCTGTGTTGATTTTAGATTGTCTGCTACAATACATTATCTATGTTTATAGTTTATGATCATTTAACTTTGTCATTATACTGTAACATTACCCGTACACACTTGAAGCTAAATGTATTGGAAACTTCTTCATAATCTCGGTGGTTGCTAGGATACAGGAGTATCCCCGCCAGCTATTAATTAATTTTTTTGTCTGATATCACAAAACAAGACTTCAGGCTATTAACAATATGCTCATGTCTTGTTCTTAGTAAAATTTTCCCACAAACACACCGTCTGAGATGAAAAGTTGATGGAGATGTGTTGACCAACCTTATACACACAAATCACCCCAAGCAACAATTAGCCATTAAAATCAAATTTTAGCCTTACCGTCGCCTGATTTCTTTCACTCATCTTAGCTGTAAACATGGCGTTGAAGTATTGACTAGACGCCGCCAACACAGCTCTGTGAGCCTGGATGGCTCTTCCCTCCACCACAAGTGTAACATCACAAAGTTCTTCTCTTTCCCGCAGATCGTGAAGCCTGGATAAGACGCAGCCAGCGTGATGTTGATGAAGAAATGTTTGAATTTCCCCTCCGTCATCTTCTATGTCTTCGTTCATGTCTGTGTCGTGTTTTCCAACGCTTTCAAAAACACCTGTCTGTGTTGTACAGCAGATTAAACCGCGGGCTCTCAGGAAAGTGTTTTCTATACCTTTCCGAATCTTCTGGAAATATGTGTCAAATTATTTTAAACAAGTAACGTGCCAACAATTTAAGACATTCAATAAGGCATTATATACGACAAATTGGATAGATAACGGATAAATTTAACGAAAACTTAGCACAAAGAAAACTCCTTTTAACCCACAATCCACTGCTTGATTTTTGCAGCTCAGTGACGTCATAACCAGATACTCAAAGTACTATCGCAGCAGACGAGTTTTCCTTTTTGATCACAGAAGATTTTTGCGTTTTTAAGCACAAAATGGGAGCTGTATTAGGTGCATTAGGAAGCTGTGCTGCTTTCTCGTCGTGTGCCTCTTGTGCCAGTTCGTTAGCTCCAGTGGTAAGTAACTTCTAAGTCCGCCATGTTTTCCAGATGGTATAGTCTGATAGCTTGGTAGAAACCAAGATTTTCAGGACTGATGACCCTACTTTTACATCCTCAAAAGTTCACTACAGATTCTTCACTTACCCCCATTCTTCCTATGCAATTTAGAGGCTAATTACTTATACTTTTTAAATACGATTGCCTCGGCAATATTTGACAAATTATTGACTAAGCTCTTGTCGAAAAGTTATGACTATAGCTAATCGTACAGATGCATTCGTACATTTCACCATTAGGTGAGAGATATTGAGTCCGGAATGTCACAATTCAGCACGATTTTCCTTTTAGATAACTTGTAAAAAATTCCAAAGGGTTGACTTTCCATTTCTTTTTTGCTGAAAACTGTGTCGAATCCCTCCAGGCGGCGTGTTGTTGTGGCTCATCAGCTTGTTTTTGTTGCTGTGTTCGATGTCCGTCATGCAAAAACTCCACAGCATCCAGGATTGTTTACACAATAATTCTCTTCCTGGGAACAGTCTTGTCTGCCGTCATGCTTGCCCCTGGCATTGTTGAAAAATTGGAGAAAATTCCACGTTTCTGTGATCATGTTCCAGAGTCAAACTGTAATAGTCTGGTGGGATATTTGGCAGTGTATCGAGTGTGTTTTGCAATGGCAGCATTCTTCCTCTTAATGGCAGTCTTGATGTTTAAAGTCAAGAATAGCAGTGATCCCAGGGCCAAATTTCAAAATGGGTGAGTTAGTCAATCTAATACTTACAGTACTATTTTATACTTGTGATTTAAATGTATAATGTGCAATTAATTTCAAGGACAATGTCCAAGTAGGAGGAAATACTTGCTTGATATTACAACAATTAGCCATATTATCTACTAGAACTTTTTCTATCAAAGGGTTTCTAGGAGTTTGGTCATATTCCTTGTGGTATCTTTGATGATTATACTCAGGAGCACTCATTTTGTTCATGTGTGGTGTGACTGTTTCTAGCTTGTTTTCTGTTTAATTAACAAAAGTGAAAATTAGGGTTTCAGTGTTAACAAGGAAGTGATTATTTTCCTCTTTGGCAAGCTTAGACTATTAAGAACAGCTAACATCTGAATTTAAATCTTAGGATGGATCTTTCTTATTCTAATGTTTTTATTTCTCAGGTTCTGGCTTATCAAGACTGTTCTTGTTAACGCACTAATAGTCGCAGCATTTTACATTCCTAAAGGAAACTTTGGAGTTGGTAAATATCAGATAATGTAACCTTGTTTATACAGAGTTTGACTGTGACCACAAACACAACCTTTGTGACTTGTAGCTGGCAAGGTCACATAAAACCATCATTGATACACAGTAGAGTAGATTGGGCTGTAACAAGTGAATTTTAAGACATACTTTGTGTGAAACTGGCCTTTAAGTTTCTTCTACAGCTAACCTCTGCATCTTTCTAAGTATATAAACCAATTTCCAGCCAGATTTGATGTCAGCAGAGTTGTACAAATTCCTTTTCTATAAATCTCTGTGAATATGGCTGGTCATGTCTGTTGCTATATCTGTGATACTGGGTAAACTCTTTATCAGCAGACTCAAGAAAGCATTCCTTAGTATTTCAGCTTGGAGATCAGTGTAATAGTTTCAGAACTGTTGTTTGTAATTACACAGCTTTGTTGCAAAATTTTACAGGAAAAGAAAAGAGATGAAAACAAGTCACATTTTTTGATGAAATGTGTGTTTCTGTTGTTCTGAAAAAAACCAAACAAAACAAAGAAAAATATTTCCTTTAGAATCTTTTATGAGGTTGCCTCACTAATGCCCATTTATCGTTTCCTATTTAGGTTGAAACAAAATTTTCAAAATTTCAACATGTCATGACCTTGAGCCAAGGGTTTTCCTGTGCAGCCCTCCCACCTGGTCAATAAGTACATGTGATGTTTTGTGCAGGGTATCAGACAATCTTGGTTCAATCTTTGGTTTAACCCAAGTAGTTCACTTAACTCACAAACCTTTGACTTCTTCAGATGTGCAAATTTCACCTTTTCATGTTTTTTCAACTCAATTATTTATATTTACTGTACATATTTATTATACTCATTGTAAATATTTACCTATATGTGCATATTGAGCTGTGTTTGTTTAGGTCTGTTTTCTAAATGTCTATGGATGAATACTCGTTGTTCTGACTTTGTAAACTTTGTCTTTAGCATGGATGTATTTTGGAATGGTTGGTGGCTACCTGTTTATTTTGCTACAGTTGATCTTACTGATTGATTTTGCCCACAACTGGAGTGAATCTTGGTATGTAACAAGGACTTGACTTATTGAAAATGAACAGAAATACTATCAGTGTCTTCAGTCCTACTATTAAATTTAATTTAAGATTTACTGACTGATATAATGCATGTGTCAAACTACTTAAAACTAGAATGTTTTTGCAACTCCACTTGCTTCAAAAACTATGCCAATAGTTCTGTGTCACAAAAACTGTAATGAAAGGATGATTGTACATGAATGAGACAGTCAAAGTCTTTGTTCTACGTGCTGACAAGTTAAATTGCATGACCAGTTATGTTTGGCTGTTTGTTTCCATCAGAGTTTGGCAAGGCAAAAAATTGGTAATGAGGCTTTAAACTGCAAAAATTTCATGAAATTCTAGTCGAGTTTCAACAATAAATTAATCAAATTGTCATGTTGAAGTGTCCTCATTGGAGGGCAGTACTATCACACCAACACCAGGATACTTAAGTGCCAATACATGCCTACCTTATCATGGGTCACCCAGGAGTTCAATTCTATTATTTTTCATTCTGCTTTCACTAGGATGGCCCTAGTTTATTAAAAATACAATGAAACCCTTGATGTTATTTGCTCAAAATTATAGTCTCCGCTTGGCAGTGCAAGTTTCCCAGCTTGCCTTTGATTATAAATTTAACATTAAGACTGAAGCAATTCATTTTGTTGATATTTAGGGTTGAGAAGTATGAGACAACAGGAAATAAAAGGTGGTACTGGGGTAAGTACACTTAAAGGGAGAATTCTGATCAAATAGGAAAAGTGCTTATTAATTCTTTTACAGGTCATCAATATTAATTTGTGTCTCATTTTGGTTGTAGCTCTCGTATTAGTCACCAGTGGGATATATGTTCTGGCAATTGGGGCTGTTGTTTGCTTTTTCTTGTTTTTCACAGAGGTATGTGGGAAAATCAATCAAGGTACTGCTTATCAATTAGTCTTGCTTTAATTGAAATGTACTAATACAGAAGATTTAAAGTATTTGTGTCACAAATCTTGTACTTGGAATTACGGAGTTTAAAATGAACCACTTGTAGTTTTAATTGTCATGAAACATGGAGGCTAGCCTTTATTGTTTACATGTATTTCTGTTTCCAGCCTTCAGGGTGCAAGAACAACAAGTTCTTTATCAGCTTAAACCTTGTGCTATGTTTCCTGGTCTCCATGGTTGCAATTCATCCCAAAGTTCAGGAATGTAAGTTAAGAACCACTCTCTGCCTTTAGAGATGTTATTGAGTTCAAGATGAAAGGAAAACCACAAGCAAGAGTAATTATCCCTAAGGCTTTAAAACATTTTGCTCTCAGTGGATTTAAAATAATATACTTGTAACTGATAGGTATTGTATCAAAACTGATTGATTTTTTTTTCCATCTATTTAAATAATGTGGGAAGACATCAAAGTCTTTCTTAGCAGAATTGGTTCCATCAATGTTAAGGTGGACAACAACATGTCTTATCATTTGATTGCTAATTTTTGGTTCTGTACCAGGTCAACCCAGTTCTGGTCTGTTACAGGCAGCCGTTATTACTTTGTACACTATGTATCTGACTTGGTCTGGCATGTCCAATGAACCTGGTATGGTGCTACTTGATAAATACTCAACAATTTTATTGATCTACTCTTCTTGCACAGTACATTTAACTCTTCCTGATCTTGACTTGAACAAACAATATATATGATGCCAAACATTGTGTGCTAGATGATATCAAATAACTTGTATTTTAACAATCAGTTTGTTTTCCCCTTGACACAATCAGCACATCCTATAATGGACACAGACAGGTTTGAGGCTAACACTTGATCTTCTGTTGTAATTCATGTTGTTACAATTGTCTTTTGTTGTTTTCCTAGATGGCATGTGTAACCCAAGTGGTTCACTTATCTCCAGTGATAATCTGGCACCTGGGCTAGGCAATGGGAGGACATTCATTGCTGCAGTGCTGATGTTTGTTATGGTTGTGTACTCTTGGTATGTAAGGAAGTTTACCATGACTTATGATTAATTAGTAGATTGTGAGCTCAAAATTTCTATTGTGTGATAGTTGATGAGGGCAAGGCCTGATTCAACAATTTCTAACAAAGAACAAGGGAATTATTTAATTTTTTTAGCATAAATTGTTAGTTTTGTTCCTTGCAATAAGGTTTAGTATAGCCCTGAGATTTAAATGTGACAAAGAATCATTTATTTAGTGTTTTTCTTAGTCTCGTTTGCTTGGAAAGATTGATGGAGTGCACTTTTTTAATCCAAACAATATTGAATTTTGTAACTTTTTGTTTGATTGTTTTTTTTAGTTTAAAAACAACCAGCTCAAACCCTCTCACAGCCAGTAGCAGCATGGAGGTTTGTGGGTTATGTTTTTAATTGTTTATTTTGGCTACTGGCTCCCATAGGAGGCAAAGCTACATAATATTATGTTATTGAAAGGAGCAAGTGACACTAATGATAGAATACCAAACTTCTTATGATTTGATCTGATGTCACTAATTGTTTGTTTGGAGGATCCAAAGAAAGAGGAGTGCCTTGTGAAACACATTATTTTATGCCCAAAAGACCCAGGTTCTAATTTTTTCAGTTGTTGATGTGACACTATAGAAGGTAAACAGAAGACAAGAAACATCTCACAATCATTTGAGGATGGCTTAAAATTTTGGACAAAACTTTTCCTTGCAGAAATATCTCGAGAGGTGTGATTGGCACATCATGTAGACATGCAGGAAATTTTTTTTTCCTCAGAAGAGAGAGCATTTTACCATTTGAATCAGCAAATTATGTCTAGTAGATCTGAAGATATAAGGACAATCATTTGAGGACAATCATCTCAAAATTATCACAGTGGCATCCACTGACCCGTAATTTAAATCAAAACTTTTGCTTGCATAAATGATCTGCTCATCAGGGAAAAGTTGAGGAATGTTTGTTGTCCGTGAAATGAGGGCATTTTACTGTTTGAATTACTGACTTATGCTCAAAAGAGCTGCCACATTTGGGAAGCAAGCAAGCTGCAAAAGATGATACTTTCAATTTACAAGGAGACCCTGTTCAATGGAATGAAAGAGTGGTGGAACAGCAGAATGGCAGAATATCTGAAAACAGAGAATGCCTTGTTGTATGAAACTAAAGTCTCACAAAAATGGAATGATTAACTGATGATTAACTCATTGTCATCGGATCTGGATGATATTTTGATTACTTTCTTTATATCAATCTTTTTAGGAGACACTTCTTCCAGATTACTCTCAAGGTTGGTGCTGAGCCATATTTTTCTTTTTGTTTGCTGTGTGGAAATAAAAATTAAGCATAGTGGATTGTTTTTAATGACACCTTTTAGAAAGGCTGAATCGACGCTAGACATATAGGAGGATGTAGGGTTTATTTCAGAATTAATCATTTGTAAATGAATGTAACTTTAGTTCATAGACACAACAACCAAGGCTGAGATGCCTACACATCAAATTAGTGGTATCCTCAGCCAGGTTGTGAGCTGTTTTTTCCTTTTCCACCAGGTTGTGAGCTGTTCTGTTTCCACCTTTTCTCTAAGTCCCTCAGGTTCTTTTTTGATTGAAATTCTCTACCTTTTCTTATTTCCTTCTATTTTCTCATAAGATGCGGAGAGTGGAAATGCTACAAATGATGAAAACAGGGTGAAAATCCAGCGTGTTTATGATGATGAGAGCACAGCTGTGACTTATAACTACAGTTTCTTTCACTTGACCTTCACCTTGGCCTCACTGTATATTATGATGACACTTACCAACTGGTACAGGTATGTACACCGTGTAATTTGTTTACATTATAAATCTGTGAGCTTTTCTCTTGTTTATTCAGTAACTAAGGTTAATACCTCCATCAGTTACATTGTTTATTATCTCTTCATTTTTCCTGTAATGTTTGTTCAGTCCTGAGGGTTCTGACTTCATTGCTATAGCCATAACACAGTTATGTAGTTTGTCATTTCTCTGATAATGATATTTTACTAAAAAAAAGGCAATGACTTCAATACCCTGTCTAAGGATGAGTTCAATCATTTTTCTTTTGATTCCTCTTTTTTCAGCCAAAAGCCTGACTGTTCACTCCATTGATTTATATATCTGTATTTTTTTCTCAGCCCAGAGGGTTCTGACTTTACCACCCTGACTAGTAACTGGGCCACTGTGTGGGTCAAAATCAGCTCCAGCTGGGCATGTCTTGCTCTTTATCTCTGGACTTTGCTAGCCCCAGTCTTGCTCCCAGACAGGGACTTTGGACATTAAACAACCCATGCTTTGGAGCAGACATCCACTGCAGCTTTGTAAAATTACAGTTAAATTTGGGTTTTCACTGAGAAAATTGACACTATTAATACTTGTGAAGTAATTTGAACAATACATGTGTTATATTCTCACTGTTTTGCTTCACAATTTATATTAACCCTTTTACTCCCAAGATCTCATTTGTAATTCTCCTTACTGTCTGCCATACAGTTCTTGGGATGTTAGTTTGAAGAGTTTGGTATTGGATCAAGTTTTAATCCCCTAGTTGGTATTTTTCTTTATTCTCAGTACTTTTCTGCAAGATATTGTATGAATATTGTAAAGAGAAATTCTGTCTTAATCACTCATGAGAGCTAAAGGGTTAAGGGAGTTATTAAAGCACACAATAAGTAAACTTCAAAGTACATAGATTTGCTTTCTAATCTGTTGTAGATAAATAAATTAAAAAATTATTGTTTAACATCACCTTTTTATTCATGTTTGATACTGCTTTTTGTTTTTGTTTTTTAATTTACAATTGATACAAGTAGTAGCATATACAGTGATATAGTGATGTACTGTTTAGCTGTGTGTGAAATGTCTGAAGATAAATTGAACTTCTTTAGGATAACAAAAGAATTTTGAATTCAAAGTTTCCTTCATCACTAAGGCTTGGATAGGTCATAAAGAAGATCTGCAAAACTCTTAGTTTTAATTAAGTTACTCTGTTTACATAAGCTTTTGATTAAGACTTGAGATACTTGATGTTCAGTACCTTTTATATTGATAGCGATCTGGGATATAGCTCACTCAAATATAAATGAAGGTTAAGCTTGGTTTGATAGTCACCTTGGTTACTTACTATTAACGCAGAAGGGCTTGAGATTTTGAATGAAGGCCAGGAGCGTTGAATCCTTGCGTAGGGAAAATTTGACTTTCATAGTCCTTCAATTAGTTTTTATTCTGTTTAGTTTTCTCAGTGGATGTGAGCAAGCTCAAAACCTTTTCCTTGTTCTGTAAACTAAAGTTCAGCTATAAAATGTCTACAAATGAATTGGTAAACAAGTTGGACTGATCAATGGGTAGTACCTGGTCTATTTTTAGACGCCTCTATATCTGAGTGGACTGTCCGTGAAGTTAATGTTTGACTAATTTTGGATTTGAAAAATGGAGCCATCTTGTAAGTTAAAGTGTTGTGGAATGAATTAAAGCTGTTAGCACCCATAGCGTTGTGAGATAGTGCTCTTAAAGACTGACGGTGCTGCTGTTTGTGTTGACGTTATTGTGAACTCTCTTACTGTTATCTTGCACTACTGCTCTTAAATCTCAGTATGTTCGCCATCTCTTATCCTCATAGGCTTGAATAGCACAGACCGCAAATTATCAAGTCTGTTTGGAATCAATTTAAATTTATTTTAAAAAGAAATGTTTTAAACGAGTATTGTCACCTTCTTGTGCTCAGGGAATAATGCATCGTTCAATACTAAACGTTTTGAAGAGTTGAAAAATAGATACCACTTTCATCTAAATCGCGTCAAGCATTTGAACGAGTTCCTTTCCCCTAGTTCTTCGCTCCCTTTACACTGGGTTAAGGCGGCAAAAAAAAGCTCATCAACGATATATTAAGAAGTTTTTCCTATAAACCTCTTTCAACAACGATTTGGAAGATCGACTTGAAATCACAACTTCTTTCAAATTGATTGTTTTTTTAAATCGTCTCGTTTTACATGATATGTATGTGAATAATTTAAGAACAAGAGGCTTTAGGTTTTACTGTAGACTATTAGAACATTCGATAGTACGAAATAAATTAGAATTGGTTTTAATTAGACCGCAGAATTTTTTGAAAGAGGAGCTTTCGGTGAAAATGAATATAAATTATTGGTAATATATTGGTTACAATATATACTTATGAAAGCGTCAGTCAAATCAGAAGTGCGCGCAACAGGCGTGAACAAATAGATAATTTGCCACATGCTGAGAAAGGAGTCACAGCTTCCATTGTCAGGAGAGTTGTCGACATTTAGTGGAGATAACACTTAAGGTAAGTACGTCTGATATCTTTAGGCCAAACAACAGTGTGAGTTACGGACGAAGTATTGTCATTTGAAAAGGAGATGGCAGATCACGGTAGTAATAATAATAAGATACAGTTTCTAGATACTCTGGATGGAAGAGGTATTAGTGTCCCAAATTTGACTGAATCACTCAGTCGTTAATCTGTTTTTTTTCCTCTTCAACAAAGACTTGGGAAAGTGGTTAAATTAGTGAAAGAGAAATCGTGATCCGCGTTCTTGGGCTTTTATACGGAAATCTCTTACTTGAGTCTTACAGTAAATGATATTTAATATGTCTGTTTTAATTCAGTCGGCGGTCCTTTCGGCGTTTTTATCAAACTTGGATGAACGGGAATCAAATGAATAGTTACAATTGTCTTAGTGTTTTGTTCCTCATCCATTTGGTGCCATGGAACGCAGGTGAGTATTTGTAAGAATTAGGTAGCCCATATTTTTCATAGGCTATACAGTACATTTTTCGATTAAGAGGTCCAAATCAAAGTAACCTCTGGCCAATCCAGAGAAAAAGATAACATCCCATGGAACCCCCTAAGAATTCGGTGTAAAAACAAGCAAAGATAACATCGGCACGGGAAACACCAAATAACTAAGTTGCGATAGGTTTTCATTTTACATCTGTTTGGTGGAGACAGGAATACTGCTTCTAGATCAATCAAAGAGGAGAGTAAGGCAAAACCAGAGCAGTCCCGGTTTACTGTCTATACTCTGGTGAAACTCGCTCTGATCAGAGGAACTCTTCCGCGTGTTAGCAATGTACTAACGCCTAACTCTCTGAAGACGGTGCATTACATAAGTGATCTCAACTCTGAAATCAGTTTATTTCCGGGGCCGCGATTGTAATGTATACCACTGCCCTGCCAGGTAGTTTCATACATTTTTTTCTCCATTGATGTAATGTACCGTGGCCTGTTTCAGCCGCTCAGAACATCAGCACCACAAGGCCTAGCACTAGTTCCCTTGGCCTTGTCGTCACTCCGCTTCCATGGCCGCATGGAACCGAGGATGTTACCACGATTGCCACAGTTACCATAGGTAATTCCACCCAAGCTCAAGAAAATTTAACAACAACAACTGCCCCTTCCACATCCAATCATTGTAAGTTTTCGTCGCGACTGGCATTTACATCTTTTTTCATTTTTTTTTTAATCTGTTCTTCGAATCCTTTAAACGGTTAATTTACACCTTTAAGTTAGGGTTCTTAATTTGTAGCAAGCTCTTGGACAACACCCCCTGTAGGCTGCTACCGAGACTCTTACGTAAAACCACGACCTCTTCCGGAACTTATTGCAAACTTCCGAGGCACTATCGATCGCAAAGATGTTAACAAGACCGTGATGGCATGTGCTGAGAAAGCCCGAGAGAGAGGCTTCAAAGTCTTTGGAATCCAGTACTACACGGAATGTTGGAGTGGTCCCGGGGGCGAGAAAACCTTCGGACGGGACGGTTCATCAGTGGACTGTGAAGATGGAGTCGGCAAATCTGGAGCCAACTTTGTTTACAGATTTGGGGATTATGGTTTGTGTGAAACTAAATTTTCTAATCATTTCTCGGTTTATCAGTATGATTCAGTGACCATTAATAATTGACTACTTTCCAGAATTGTCTTCTCGTCCAATCCGTGTACAGCCGCGCCGCCTGTGTTTCCCCGCCATTTCTCAAGTGACGATGGAGTCTGGTGCGAGCATCCCGATGAGTCATTTGAAAGTCGGGGACAAAGTGCAGACGCTGGGAACTAATGGAGAGAGCAAGTTCAGCGAGGTTATTACTTTTCTGCATAAGGAAATCGATGCTGAGGCACAATTTTACAACCTCAAAACCAAGACAGGAAACAGCATTAAGTTGTCCGCACATCATCTGATTTTCAGAAAGGAAACAAATACGTCATTTATATCCGCTGTTTTCGCCTCAGAAATTAAAATGGGAGATTTACTTATACTGAATGGAAGCGGCCCAATTTTCGACACAGTTACACAAATTACACATATGACAATGAAAGGTGTGTATGCCCCCTTAACAAGACAAGGCACTTTATTTGTTGATGGCGTATTGGTATCGTGTTATGCACACTGGCCTTCTCATGATGCTGCACATTTAGTTATGGCACCGATCAGAACAGCTGACCTGCTGAACAGAGCCTGGAAAAAACTGACCAGCTTAATCGTTTGGTTACCTGAGTGGCCGGGGAAAGATTCCTTAAAAGGAGTTCATTGGTACCCTTCCATTCTTATGTCACTGACGAACACCCTGATAATATAAAATCGCGTGAAGCTCTGCAGGTGTTCTATTATAGTGGATTTTCCAAGCCTCTTGGCGAGATGATAGTATAGGGCAAGTTTACTGCAGAAAGATAACGCTTTTACTGGGGAACGCTTTGAGAAACTTCCAGAAAAGAAGCAAATATACTAAGAATCAATTACCTCATATAAACAAAGCCTCAAATAGATTTAACGACTAATGAAACTTGGAATTGTAATTTTATTCGCTTGTTGCTTGAAATTGTCTAACAACTAACAACCTTGACATACATGGGCATTAGTATCTAATGCAATACTTGGATTTAAAAAATGTGAGCTTGTGAATTCTAAGAACCTCTGTTTTCAAGATCTTTTACTTTGTAGATTCTAACAAGCCAGTGTTCAGTGGTGTAAGCTTCCTCTAACACATCCAGCTCGAATTCCTACAAGCAAAAAAAAACAACAACAACAACAACAAAAAATTGATTTGTACAAGTCATGGAGTTTTATGGTTGTACCTGACAGTTATACATTAGGTGCTGTGCTTTATTACAGTCCAGTTATGTATAAGATATGTTTGCATGATTGGTTGCATGTTGCATAATCAGACATGGTATACAACCTATAACAGTCACGGCTGAGAAATTATCGTGCACAGTTTTAATACTGAAGCTAGAGACTGACATACCTTGTTTCCGATCTCCGCATTACGCACACGATCGTAACCAGTGGGTTTTCCTAAGCAAATAAAAAAGTCAACAAGATAAATGTAAACAGCAGTTAGGGTCTAACTCAGGTCACATAGAAGTTAAAATGAATAAATGGGCCAAGTGTCTAAATTAATTGTGGAGCTGCAGTATGAGCGTATTATGAGATAAATTTGGTTTTATTGACTGAGTTGACAATCACAAATAGTTTATAAAGCTGACGTTTCAAGCATGAGAACTTTGCCAGAGCAAATGATGAAGGGCTAATGCTCTAGAAACTCTTTATGGTGGTCAAGTTACTTTCACAACTCAGTTGATTCAACCAAACTAACATACATAATACAGTCAAGCTTTGCATTAGAGAGGGAGGGGTGGGTGGATAGGTACTTACCCTGCTCCGTGTAAACAGAACCAAACCGGTAGTAACACATCTTGTACATAAGACAGTTGAGCAAGACCTGGGAACCACCCCTGTCAACACGGAACTCTCCAGCAGGTGTATAGTAATCATGTTCCTTGATGTGCTGACCTTTCTCAGTGCTGCCTCCAATACGGACCATCCACAGGAACTTGTTGATATCTAAGACAAAAAAAACATCCCACAATCACTTATCAGGATCCAGTTGTTTGAAGAGTGTACAACACATATCCAAGCAGGGCCAAACTGATGCCAAAAAGGAATGAAATAAATTTTAGAATTCTCATGGCACTCAATGGATGAAAACTAAGGGGATTTTGTTGTGAAGACAAATCATTATCTGCACTCTTACCATCTGATGCATATCCAGTCAAACCACCAAAAATAACCAACACATAATTCACATCCAGTTCTCTCATGATCTCATATGCTCTGTCCTCACTTGATGCCATGGCCTGCAATGTTCCACAATAGTTTAACTGATCACTTTACATTAACTAGATGCCCTCACAAATGAGGCTACCACTTGAAAACCAAGGCCCTGTTAGGATGCCCAACTTTTCATAGGCTGGACTAGATTCGAATTTGGACCACCCCAACCTCAAAAAGAAAGGCTGTTGTTTCAGAAACTAAACTCAATTAGCCATCAAAGCCCTTTCCCTGAAAAAGAGTGCAGGATATGTGTTTCTAAATATGTTTTAATAACAATAATCATAGATAAGGTTTGGCACATAGAAAGTTCAGAGCCAGAACAAAGTCATTCTGAACTCTAAATTCCTGGCTAAGCCAACTAGGAAGAACAGCTCAGTCATTGTTTTCAATTATTTAAATCAAAGTATGAGATTCAGCTCATGAAAAGTTCACCATTTAAACCTAACCTGGCATCAGTTCAAGATCAAGGTTTAAGTGTTGCCTTCAACTGACAGACCAAATGATGAGCACACAAGGACATCAGTTCACAAACTTAATTGAAGGCATTGATGTCGTCCACAAGCGAGACCTACAAACCACGCTCAACAGGATTATAGGTACTAGATATGGACTGGGATATTAACATACCTGCCCCACCCTGGAGATGTGTGTGTTGTTCCATGCATTATTGTTGGATTGGCTATAGGAGTGTTTTGAACATAACTGCCCCACCATGAAGAGACATGCGTTGTTCCATGTGTTATTGTCTACTAGTATAGTTCTATTGGCCATAAGAGTATTTTGAACATACCTGCCCCACCCTGGAGATGTGTGTGTTGTTCCATGTATTATTGTCTACTAATATAGTTCTATTGGCCATAGCAGTGATCTGATAACCGTAATCCCACCAAGACATCACCTTAGAATCCTGAAATAAACACAACAGCAGTATTACAAAATATATGATGCTGTTTTAATACCAGCAATACCATGACACAATCAAACCCTTGTTGCTACTATGGTTATCCAATTGACAACAAACTGAAAGGTAAACTACCTCTGGAGTGTTTTGTCTGAGCCAGTAGTAAGCCTCTCGGAAGTCATCAAAGATAACTCGGGAGCCGTCATGTTGTTTGGCTGAGAGTACAATTGACGGTGAAGAATAAGCTTCTGATGTGACCCAAGTACAATGGAATGTGTAGGTGATGAGTAGTAAAGACATGAGGCCCACCATTGCTGTAGCCACTTCATTCTTGATTGGATATGTTGGGTCAGTTTTCTTTGCAGTTTTACGGTCACGGCGGGAAACATCTAAATTCTTGATAATGAGAAGAAGTAGAATAAATGTGGAAAGCTTTCAAATACTTAACACAACAAAATGATTCAAAGTTAAAAAAAAACAAAACAAAACAAAAAAAAAAGAAGAAAAATTTAAGTGCTGCATGCTACTTTGGGCATTCACTGTATTTACCTTCATGTATGTTGTAAGGATTGTAGATACACTAATTCCTGAGAGAATGCAAGCTACTGGAGCCAACACCAACATTAGACGAACCATAACTCCCTGAAAAAAAAAACCAAAATAAAACATAAGGGATATTGAGAAAAACTCAGTGAAAAACAATGAAAATTAAGTAAAGACACAAACCTTGACAAGCACACTCACAGGAAGGTTTGACCATACTGTTCACAGGCTGAGTGTATCCAGTGGAATTTTAAAGAGTTCGAATTGCATGAGCAATATCAAATAGACATACATCTATGATTCCTTACAGATAAGCTGATAACAAATATATGTAAATATCTTATTGTACGTGTCAGGATGTCTCCACTTACGGCAAAGTAGATGCTTGTAACTCCATACATTATGATAAAGATGTTGGCATCAGTGAGTTTGAAGAAGCAATAGTAGAGTCCAACAGGAAACATGAACACCATGAGTTGCAAATCAAAGTAAAATGATGACCATGTTGTAGGTTGATGTTCAGAAACTGAGGCAATGATGGGAATGTTGTTCTTTGCATAAGATGGATCCAACAAGGAGTAAAACCTGCCAGTCCAGGGAGAGATTTTACCAGTGAAAGTGAGTATGCCACCAACAGTTGAGACACCGACTGCTGCAACAAGCACAACACTCTTGAACAACAGTTGAAAGTGTTCTTTAGGCATACGTGCACGAACATAGTCCACAAAGGCATGGATCTGGCACAGACCAAACACACCAAAGGCCTGCATGTAAAGAGCAAAAATATGTGGAATTAAAGGTGAATGTCAGCGCAGATAAAAGAAAACATAACCAAAAAATACTTACCGCCATGTGCTCACTGGATTGTACAGGCTGAAATCCAACAAATGAGATCTGCATGGACAAAATGGTTCCCAAACAGTAAACCTGAAATTGGAAAATATAATACAATGATCACTTTCATAGCATGAAAATTCTGATGTAAATAAATAAAAACTGCAAGGAAGGGGTTGGAAGTGGAGAATGTCATGACAGGCAAACAATGAAGATTCAGAGTGTAAATGTTTAATTTTTGACTCAAGATAAACATGAGGGTCAAAGATTGTTACAATAAGTCACCTGAAAATGGTGCTCCCTAAGAGGACTAAATTTTCCTACAACCTTGGAATATATGATAATGGCCATTTGAATGTGATATTCCTTAAGGAAATTGCTATACATTACTGAAAGTACTTACTGCACAGTAAGCAACATAGATCCTGTGTGAAAACCTGCCAGTGATCATCAAAGCCAAAACATGGAGGGGAATCAAGTTGATAAGAAACACATAGCCGCCCCAAGAGGAAACCTGAAAAATAGAAATTCAAAACAAAAGCTCAATCTACTGTGTTGTGATAATTAATGATATAATCTGTTGTAGGTTCTATGACTTTGTTTCCAGAAACAAGTAAGTGACTTGACTTCACACACATAAACTTCCTTTATTGCACATTAATAATGAAGTGAGGAGATAAATGATTATTATAAAAGTTGCATTTAATTCACTCACCATGTAGAAGTAAGCCAAAGCACACATGGTTGACCAGAACAGTGAGCCAGTCTTCACAGACTTAATCCACAATGCATAAGTAAGCAGCATGCAAAAGATGGCAATACCTTCATTATCATATGACCCAGCAACTGATCGAGAAATGTAACCTGAAAAGAAAACAATTTAAACAATTATCAAAACGAAAAAAAAAAAGTTCTGTGATGTTTCTTTGATTTTTAAGTGATCCCAAAGTTTAGAAGTTTCTTTAAAAAGCACAACAGAAACCATTGTACCTGGAACAATGGAGATCATAGCTGCTGCTACTAATCCTGCCCCAGCATCCTGTCAGTAAATACAAATATCAATTAAACTCTTGAAGAGATAGCTAAAAAAAAAAGCAGTAGGTGCTGACCCAATAAAAAGTAAACTCAAACATTGCAAGTTTTTTATCCTTTCCTTTAAAAGAAAAAAACTGAAATCATTGGAAAAGACATCTTCTTAATTCCCAACTCTAAATGACAAATTTAATTTTGATGTGACATGGAACATTTCTAAGTATAAAATAAAGGAAAATCATGTCATTTAAATGTTTGAGCGAGATATGCTGAAAAAAAAATTACTTAGTAGTGTTAATAAACAATAGTAAGACAAATGGAAAGTAAAAATGACAGGCCAGCTATACACAGTAGAACTACATACCTTGAGTTCTTTAGTCAAATGATAAGTGACCAGGGTGGTCAATGAAGAAAACAAAGGAGCCAGAAAAACACAAACATTTCTGATGTCAATTGTGACATGAAAGAAATTCATGAAGTGATACAAGACGGCCGATGTTACCATGAGTCCTGCGAGAATTAAAATAAATCTGTTCATTAAATCTTCTAGATATTTAAAGGCACCTTTGTCTACTAAATGCGATGTGTCTGATGGAATGTGGAAACAAAAGAGATAACATTTTGATAGGCCATATCACCTGGATATATAGTGCCACCAATTATTCTACCCAGTGGATACCATGCTCTGTCATCAAACCAGTTGTGAAATTTGTAAAATCCTTCCTCAGCTAAAAACCGTGTGGTTCTATAATTAAAGTAACTGCAAAACAAGAGCAGCAATTATTTATTAAGCCCAGACATTCTTGTCTATAAAATCAATCAGATCCTACAGACCCTTCTCAGTTTAAGTTCAATAAAAAAAGATCCAGTCCAAAATTTGTAAAAGGCTAGTCATGAACAAAAAAACAGCACATACAAATGACGCATATGTTACAAATGAAGAAATGGAAAACAATTAGAATAAAAATTATCCACATTAATGAAAAGAATCATTTTTATACATTTTTTCAACTGCCTGGAAATAAAAAACCAGTCTTCTCTAAAAAAAATAATTCAGGATTTAAACTTGTTTCTCAAAATTAATGTAATAATACTAAAGACGCATAAACATCACGATTATGAGGACAAAACCCCCTACAATTGCAGCTAAGCAAACAATCACCTCACTGTATCTACTACTTCTTTGTTTCGTGAATGAGTAGTTACGAAAAGATTATTGAAAAAAAGCTTACGGATCAAATTCGTGAATAACACTTTCAAACCGCAACACAGAGAACAACCTTGTGGAGAATGCTGTGGAAATGAAGAAAAAAAATCATGAACACAGGAGCACAACAAATCACATTTCAAGTTAGACCAATTTCTTGATTATCGAACGATCATGAGTGAAATTTCCATGATACCTTCCGTGGTTTATGACTGAAATAATATCTCGATAATTTAGATTTTGACAATCAGACAAACACATTCAATCTTGCGATCGGTTCGGCTTCAGGTAATGACTGACTGTCGAGTCTGAATTTTTTAAGCTTACATAAACTCAGCCAGCGTAACAATAACAGTCGTGTACCATTTGAATAAAGTAATTCTACAATATTTTCCCATAACATGACCCCTATACAATATTCGATCGAGGATCTAACAACAGCCAATAAACTGCACAACTAGGTAAACCGTATTGCATGACCAATCTTCGTACTCACACAAAACAGCACAAATGGACAATATGAGAAGTTTAAGTAAGGTGTCCTGCTTCTCGTACGATAACCGAGGCAGAAAAGATGGCACTTGGAAGCCGCTCTCTTGTAGCTTCATCTTATCCGTGAGTGTTAAAGGCTCAGGATAAAAGGAAAACTGCAAAGCAGAGTTCTTACAACTTGTAAAAAATTACAAATTGAAGGAGGCCACGTTGACCGAACTTTTGTTCACGAAATTCAATATGGCGGAGAGAAGGAACAGGAAGTCACGTGGGAATTTATACAGTCGATCCAGTTTCCCTCCTTCTCCACAAAGTCACGCAATAATTCTTAAGATTTATCCCTTTTTGCATTGTTGGCAGTTTCGTGTTTTTTTCTCGACAAGAAATGTCCTTTTCAATCAATGCTTGTCGTCAATAATATCAGAGGGACAGCATTATTTTTTCTCAAGTTAGCAGTAATATATATAATCTACACAATAAATTTGCTTTACTTTGTATCAAAGTTCTTATTCAGATTAACATAACATTCAAGCTGAAAAGTTAAAAAAAACATTGACTTCATGGCTCTTTTCATCTTTTCATTATTTAACCTAAATAAAGAAAACTTCGAAACCTTTTTGTCACGCTTTCTTATCCGGGACCTGTTCGCGCTAACCTCTTATTAGGCATGCTCTGATTGGATAAACAGCCTCCAAATTTGGATATAGATCGTTCTTCCAATTACAAAAATCGTTATATTAGAATAAACTCTTCAGCAGTGTTTTGGAAGCGTGTAGCTCTCGTGAGCACGAAGTTTGCACTGAAATTATTGTCCTTGTGTGAGTTTTTCCGGCGAGGAAATGAAATCGTCAAATAAAGACGATACTTCATCTTCCGAGCAAAGCGACGAGGATGCAGCCGTTTTTATTTATGATCGTAGAGCTGGCAGCAGGCCGGAAGAGAAGATCCAGTTAGGCGGCATATTCAATTTTAACACTTTCAAAGAAAAGACCCGAGTGGTAAGTTAAAGTTGTTGAACTCTTGAAGTTTTTTGAAAGTGTTCTATTGTTGTTGAAAGTCATTTTAATTACAGGCAACCTGTTACTATTTAAAAGATGTAAATTTATTTTACAGGCTTTCAATATCCTAGAAAACGAAACATTTGTGATAGTGACAACAAATCGACAGGAAATCCTGGATGACAAGACTTATGGTATGGCAACACTAAACATCTTGAATGATGATTATGTGTTTCAGAAGTAAATTCAACTTTCTTTTTGAACTCGTTTTTAGAGGAACTTGGTGCCGTTGCATCTTGCTGTAAGATCAATTTTTTAAAATGTAACCTGACATTTGTTCATACCTCTTTCCGCTAACTTTTGTCATTTGACAGAAGAGTTGGTTGATGGTAATGAAACACTGTATATCTTGACATCGTCCAACCAAGAACTGAGTGCTCCAACGGAGGAGAAGGTGGAATATATCCCTCATTATGACACTTTGGTCAAAAGTGGCATGTATGAATATTATGCTAGCGAAGGACAAAACCCATTACGTAAGTATAATCAAATTGTATTATTTAATTAGCAACTGTAGAATATATAAAAAACTCCTTTTCTATTCTTTTAGTCAGGGTTAGGGAATGACTCTACCTTCAATGCGACTTACATTTTTCTCATTATATCTTTCATAAATGTAATTATTGTTTTTATCAAGTATAGTGATAATAATAATGATACTAACCACAATAATTTTGATAATAATGATGATCACAATTATAGTACAGGCAGAGTTCAAACACTGACCCTGACCCTAAGCAATTACTGTTACCTTCGTTGGTAAATTTGGTTAGGGTCTTGGATAGAGAAAACAATGACAAAAACAATACATTGCCATTGGGAAAACAGATTTGTTTTACAATAGTATGGGGCTGAGCAGAAATTTTACCCCTTAGTTCTTTACAATCTAGCGATCTTTAGCTCATGATTTAAGAATTTCTTTTTTTTGGCCAAATGTGATGAAATGTAAATGTTTTTCTTTTATATTTTTTTTTGTTTTGTCTTTTTATTTGAGAAAAAGACATTGGTAAATGAGTTTGAGATACCAATGGTATTCTGGACTTAACTTGTTGTTTGCCTTTATTTCAGCATTTGCCTTTGCTGAACTTGTAGACAATGCAATGGCAGCTACTGCAGAAAATGATGGATCCAGAGAAATTGAAATTAGATTGGTATGGCTTTTAGCTTCTAGTATGATAATAAAAAATATGTTTTAAAGTTGTCTCAAGTTCCACCATGCTGTACAACTGTGTAATCTTTTTTTATGTTTTTTTTAATTTTCTATTTGATTTTAATAGTGATCCTTGCTTGCTTTCATGATGCTTTATTACACAATAAGATGCAAAACCAACACAAATACTAGGTGACTAGCATTTTCTGGCACCTCAGGCAATTCACTTGTTTTTAATTCATATCGTTTCCTGCTTTCACATCAGTGACACACTCAACAGTGCCTCACATGCCCCTATTATCTTCTTACCATATTTTGATATCATCAGTAATCTATTAGGTAATAGACACACAGCAACTTGGGATGTATTTGTTAATTTCTCACTTTATTTTCTCTTAGAATGGTTTAATGATACAGACATGTATTCCCTATCCTTTTTTTTCTTTTCTAGATGTTTGATGATTCCATTGGAAAAGCTGTAGTGTGTGTCCTTGATAATGGAGCTGGCATGACATCAAAAGAACTCAACAACTGGGCTATTTACAGGCTGTCAAAGTTCAATCGCCAGACTGGAAAGAAGGTGTAAGTGAACAATTCAATACAAAGCTCACTTCAGTTTCAATCACCAATACCTTTGGGTATTGTAACATGAACATTGTAAATCTTTGATATCTCAGTGTAGGAGATGTGCCAAGGTCTTTAAACAGTGATATTTCTTACTTTGGTGTTGGTGGAAAACAAGCCATATTCTTTATTGGAGATGCCACAAGGGTATGTACTTGATCATTTTACTACAATGTTGTCATTGTTGATGTGATAATAGAGATACAAATGTTATGTTAGGCTTAAAATTACTTCATATCTTGGAATGAGTGCAGTGGGTCAGGTCACAACAACTAAACTAAACTAAACCAGGCATTTCTGTAATGATTGCTATGATACCTTGAGATATGAAAGCAAGTTGATTATGTGAAATGTAGTTTCCTAGATAATCAAGGATGATAATTCTTGTTATTGTTGAACAATTGAAATTAATGCTACTGATGAATTAGTACAACTATTGATATGTGATAATAGGTACTAATGATTTATTTTTTAAAACATTGAACTGTACTTTTTCTCTTAAATACACAAGACAACTGTAATCTACATACTTAGCAGTTTCCATCCCATAGACATTTGATAACAGGTGTTGAAGGTGACTATTGGTTTGTACTTTCTTGTTACCTCGCATCCTCAGGATATAAAAATTTTGTTTTTCAGATGATTACTAAATCCAGAGACTGCAGTGATATTCATGAACTTTGTATTTCGCAAGCTGAATTTGAGAGAAGAGAAAAAAAGAAACAGTCCATCTATGGGGGAGCCATTCTCAACAGGAGGGTAAGTTAAACAGAAAGAATTCAAAAGCTCTCATACTGAAAAATGTTAAATTATATCTGTAAAATACTGAAAGAGGACTAACCATTTGCTCTTAAAAGCATGAATTAATATGATATTGTGAAATAAAATTCTTGTAGGCTGGAGATCACCAACACATTCCAGACGATGAAGAAAGTGTGAAGAAATTAGTAGAGGAAGAGGTTCAGAAGGAGAGTTTCACTGCAGTAGTTATAACAGGAATAGCTTCAGAACATATTCTTTATTTGAAGACACATTTCAAACAATGGTGCAGACAACTGGCGTAAGTAAAATATTTTAATGGATAATTAAATGGTTGGGATATAAGTTATATTTGATTCTACTGCTTTAGCTTGCACAGTTTTCATCTCATGATCACATGGTGAATCTTGTCATGTCTATAATATTCTAAAGGCACATATATCACTACTACATTCATGGTCCCCGTGGAAATGAGAAGCCTGTTGGAAGAGGAACCACTGCAAGTCCTTTCAGGAATATTGATATTCATGTAAGTTTGTTTGGGAATGTTTCTTATTTTTAACAGTTGCTCTTTTTAAACCATGGTGTTGGACTAAGTAAACCATTTTACTTGAAATACATTTTAATCTATTATGAGAGTAACAGATCATTGTTTGACACAGACTGAGATCCTGTAATGGACTGTCTTTTCCAGCCTTGCTCATGTTATTATAACTTGAAATAACAAAGTGGAATTAAGTCAAAATCCTGTAACCGTGCAAAAGCAAACTGAACAGAAACATATATCGGGTTACATTTCACTTAATAAAGTTTTAAACTTACTATGTTGTTATTTGCATTATGATATAAAAGATGTATTTGTTCAAAATAATAAATAATACTGAACAATGGAAAAATTTGAAGTTAACATATATTGGAACAAGTAATTAAGGCTGTTAGAATATAGCAGTTTAGAGGAAGACATTGATCAGAGCTTGATACCATTTACTATAGGTTTCTCTGATTGAAAGAGGTAAACAGGCCAAGAGAATGCAACTACGAGATATTGATGATGACATGCAGACCCAGTACATAAGGACAGCAGCTTCTGTGTTTGAATTCCGTGCTCGTGCTGAATCAGGAGGAGTGGTAGAAGGTGTGCTGCGCTATCATCCATTCCTTTATGACAGAGAAACATACCCGACTCTTGAAGGAGAAATTCCAGGTAAAATTTGCCAGTGAAGACCCATCAATATTTTGATACCGTTATCTTCAGTTGTTTACCTCTAACTGATACCAATATCCCTCTATCAAATTTAAGCTTAGTCTGTATCATTCCCTAAACAGTTGTTGACAATGCTGAAGAACTGGCTGATCCATTGGAAAAGGATAGCAGAGCACCCAGAGGAAGCCGTCCAATATTTGAGTGTTACTGGAATGGAAGGCTCATTCCATATACTAACATTGATGTGTAAGTTTTCCATTAACAATTTGATTAGCTGTCATAAAGTGACAAAGCAGTTACTCTTCTAATGCCTTTATTTTATTATCTTGGTTAGTCTTGAATGGTGCCAGCCTCCAAAGAAGTGGACAATTCCCTTGGAATGTTATCACAGGTGAGTATCTTAGAAGATTTTATGTTCTCTAGGTTATTTAATGAATTGCAGATTCTAAAACCAAGTATTGAGATCACTGTTATGGTGCTAGGATGTGAAAAAATATCAAGCATACAAATGCAATTGGAATACTACTATCATAAAGATTAAAACTTCTGAAATTCAATACAATTTCTTGTTTTTTCTGTTTTGTGTCTGTCTTCAGAATTGTATATTTAGTAATGATCCAATCCAAATATCCAAATATTTTAATATTATATAAAACTTAAAAGTTTTCATCAACTTTGCAGATTTTCCGGTTGTTTGTGGACAAATGATGCATTTCAAGTCAGCACAAACAAACTGACATTTATGGATTTAGAGGTCAAAATTAAAGACAAGAACACCATTTTCAGCAGGGTCATTCTAGGACAGGTATATTATAGATGAAGTTAAAATAATTTTGATATAATAACAGTCACTTGTTGATGAAATCGTTGCTACATTTCTGTTTTAAGGAGCAAAGAGTCAACATTTCAAGAGCATTTTATGATTGGGTCAGAGAATGTCATGAAAATCATGACAAACAGGTACATAAGAAAAGTATCTCTTATTTATTCACATGTTGTTGTTGTTTTTTAATTTATATATCTTGTTTTAAATCCACTGACCTCTAATTGTTAAATTTAGGTCAAGTTCTTAGGGTTTCAAGGTCAAATAAAACGTCCTGACCTGCCACAGAAGCGAAACCAAAGTCCTTGGTGTGTTTTTAATTCTATTGAGTGGGATGGAAAGATCTTTAAAGTTGGACAGCTGGTGAGTACCATGCTAAAGACCTGAATTTTTACACAAGAATTAGATATCCCTGCTCATACAGTAGCTCTTTTTAATGCACTTCCTAACAATGAGAAATAAACAAATTATGGTTACCATAAAATATGCATGTAATAAACATGTCCTACTATCATCACTTGAAAAATTTCAAAAGTGTTTTCATAGATCTGGAGGACACATATTTTACACTAGGTTCTTCCAGACTTTTGTTTCACTACTATTGGCTTGTGTTCAGCTCTCTTCCACTCAGAAAAATACCAGGAAGGAGCTACCAAACACAGGCCTTTTTTCAGAAACATAATTTACAATTTGTTCTTTGTTGTTGTACTCTAGCTACTAGGTACCTTCAGGTCAAAATGATTTTTCTATGTAATAAAAGTATGTAGAAATAATATTTTTCAAATGTTTTTCTTGACTAGATAAGGACACAAAGAACACTACCTTTGATTTGTGGGACAGTAAAGAGATTTCTTCTTTTTGGTGATCATGATGGAGATGTATTTGCTACTGGAGGAGAAATGGAAATAGTGCAGGTTTGTACTGTTTAAATGTTCAATATTGTCATACTTAATAACACATGATATGACACTGTCTGTGTTCCTTAACAGGAGCCAGTTTCTCTGTATGGTGACACCAAGTTCTTCTCACTGGCAAAGCTAGATCGAATGCTGAACCCTGCCTTGATCAAAAAGTTTATTGATGAGGAAGAAGCAAAGTAAGACTCAACACAAATAACTATCTCTCTTTACCATGAAAAATTTTACCTGCAACACTTCAAAATTACCATGAGAACTTTTTCACAAACTTTTAGAGAGTGCTCTTAACAATGAAGATGAACATTTGATCTGAATTTTGCATGCATTACTTTGATGAAATCTTCACAGTGATGTTCATTGTTTTCTTTGTATTGAAAATCTGAGACTCGTATTACTTATTCTTAGTGGAATAGAACCTAATCTCTGCTTGGCTGTCCCCCTGGAAAAAACTTTTAGTGTTAATTGGATCTTTGTTGTGTTATCCTCAGTGGGCAGATGTAAATTAGTGCTGGAAAAGTGAAGCACTTTGACCATGCACATTTGGGAACAGATTTAAACCTATGTATCAATCATCTATAGTTCCCCATCTGAATTTGGCTAAATCTTACTGCCAAGGAACTCTTTGTAGTCCAGCTTTGACAAATAACTCTGTGACCATTAAGTATACAAAATAATTGGCAGATTTAGAGGTTTCAACAAAATATTTTTCTTGAGCATGTTACTATAAAACTCTGCAACATCTTGACACAATGTTTCATTTAAGGTTACCAAGTAAACTGGTGTTAGAGTGGCCAGAGAACGACAAACTTGAACCTAACTCTAAGATACCAGCTGGAACCACCATAGGTATGAACATTGTTCTGATAACAGAGTGAATCATCATAGGTATGAATGCTGCCCTCAGGAAAACATGAATCAGTCATCATGTACCATAATCAATCTCAAGAGAGAATTTTGCTCAAGCAGGGTTTACAATAATTTGCTTCTTGCTGAATTCTTTAAAATTTTTAAAACTTCTCCTAACCCCCCCCCCCAATTATGCCAAAGAATTTTACTCCAGACACCACCATTCTATAAGCTACTTCATACAAGTAGTGTAATGAATTTGTATGTACAACTGTAATGTGCAGTCTACCAACAGCTGTTACTCTAGTTATAACTTGAAAACATAATTTGATTAAGAAATATATTTTCTGTGCTTCTAACTATTCAAACAGTTCTCCAAGAGAAGGTGAAAAAAAGTATATTGAATAACTAGTTTACTACTTGAGTTTCGTAAAGGGTAAAAAAGCTGATGTTTTGAGCATCAGCCCTTTGTCAGAGCAATTGACAATTATTCTGATGAAGGGTTACCACTCAAAATGTCAGCTTTTTTTATCCTTTACAGTGGCCAATTTACGTTTCAACTCAGTCGTTAACACTAAATTACCTGCCATACTCTCCCACCAAGGCAGCACCACAGTTTCTTTAGAAACTTACCCCCTTTACTACTTGAGTATGTCACAATTTCTTGTGTTTTTTTTTTATGGTAGAGATATTCAGATCATATGGTGTTTGGAGTATGTTTCTTTTTACAAAATCAGTCTTAATAAGTCTTTAAACATTTGACCTTTCTGTTTTTTTTAATGTTTTGAAAATAGTTCAGTCTCTAAGAGGGAGGCCTCCAGCTTTATCCACCTCAAGTGTACAAGTGCAGTAGTTATGTGTTGGAAATTTTTAAAACACTTTTTTGTCATCATTTGGACAGGTGCTATAAGGGTTGATATTCACAATGGTAGAGGAGAATCAGTCAACAAAGTGCCTGGTGACAGGAGAAGATTGTTGGTTGAACTAAAGGTCATCTGGCATGGTATGTAACTATGCTGAGTGACTGCCTCGAGGTCAGATATATTAGCTTAACCCTTTAACTCCCATGAGTGACCAAGACAGACTTCTCCTTACAATATAAATACAATATCATGCAGACAAGTGGTGAGAACTAATACAAATATCAGTCAGGGGATTATTAGTTGATCCAAGACCAAATTAACAAAACTAACATTACAAGACTTGTATAACAGACAGTAAGGAGAATTACTATTGAGATCTTGTGAGTAAAAGGATTAAGCTATGATGTCTTGCCAAGTCAAAAAATAGATTTATTGTCTTGCTAAGCCACAGATAGAGAAGTGCTTTTCATAATATTGGTATGGTTCTATAGGGAGACCGAGAGCAAGCTGCCTGGTCCATTTCACTCAAAATTAGTTCTCCTTTTCCCTGGCAGTGGGAAACATTGGGCTGTGAGCCTTCTCCACTCTGTTTTTTCCTTGCCAGGTCTATCTCATCTTCCAAGGAGATGTTTAGGGCCTTCCAGTATTCATAGGGGTCCTGGAAAACCTGGAAAGTCCTGGAACTTTATTTTGACATTTTCCAGGACTAGAAAGTCCAGTAAAAAGACTGCAGGTTCTTAACTCAAGCAATAAAGTTTTCATAGTTTATGTTATTAGAAATGTATTAATACTGTAAGTAGAGATGATTTTTTAAATCTTGGGAATGAAAGGTTTTAAGGTGAAATTTGGTGACCTGGAAGAATCAATATGGGTCTTGGAAAATTCCTGGAAAATTCTAGGAATAGTACTGGAAAATTACTAGAAAAGTCCTTAAGATTTGTTACTAAAAAATGGTATGAACCTTGTTCTTCAACTTTTCAATGGTCTGCCCCTTTTATGTTCCCTTGCACTGGTGGTTACCATTTTGTTACATGTTTAAGCGAAAAAAAAGGAGCAAGCAAATAATTATGTGAACAAGACATATCTTTTGTTTTAATTATCACTCACAAAATCTTCTTTTGACTTGTAGGTAATGACAAAGATGGTGATAAAGTGATAACCAACCATGTCTGCCAACATGGAGGAAAGAACTGGCCTTACTGGTTCAGAAAAATGGGTACTAACATCTTTTTATCTTTATCACTGATTCTAGAGTACACTCAGTATCTCCAGATGTTTAATAACATGTTACTAGTTGTCACTGAAATATTCAATTATGGTTACTTGTTCTTGCAGAGAATATTACACATTTAGGTCCTCATACTCTCCAACTTCAAGTGTTGTTGGGTGATACTTCAGCTGGTTCTTCAATCAAGAGTCTTCCTTGTCACGGAATCAAGTTCACTGTAACAGGTGAAGTGGCTCTCTTTCTTCTTTCTTGTTCTCTAACCTGAAGTATAGCAAGATTAATTGGTTAACCTTTGAACCTAGGAGTTAAAAAAACTCCATAGTGTGTGGCTGCCAGAGTTTAACTCAAAGATATTAGAGCTGGACCTATGCTTTTAAATTTAAAGAAAAAAGAAATAAGGTTTTGCTTGTATGATTTTGAGAAATATTTTTACTTCTCGAAAATGGCCATGTCTGTCTGTGACTGCAGTCTCAACTACAACAAAGGCATGTTTGATGGTGTCTTTGTTGGGAACTTAATTGTTAGTTTCTAACATTTGTGAATTGAGCTGTCAGCAATAAACTACTGCTTAGGCCAATTGAATGCCTGTCAAGCAATTTGTTTTTGGGTTTTCCCTTTGCTGTAGTAGAACGACAAAGCATGACAAAAGCACTATTTTAGATTAATTATTGTTTGCAGTTATATTCTCATTCATCTCAGCAGTGCCTTTCCAGCCTTGCCATACCAGCATTTAGTCCAGAATCATATTTCTTTTGCTAACATGGCTCTTTTGCTTATTAATATTATTTTTTAGAGGCTCACCCAAATAAATTTACAGTTGGAATGTTGGAGACACCTCTTAGAGTTGGAGTACCTTTCCAGGTATGGAAAAATTTTCGACTAATTTGGTTTCACTCAGGATGAAATTTAATATGGTTGGACATTTTGATATGGCAGCTGTAACCTTTTTCTAATTACTCTTCTTTCATACTTAAGATTCCCCTCAATTTGTTGGATGAATTTAATAACCCGTCCAAATTAACAGAGGAGTTGTCTCCAATTTTAAATGCAAGGTAAGAACTTCTGCTCAACAACTTGTCACTGAAACACTATAGTATTCCAAGCTATCATGATTTTGGTTGCAAGGGATGATTAGGAAAAATTTGGCAACTAAATTTGTTGTGCACAGTAAGTTACCCATTGGCTGTGTTTGGCAGTCATATAGCAAGTTAAAATATCTTGGTAACTTTCTTTGACATGGTCTGAAGTCAAAGTGAAGTCACTTAAAAGTTTCATTTTCATCAAAAAGTTGCTTCTTCCTCCTTGGCTGCCAAATTGTGAGGCCTTGAGAAGCTGTGTGAGTCTCCAAATCAAATGCCACCCATACTACTCAGCCCTATGATTTACTGTGTGGCTAGTGACTTAGTACAAGTTGTAATGATGTATTGGGTGTATTTTTCTAGAGACTTTTGGCAGCCATATCATGATTTAAGGTCACCATATGGCAGCTTTGAAAAAAGTTGAACTTGGAGCCCTGTCAAAGATTCACCATTTTCTGTAGGAAACTTTGATATAGAGATCATCCTTGATTCTGACAAGAATCTTTTCCCTCTCACCAAACTCCAAGTACTTGCTGAATCTCAAGTGTCTTCAGTTTTGACAAAAAATGCCACTAATTGTTTCTCAAGTTAAGTGGTGTATTCAAGGCTTATTCCAAGCAGGTTTAGATTGTGAGATTGAATTAATTGATGTTGTGATGATGTTTTTCCTATCTGTGGGAATGAGTTTGTTACTAGCTGGCACTAGCTTCTGGATTAAAAAAAAGAATGGTTAAGTTAACCTTAGTCTTCTCCAGACCAATGGGTAATGTGGTTAAAACAGAATATTTTTGTTTGGCAGTGGTCTGGAACTTGCTCATCAAGGGACATCAGTGAAAGGAAACAGCCTGATTGTCAAAGGTGTAATTGCCTTAGGCTCTGTTCCGTCACATGCAGGCAAGGTGAGAGGTGATTTACATTGTTTTTGCATCAGTTGATGTATCAACAAAGCACCTAACAATTTCTCTCTTTGAATTTCAAACCTTGCTCAGTTGGCTTGATACATACTGATTTTATCTATAGTCCCAAATTTAAGGTGAGCTGTTATCAAAATGCTGTCTGGCCTACAAAATAATAACTAGATGGAAATAATTTTCTTTCATTATTGACGAAGGACTTCAATCTAAAGATCACCCTGCCGGGTCTTGAAGAAGGTTCACAGAGCTTGAAAATCAGGTTACTACCAGGTGAATAAATATTTGCTGGATGAGAAGTGTAATGATGAATATGTGGTAGAGATGAATTTGCTTTAGCTCTTATATTAGTAATGGCCTATGTTACTCAAATCTGTGGTCAGTTATGATATAATTTTCTGCTGCCTTATGTGAATGGAAGGTGGATGCTTGAGGTGTTCAGAGTCTTTAGGTTAGGTCAGTAGTAATCCCCAGATAGTATGCCAACACCCAATCTCTGCAACTTGACCACAAGAACCCATTCAAGGCAACTGTTGATGCCGATTAGATCTGTGGAAGGAAAAAAGATAGTGGGTTGTGTGTTTAAATGTTCAAAAAAACAATTTTCACAAAACAGCTTGAGACTGTTGTAAAACAGTGACCGCCAAACAGCTTGTGAATTATACAATGATGCTAGCTGTAATGGAGGTGCAAAGTTCTATTTGAGAGTGTACCCTTGAGACTGAAAACCTCATGACAATTTGACTTAAAACTGAAATCATGGTTTTCAAGTGGACTTCTTGAATATTTTGTAATTTTTGTTGTTTCCATAAACACTACAGTGGCTATAGTAGTCTGTAATTTCTCAGTTAGGTGACAGTTGCTAACCAGAGCATTATGTATCGCACAGGTCCTCCTGAATCATTAGTAGTTACTCCTGACAGTGATGACATCACAGTTGAAAACAACAGCTCTCTTCAGTTGCAAGTGCAAGTCCAAGATAAAGCTGGCAACCTTACAGTTCAGCCTAGACTTAATGTTGTCTGCAAGGTACTATTTTAACCAAATTATTAGTTGTGTGTTTCAAACTGTGGTATATAGTTTTTCAAATTTTATACAAAAAATGTAGAAAACATTTCTGATTATGTCTCATATGCCTAAATGTGTACCATGCCCACTTTGCTCAAACTTCCAACACAGAATATCTCCATAATTCAGGACGTTCAATAGCTTTTGGTGGCTGGTCTTTACTGAAATTTGTATCCTCTATTGTCTTCTAATGTATGTTTGAGCAGGCTGACCATGGTCCAGTTTTCCATGTTGAAGATTACTTTGTATGATCTTCATGCTTGCCCTGCCAACAGTGTTCAGAGAAGTGTAACCTTGTTTATGTATCTGGGTAATGTGGTGAAATGATTGAGCTTTTAACAGTAGAGGCCCATTGGGAGTGTTCTGAAGTTTCCATACACAATTAAAGTATTGACTAATTTGTCTTTTACAACCTCTGTTTCAGCTCACAGGCACACCAGGTCTACCTACATACATTGGAGACTGTAGCTCTTCAGGGAAAGTAACATTAACAGGTCCTGATATCAGTCTAAAGCAAATCACCAAAAGTTCAAAACTCAAAGCCAAGATTGAGCTACAGGTTTGTTATAATGTTGCATTTCAGTCTCTTTGAATCAACTACACTACAGTTTTACTTAAACCACTTATAACATTTACATGTTACTAGCATCACAAGGAAGTGCCTGCTGTGGAAAAGAATATTGTGGTGACACCCAGCAGTAAAGCAGCAAAACTGGAAGTGTTTCATGAACCAGTTGATGGCAAACTAAAGAAGAAAGTAGAGGATGGACAAGAGTTGCCATGTGTAGTGGGACACATGTTGACTGGATTAAGTATGTACTCTGTCACCATGATCATAGTTTGTTGAGTTAGTCCTATTTCGTATGAATGAGCCTATGCAACACAATCCTAATCAAAATATATCAAATTTCAGTCATTAATTGCATGAAATGTGTGCTGCTGAAAGTTTTGTCAGGGTCAAAAAGTGGAAATCAGCTACATGAAGAACACTTTTATAAATACTAACATCATGTGGCAGAAGACTAGAGGCTGAGAACAACTACAGCTGAAATAAGTACAAATTCATGTGGCAAGCATTTCATTTTACAAGGCTTGTGATTTATTGTGTTCTTTACACATTGACAGGTTTTAGAATTCTGGATGAAGGTCAGAGAGAGGTTACCATTGACTACTCATTAGCAAGCAGGTTTAAGGTAGGTGGGAAAAAAGGGCTGGGTGAGGTTGGATTGATTTTGACCTGAGGAATACATGTGTTATTGTCTTGATATTAAATTTGAATCATTCAGTAATGTTTCTTTGATATATTTGTAGGTGAACTGGACTCCTAAAGTCTCTAAAGATCTCATCAAACAAGGAGTTCTTCCAGACATTAAGGTACAGTATCTTTGCTATGAGCAATTAATTATGATTTAATTATGATAAGTTTGGTTTTTCAGAGGTGAAGCTTTTTTACAATATGTTGTGTTCTCTCTGTTCCATGACAGGCACCTTTTTCTTGTGATGAACCAAAGTATTGTCAAGTTAGCATGACTGGTGGAGCAGGACTTGAGTTTTCTTTCACAATCAAGTAAGCAGTTTTTATAGTTTTTTAGCCACACATTTGTTAAGGGAATGTTTTCTTGTTTCTAAAGTAATTAAGATTCATCTTCAGTGTTCTATTCACAAACTTAAGGGCAAACCATTTTACATGTTGGTCATCTTTTAATGATAAATACCTCTTATTTCTGGTCATACTTTGTCAGACCACTGGCTGATGTGCCAAGCATCCTCAAGTGTTTATGTGATGAGCCACGCCTCAGATTAGGGGAACCATTATCATCCGATATCATCCTGTCAGCAACTGACAAACATGGCAACAAAACAGGCAAGGTAAGAAGATTTGTGCAAAGACAATGCAAACCTATCACTACTGGCTCCCTCAATTTCCTTATGTTGTTTATATCAAGAAGATCCAGTTAAGGACAAAATTAGTGATGAAGAAATCAATTACATTAGATGATGTAATTTTATTCAATAGATGACCTACCTTGTAGATACCCTAATTACTGTATTTTAGTTCATACTTCAATTCAAAAAATAAATTAATTAAATAAATAAAATTATGAGTGCAGTTAATTATTTGATTACACATTTATTTGTAGTTACCAAATAACGTGTTACCAGAGTTCCATGTTTCCTCTGATGGATTAAAAGAAAGTGAAGTACAATTAGGATTCACTGCTGTAAGTGTCTGTTGGCTTTTATTTTAAGCTCTTATTTAACTGTTATTCCACTCCAGGCTGTAAAGTCATCAATCTGTTTACACTCTCCTTCATTTTTTTGTGTTACTGGGTGGCTAATTTAATATTAACATTTTTCTGTAGGATGGTAATATAGTAATCAAGAACATTCAGTTTGAAAATGGCCCCCTTGGACACAGAGAACTGTCCATTACATGGAAGGAAATTAAATGTTATCAAAGAGTTGAGGTAGCTACAGTTAAATCAAAACCATTCACATGGGCACCTTTCTTGGTTTTTTTTTTTTTTTTTTTTTTTAATGCACAGTCATGTAACTAAAAGTTAGATTCAAATAGTTGATTATCAAAGTAAAGTTTAAACTTTTCTTTATTAGGTATAGTTTCTTTGGAAACATGACATCACTGCCATGGGGAAGATCCAAGACTTTTTTATGTCTCTTATAGTTATAATTAACTGTCTTTTGATTAAAAGGGGGTAAGTTTCTAGAGAAACTGAGGTGCTGCTTCAGTGAGGGGGAGTATTAGACAAGATAATTTGGTTTTATCACCTGAGTTGATAGTGTACATTAGCCACTGGAAAGAGCTTCTAACCTGACATTTTGAGCATTACCCCTTCGTCATTTGCTCTAACCAAGGGCTAACCCTTGAAACAGCAGCTTAAAAATCTCTACAGTGTCTATACTTTACATTCATCTCAGTTGATGAAGCCAAATTGTTTTGTGTTTTGTGATGTTTGTTTGTTGTGATTGCTTTTCACAGGTTACAGCAGGTCCCCCTGCCAGACTCAAGATTCTGGATATTAACCATTCAGAGGTGCTAAGAATTCTTTTAATCTTATATATACTTTTGTTGTGTTAGAGATGAAAACAAATTAAATTATGTTCCTCTATTAACATTTGTTAAACTGTGATGACGATGTTGTCATTAAAGTCATCCACATGAACCATTTACTGTGTCAGGAAAATGCTTGAATTGTTAGCTGTTGATTGGGAAGTCTCTTTCCAAGTTTAAATTATCATAATTTAGCTTTGAAGTCATTTACTAGTTTTCAATACTGACATTTAAATTTTCAACTTGTCTGTTGTGTATGATTTCACGGCAGCCACTGTCAGTTTATAATGACACTAGAATGCCAGTCCCACTCAAAGTGCAGTTATGTGATAACCTTGGAAACCCTTCAGATGAGCCCAATGTTAAGGTGGTCCTGAACTGTGACAGAGGACTTAAGGTGAGAATATGAAATAGAAATGGTTAACACATAGCAACCATGATAATACTTCAACTAAATCCAAATGTAAATGTTTTATTTTTTATTTGTACATAGTTGACTCCAACACCTGCTGTTCAGAAGACAGATGACAAAGGTCAAGCTTCCTTTGGTCTTCTCACTGTTAGTGCAGTAAGGTATGTGGCACAATGAGACAGACTACTATGGTCCATTCTTAATTTTTCATCACATACAGACATAACATTAAGTGAAAAGAGTAGAACTTGATATAATCCTGCAATATCTAACCCAATGTGAGTCAGGCATTCAGAGTAGGACATCTGTGAGATGAACTGTACTTGACAAATGAATTCTCATGACTTTCTCTTCACAAAATACATCTTGATCATCAATGAAAAATTAACGTTTGTTCTTCAAACACAGGGGGATGTATGGAATACGAATCAAAGCTCTCTTGGGAAGAACAGCTTTAGATGCACCAACAGTGAATATTAGGTAAGTTAAGCCCAAAGGAAGTGATTCAATCTTGTTTTTATCAGTTTTTTGATGTACTTTGTTATTTTTCCTTTTTTTTTTTTTTTTTTTTTTTTTCAGAGTGGAGCCAGACCCATCCAAAGCTGTTAAACTCACTGTCACATTTGACTCCAAAGCTCCATGTGTGGTTGGAGAACTGTTACCAGGTTAGTTATGAACCTATTTCTTCAAAATAGAGTTTTGATCTTTATTTATCTTAATTTTCCTTTCTAAATTTATAACTGTTAGGTCTTCTAGTTTTTTAAACTTAAGAATGGTAATGAAGGTGTGCATTTGTTCTTTCAGTTGTTTCAGCTCATGTTGTAGGAGAGGATGAAGCTGTTATGAAAGCAGCAAGTGCTAAAGATATTGTTTTGAAGATTTGGCACACAAAGGATGGTCCAGTATCTGACAAACCCCCACCTCGGGTAAGATGGTCTAAGTACTTCTACGAGAATTAGTTATGTGCTGTGGAGGGCTCTTTCAAAGACATTTGAAACTCAAGAAAAAGGTCATCATGATAGGTCTGGGAAGTTTGGGATAGGTTAACTTTGTGTTATTTGGGTTATTGCATGATCCTGTTTATTCTCCTTCAGTTGTATTGATAATTTTTATTTTCAAGGCTACAACTTTGTATCCATCAAAAAGAAAAAACTCAGATAAAGAAGGCGAATTCTACTTCAGGTTTGTTATTTGCTCAAGTTAAGTGGTTTTATTTGACACATTTTACATCCGTTTTCCTCAGTGCTTTTATGAGAGGTTTGCAATGCACTTTAATCATTCTTACATCACTGACCATGTCTGTGTTGATCCTGTAGAGACCTGAAGGTGCCTGATGTGTCTGGACCATATTGTATGGTGATACAGTTTGGATCAGTAGGAGTTGTCACCCTCTCAAGTAAACCAGTAAGTGGATGTACTATTTTGTGGAACATAAATTGTGATGAGGATTCAAATTTAAGCCAGAATTTTATACAAACAATGGCATGTCACTTTCACTTTCTGGTTAAAATAAACAACTCTGTAAAGTAGGGTGATAATGCATCATATATTTACAGATCACATTTACAGCAATGCCTGGTCAGCCTGTGAAACTTGAACCAGAATCCATTCCAGCAACACCAACTGTTTCCAACACTCAGAGGACTAACAGCCGAACACTGGTGAAGACACTCAAATTACAGCTTAAGGTCAGCTTCATGAACTTTTCCCTTGCTATCATTTGTATGAGTTTTATTCAAAAATAATTTCAATTGCATTTTGGATTGAATAAGAGAGGATAACTTTTCCATTGACTGAGTCCTAATTATAATTCTAAATGGCACTATAAAAACATATAGTTATCTTTTTTATAATATCTATTGAAATTCAACTTTGTGCTTTCAATTTTAATTTTCTGCACTGGTTAAAATTATTTGATAAGCTCAAATCCTATGATCCCATGTCTGCATTTACTTCATTAGATCTGTTTGCACCAAGTGTCTAGTTTGTTTTAGGATCATCTCATGATATTTGAGTTGATCTTATATTATGCTGGAAATCAGTTTAAAATGGCTGCTTTAAACTTGATGGACTTGAGTTTTTTTTTTTTTTTGCCCTTTGTGCATTGTTATTTATATATTTATTTCTGTCTCTTGTATGGGTTTAATTAGTTTTGTTGGAGTTTGGCTTTTAAGTATTTTTCTGATGGATAACACTACATTATCAAATGCACAACCAAAAATTACCATGCTGTACATGGAGGATGATTGCCTTCTGATACTAAATTGTTCATGTTAAAGTGCTCTTAACATTGTTTTCAGGACAAATTTGATAACCTAACTGGTGAGAATATCCGGGGTAAAGTTGTTATTACAGTGAGCACTCCATCTGAAGGCATCGACGAGATCCCTGCCCTAGCTGGGAATGTGTACCGCATGGAAGTACCCCTCCTCAAGGGCACGGCCAATGTCCAGAACTTACTTATACAAGAAAACACTGCAGGCAAAGATGGACAAGAATACCTGCTTAACTTTGAGACTCAGATCCCAGCTAATGCCTCTCCTCATCCTATTCCACCATTTACTCTTGCTTTCTTGTTTTACAATGGTGAGTTCTTTCTAGTCTGCATTGTGTGAAGTTATTAGAATTTGAAACAACTGTTGTCTTTCTCCGGCAAGGAAACATTTGAGTTAGTTTGCCCATTCTTGAATTTTATTTGGTTACCTTTAGTGAGTGTGTTGTACTCAAAGTGTTGAAGATCCGAATTAAAGGGAACTTTTTGTTATGTTGTATTATATTTTGAAGATGTCAGGAAACAACAGCAAATGGCTCAGCTGACAAAAGAGAGAGATCACTTATTTGAAACAATTCGAACTTACCGTCTTCTGTTTGAAACTACACGGCAACTTATCAATGAGATGCAAGGTTAGAATTAGTTGGATTTGGTTAATGGTCCATTTATAGATTTTCATATCCAGGTGTTAACAATGGTCTATTCTGTTGATACTTTAGAGTATTTTATATTAATTTTTTATATGTATATACACTAAAAATAGCATTTCAAATTCAGTTTCAGTACATGAAGCATCCTTACATGAACAAAAGATTAGAGGAGAACTTAGAAAGCAGAACATTCCAGCCAGTACCTTGGCAACAGTGAGAGAAAAGACCTTTTTCTTCTTGCATTTAAATTTTGTTTTGTTAAATTTGGCTCCATGCCATCTGTTCCCTCATGCAAACTTAATTGCATTGATTAATAATTATATTTGTGTGTTTTTAGCCTGCAGCTGTGACGTCAGCTATAAATGATTTCTCCAGGAAGCGAGATCAGATTGCCAGCACTCCGCGGAGACAATGTCTTTTACATCCAGGACCACGAGGAGACTCAGGCATCCTGGGAAAGGTTTGTTGAACTGGGAAATAACATACTTTTGAGACTGTAATCTTACACCTTTGTGATATCTATCGTTTGACTTTCACTTCAACATGTTCATAAGAGAAAATCTTTGCTAGACCTTCTTTTGTCACTGACTTGAAATCAGGATGGTTGTTGGTTCCTCAGTAACTTAGCGCAGTTTGTGTGATAAACAAGAAAGGGTTCTATTTAGCAGAAGGTTTGGTTACAATTTAGTACTGTGCCCCCCTATACAGGTTGCTCGTTTAGCAGAAGGTTTTGTTACGATTTAGTACTGTGCTCCCCTCTACAGGTCGCTTATTTTGCAGAAGGTTAGGTTACAATTTAGTACTGTGTCCCCCTATACAGGTTGTTCATTTAGCAGAAGGTTTGGTTACAATTTAGTACTGTGTTCCCCTATACAGGTTGCTCATTTAGCAGAAGGTTTTGTTACAATTTAGTACTGTGTCCCCCTATACAGGTTGCTCATTTAGCAGAAGGTTTGGTTACAATTTAGTACTGTGTCCCCCTATACAGGTTGCTCATTTAGCAGAAGGTTTTGTTACGATTTAGTACTGTGTCCCCCTCAACAGGTCATTTATTTAGCAGAAGTTTTTGTTACAATTTATTACTGTGCCCCCCTCTACAGGTCGCTCATTTAGCTCAAGTAGTGGATGATGATGTAGCACGGGTTTTGTCATGGCACATGGCTTCTGATATGGACTGTGTTGTCACTCTTACCACTGAAAAGGTTTGTTCAACTCAAACTGCAATAAAGGTGTTAAACATTTGTTATCTGGCTCTTCCAAAGCAATCGAACCTCAAAATGCATTAGTCAGAAGCTTCACCACTACTGAGCAAGTGATAACCAGTTGTTATAGGCAAGGTTCATAATTATTTGTCTGACTCATTGTATATTGCAAGGATCAGCAATGTTGAATCCGTCTTGTTTGAAGATAGAGTAAGCAACTTTGTGCTTCAAGAAAAGAAAGATATTTCATAGAGTCTACATCCTAGTTGAAAAAAATAGCAACTTGAAATACACACCATCAATATACAGTATGTTGAATTTGCTGTAAGTTGTAGAAATTGTTGATTAGCGCATGATATCTCTAGCTTGTAACTGTATGGACTGTTTCAGGCCAAGCAAGTGTATCGTGATTCAAATGGTCAGCAGCAGGTTCTTCCCTTAGATTCCATATTCAGACGAAGTTTACCAGAATGGAACAGGTGAGCTACAGCTTCAACGCTTAATATGATTTTTTATCATTTACCAGTCACTTATCATCATTGCTTATTCTGTGATCACTGGTTTTCTTACAGACCGCTGCCACATGTACGAGGTTCAAATAACTACACTCCCACGGGGAACCCAGTTTATGCTCGAGATATGCTGCTATTCCCTGCAGAAGGAGACAACTGCAAACTCGGTAAACCAAGGACACCTAGTAACAGTGTTTAATCATTTAAAATTAGAAAAATTCTATTAATGGCAACTGAGGGTTCCTCTTAACGTCTCTGCTCATGAATACAGCACTACGAGTTTAATTGGAAAATGTTATTTGCTCATTTTTCGTAAGCCATTCTCCCTTTACTATGAAATAAATGTATGTGATGATAGTTGTATTTTGAGGAAAACTGCGAGAAAGTTAAAACCTCTGAATTCACAAATGGAGGTGCCCTCAGTTGAAGTAACTCTTTTACCTTCTAGTGTTTGGTATGTTGCTTGGCGACACTTTGATCCTTGATGATCTGGATTGTGCAAATAAATACAGACAGGAGGTGAGTAGCATGGGAGATGTGTGCAGTGCTAACACTTTAAGTTAACTCTTACTCTTTTCTTACTGTTTACATCATTCTATGGAAGGTTGTGAAGTACACTCACTGTCCAACAATTTTGACGAGGAGTGGGGATCGTATCAGGAGTAACGGTAAGCTACAGCTACTAGACAGAATATACCAATTAAAGTAGTGATCTAACCCCAACCCTAAGCTTACCTCCAAGTAAAGCGAAGGATTTTTTCATACAACGTCATGTTACTAGAAAATTTTCATCCGTTGAGTAGCTGTTCTCTGATCTGTTGCCAAATACAGCTCTTTAGCACAAGAGTAAAGTGGTAAGTTTGTAAAGAAACTGTGGTGCTGCGTTGGTGGGAGAGTATAGCAGGTAATTTAGTGTTAACAACTGAGTTGAAAACGTAAATTAGCCGCCGTAAAGGGTAAAAAAGCTGACGTTTCGAGCGTTAGCCCTTCGTCAGAGCGATAGATTAGATTAGGCTAAGAAAAGACTACTGACAACTTTGTCTTCTTTGTTTAGGGAAGTTTGGTGGTCTTCAGAATAAAGCTCCTCCGTTAGAGAGAATGCGTGGCGCTGTATTTGCTGCACCACTTCCCCTTGCTTTTCATTCATTTACAACACAAATCGGTGAGTAATTCTGGGCAGGTTAGTCATTTGTTTAATATCTTAGGTGAGAAAGGAATGCCCACTACCCGACACTTTCATGTGGTGTGTTATTTGTGTATTTTGTATACTTGCAGAACAACTACAGCAATTTAAACAAGCCGTTCTGAAACATGCTCAAGCCAAAGAGGAACTTTCCGTAAGTTTGGCACACGTCATAAAAAGAGTATTCGCCTCGTATGATTCCTGTGCTAGCAGCAGTGCTAATACAAATTTAATTTTGTTACCATAGCTACAGCTACAGCACGGACAAACTGAGGAGATGAAAGTCAAGCATCGCGAGTGTAGAGAGGCAGAAACTCAACTGCGCATGATTGAAGAGCGCCTTGGTATGACACCAACACAGTATAATATGCCTCCAAGTCCTGCCACTATGTTACTCACAGAGCTCAGCACACCACCAGCAAGGACTGCTACATCTCGTCGCGCAGGCGCGCGAGCTGCAGCAGCTGCCTCTGCGTCTCCAACTTTGTTGAATTCAGTTGTAAATGGAACAAATAACACCTCTGCAAATACGAGTTCTCCGCGAACAAGACGAGGCGCTCCCGTTGCTACCGAAGACATCCGTTTCAGTAAGCGGACACGGCGATGAAAAAAGAAGACTTTGCATTGTTATTAGCTTCTTGATTTTTTCTTTGAAATTGCCATTCTAATTTAAAACGTTTTATTTCAGCGCAACTATTTTGTCCTACACAAACAAAATTGTGTAAATTCAGAAATCCAGTCATAACTTAGATGTAATTTGTTTTAAACGCGAGCACACCACATAAATCTACCCATACATGATTGTTCGATAACTTCCGCCTTCTTGCGTCAGTCACCAGTCACATGTACACTTGGACCCTGTTGTTTAAAGGATGGATAACCCTATCCTCTGGATACATTTCAATCCAATGGATAGTGCAGTGCATTGCACCAACATTTATCCATTAAACAGCATTCTTTGCCCTTTGAACAAGCCGGGCCCGTAGTTTTTAATTGTTTTAGACTTGTTCTGAATGAAAATAATGATGATTCCAGTTTGATGTACATCATGTTAACTTATACCATTTACCCTCTATGAACTTAATTTCAATATTTATGAGAATGCATATGAGGATAGTTGCCTTGAAATTTAGTAGATCTGAGGTAAATATACTTTTTATGTTGTCAACCCAATATTTATTAGTACGATTTGGAGCAGTGTTTTTCTCACTCTGTGAAATGCAATCACTTGTTTTTGAGTTGCAGTTCCTTGGTTAGCACTTAACCAAATAAGACAGTGATGCTGCTCACTGATCAGATGGGTTAATACATTTTGTTTTTGGTGCTTTTCACCTAATTGCATTCATATTTGTAACTCTTAAAACAACAGTATGGAGAATTTTATTATGATAAAATGTATGAGGCTTAAACAGCAAGAAACATTAAACTGAACTTTATGTAGCTGTAGTGGTACCTTTTTCTCTCTAGAAAGTGCCTGTTGGAGATTTAGATGGCCACTTTTCATTTAAGAGGATGGCTACCTGTAAGTTTGCCATTTCTTAACTGGGCAATGAAAGACAGTCCACTGGTGAAAGTATTTATGATGGTAAGATAGAAAGAAACTTGAGAATAGCTGGTTCTGCAAGTCAGTCTCAAGCATTCTCCTCATGGCACTCTATTTGTTGCTTATTATGAAAATAAGATTAATATTTCTAGTCACTTGTAAGGTATTGAGAGGTTTTTAAATTTCATGAAATTCTAAAACTTTCAAGACAAATAGTGGTGTTTTTTAATTGTTGATGCACCCACATTAAAGGGTTTTCCATAATTAAAGGTATTTCGAAATCCTTTAAGATACACACCATCACCATGTCATATTCTATCAACATATTTATTGACATATCAGTGGTAAAATTTGTGTTTACAAACTGATGAAATATGCATCTTTGTACCTACAACATCAAATAACAAGATCAAATATGTATGGATGTGACTCAGAAGACAATCCTCAAACTCCCTCACCCTTGAAACAAAAACATGATGTACAGTTTCTAATAATAACTTGTCTTGGTTTCCTCTTACAGTTGTATCACAAACTTGTCAAAAGTTCCTTAGGCATGTTAATAATGAGAAAAAATGAAGGCAATAGGGCAGTCAGTGCTTCCAACAATCACCGGAGTAAACCTCTGGATACAAGGCTTAGTTTTGCTTAGAAGGTTTAGGGTTACTGTCAACAAACTATGGTACCTTACAGAAACATCTTCCTATGCACTCTCATTGTAAATTAACCATGGAAAACTATATATCACTATGAAACTTATAAAGTTTAGATTATGAAAATAACAAAATTTCTTTTACTTTTTGTTATGGTGGGTGTGCATTGGCTTTTAAACACAAAACTAATGGGGTTTGACTTAACTTTGATGTCTTTGGCCCTGGCTCTCTTGCAGCTATTGTCTTTTTGGCTGGAGACTCTTATTTCTCAACATTTTGCATAATGTGCCAGAAATTCCCCTTTGTTGTGCAGTGTAAGACATGATGTACACAATATATACACATCAAGATCCCAAAAGCCACTGGAAAATGTCAGCACCTGCTGGAGGCCTTTCCAATTTGGAAACCTTCCCCTTTTCAATTCAGGTGCCCCTTAAACATTCTTTCAGCCATATCTCCCTCTCTTTTTAGGATTTTGCTAATTCTTATCAAATTAAGTATTGCTGCTTTCTCCAACTAAGGAGAAAGTTGACTAAATTTCTGAAAATTGAGATCAGATTTTGTTGACAATAACCTTAAGAGATCTGATTCATCTAAATACACACAATTGATGTTCATATTACTTATGTTGTCAAAGAACCCTTCCTTGGATAAAGAAGATGAAAATTTCAATGTAGAAGAGATGTTTCTTGTACAAACCCACTATGTCATGCTGTCTGCATCTACAATGTAATTAACTGGCAGCTGCATACCTTTTTACAAACACAACGTATTAACTTACAAAGTATTGCCAGTAGAAGCAATATTCAGTTGGAATTAAGACAGTTAAGCTCCGGCACTTTGGATAAATAGCAGTTTCAAGTGTCTACAAATATACAGAAAATAGTCAATCTTTCTTTTAATCATTTGTCTTTGCTGATCCCATATTTTTCTCTCATCTTTTCTAGCTCTTGCTTCTTCTTTTCCTTGTCCAGTTTTTGGAAAGCCTATGAGGCAAAATAATTTCAAAGATTGGTTTAACATAGTGGGATGGTTTGGTTTGGGAATTGACCTACCGGTATTTGTCAGTGTCTAAAGGAATTCATTTTAAGAAATTTAGTGTATTTAAAGTTCTTTTTCAGTAAGGTGCACTGACCTTTGTGGACTGGTAGTAAAGAACAACTAGATAGCGGTTGCACACATTGAAGCCTGATAGGTGGTCGCAGGCATTTTTGGCATCAAAAATATCCTCATATACAACAAATGCTGTTCCTCTTGTCTCAGGTGTATTTCCACTAAAAGAGAGAAGAGAAAAAATGATAAAGTACACATCCAAAACAAGACAACTTCTACACAAGCAACAGACTGTTTAATACTCTGATCAATCAACTTTTTATTCATACAAACAACTTATTTCTTGGATCAGAAAATAGTAGGTTACTTACACTCTGATCTGTCTGATTCCTCCATATTTTCCAAATATATCATACATCTCCTCTGTTGTTATCTTGTAAGGAAGATTCCTGGGATAAAATACACAAAGTTATGAGTTGATCACCTTCTCGAACTGATTTCATAAAACTTCCTGTGGCAGTAGTAAGAAAAGGAGTGACAAAAAAGGGACACAAACACACCATGAATTGTCATTCCCTGTGTTGAAAGAATCTTCTGGGTATAAGTCTGATAACTGAATTTTATATAGCAATTAAACATTACACAGAGTAATTCTTCTAATTAAACTTAAAAGATTTCTTTTCCACCACTTCGTAGCTACAATTTTGTTGCAAGTGGGTAAGGCTACATGGATTCATCAGATAATGAAGGCAGATTTAATCAATTGTCCATAAATCATTATATTACCTGACATAAAGGATTCTGTTCACTTCCGGAGGTAATCGAACCTTAAAGAGAGGAAAATCTTGTGAGAAACTTGTTTCCTCGTGAATGATACAGCTAGAATAAAATACTTAAATGACAAATGTAATTCAAATATCCCAAACAACAAGCTTTACAGAAAAGGATTTAATTTGAGAGAGACCCAAGGTTGGAAAAAGTAGAATTAAATGAATAAGTCAGTAACAGAGATAATATTTTCCAGATTCAAATGAAAGTAAGCCATAATATGAAGTTCAACTCACATTGGCCTTCCTTTGATTCTGCAGCGCCATCTTGGTTCGTCTTCCTTTCGTCACATGAACATACGGGAGTTTCAAGAAAGGAGTTGTGGGAAATATTTTAAAGCATTAGTTTCAGTGCAAGGTATTCTGGGATGTAAATACTGTGGCAAGATGGCGGCTGATTTGGACAACGGAATGGATTTGTCTGGGTTTATTGTCGACAAAGGAATAGAAGCTGAAAATGATAAAACTGAAGAAGTGGCTGAGATTTCTTTGTCTCCTGATTTAGAAGCAGAGGAAGAAAGAAAAGCAGAGTTGCGTGAACAAGCCAAAAAGGTTCGAGATTTTTCCTTTGACACGTCACTCACTTGCTGGAATTCACATGATTTCTTGATCGTAAATATCAATGTATAACATTATTTGAAATTACGAGCAATGTATGTTATCAACGGTAGATATTCCAGAGATCTGAATGTTTTTCCAAGGGAAAACTCAGGATAAAAGTGTCGGGAAAAAGAAATCGAAATGTCGACCATTTGAGATCCATCAAGAAAATACTCACTTAGGGTGTAATTCCAAAGGTTAACAAGGAATGATTCTCATGGAATTTCAGCAGAATTTATCCCTCCTTTATCAAATATTTCTGTAAATCCGCTTAAACTTTGGTGAAAATTTAGGAACAGACTACTGTCATTCCAGTTAGGGTTATCTTAATTTTTTTAGAATGAGGAGTGGTTGATTCATTATTGAAATGTTCATTTTAAGATTCACCCAGTCTGACATCAAATTTAATAAAGTGTTGTCATTAACATGTAATTTAATGAGTGGGTGGAGGAGAAGAAAAAATGAAACTTCTGTAATCAAACTGTATTTAAGAAATGTGGACATGATAATGATAACCAATTCATTATTCCTTTTGGTCTATTAACTCTTGTAGATTGAAGAGGAAATTGTTACCCTTAAACAAGCTCTTGACAGGAAAGAGAAACAGTTAGCAGAGATAAAAAGATTGTTGGGTATCACAGCCTGGTCTCAGTTAAAAGAGGGATTACATAATCAATACCAGAACTTACAAGGAACACAGATGTAAGACTGAAACTTTACAAATGACTAATAACTGTTATTCCTAGGTTGGAAATTTGAGATGATATCTTGGAATTAGAAAAAAACTTTTGAACTAAGGTAATTTTTTAAATGACTGGAAAGTTACATGTGGAATATTGTTTGGTTTTGTCTTAAAATAGGTATCAAAAGACATCTGACACCTTTAAAGACTTGAATGATAAAATTGTTCATTCCCAAACGTAAGTGATGTTGAGTTGCTTCACTGACTCAGTTTATGTGTTACTTCTTTTGAAATATTACAATGCCCTTGTATAGTGTTAATTTGTTGAAAAGATACAGAATTGTAGAATTTTCCTTATGACTAACATGCTTTGTTTTTTAAATATATAGTTAGAAATGATAATGATGATGGTGATAGAAGTTTGTTAATACAGAAATGATAATCTTAATCGGAACATATGTTAAGAATTTTGTATCAATTTCATTCTTTTCTTTTATTTGTTATTTTTAGTTACAATAAACTGAGCAGTGGTGCCTCAGCAACCAAAACAGTGTTAAGTGATGCAGGATCAAGGACTGCTAATGCAGCAAGAAATGTTGGATCAGCAACAGCCAAGAAACTGGGAGAAATAAGGTACTATGTGTTTCATCATCACTGAGTCATGCAGGATAATGAGCAGCTTGAAGTTACTTATCCTTGAAACAAATTCAGTTAATAATGGCTAACAATATAATTTGGTATGATAATTTATGTCTAAAAGATAATTAATTGTGATTACTTAATGACAATACAGAGAAAGGTTACCCTGCATGAAATATGTTGAAAGTGTTACTTTAATTGTCATTTTAGGGGATCCTCGATGTTTCAATCTTTGGAAAGCAAAGTTGTGTCTGCTTCTTCAACTCTTAAGGTATGGCACATTGATTATTTAAAATTGATAAAAATATACTTCAAATTTCCCAGGTAACCACACTCCACTTTCTGTTGTATTTAATCACCAATTCAGACTCTTTTGGCATGTCACTCATTCTTGGTTTTCTGAAGGGTGGATAGCTTGTTCCACTGTATACTGTAATTACTTATTTGGACAACACTCTCCCAATTGATAGATATATCATTAGGACAGCTTTTGAAAAGGTGGTTTATACTGTCCAAGGGATAAGTATGAATGAAACAAACCATGCTTTGAATTGGAGACAGATGTAATCAGTGCATAGCAAGTAGCCTTAACAACTGGGACCCTGAATTAGAAATTTTAATGTCTGCGTCAGCCGTTTGTTAATAAAAACTATCCAGTAGGTCTGAAAATAATTTTGTGTGAAATAGAACAGTTCTGAGCTATGGTAATGTAATGGAAAGTCCAACAGGAGGAAAGTGCAACAACTATTAAAAATTTATCCAGTTTTTCAAAGGACAGGTTATCCTATTAAGATATTTAATCATTATTGATGAGGAGCATATGAACATTTCTATCATTCATCTACAAGGCGGCATTGGTTCTTGGCAAATGTGTTTTGTGAAATCATTTGACCAGGAGAGCAAATAAATAGCCTAGTTTAGTGAAGATATGAATAACTTGAATGATAGTTTTTATTACAAGATCATACATTTTTTTCATAAGAAATTAGGCTGCAATACTTGTAGTACACAGGTCACCACTGTCTTTTGTTCTTGAATAATTCTGATATTTTCTGTTTTTTTTTGTCCTGGAAATGTAGAACTTTGAACTTACCTTAACCTTAAAGAAAACTTTCTGTACTTAGTATTATTTAATGAAGGCAAATCTGTTATTCTTTTAATCTCTTGTAGCACTACAACTGCTGTTTAGAAAATCGTATTATTTTTATTCTTTTGAAACTATTTTATTAATTAGGGTAATGTTATGAAACTGATTTTGTTAGCATTGCTCTGAAACTTATTGCTTTTGTTTGTTGTGTTCAGTAAAATAAGTTTTTCATTTTGATGTTTATTAGAATGACTCTATGATATATTAATTTAAAAGATGAATAAATACATGAACTAAATCGTCTTAATTCTAACAAATAATTCTAATATTACTCTCTTGATATAGTTTAAGATGCTGGGAAGCTCAAACAAAGGCCAATTAACCACAAGTCAGCCTCCATCTTCACCCAATAATGACATCAGTTTATCATGAGGATTGTCAAATTAATCTCAACCTTAACTTTGCTTAATAGTTTTAATAAATAGTATTAAATCTTGAGGAAGTAAAGTAGACACAGCACATGAATTGATCCACTGAATCATGTGGCACAAATGAAGCAGAAGGTAAAAAATACTTTGACAGACTTTGGTATCACTGGTTTCTAAAAAGTAGCAGAAATTTAAGATTTTGAAGAGGTTTGCTGTCTGAGACAGGTTTGTCAATAGAATAGTGTTCAATTATTTAACTGAAAAAATAATGTATGAGTTGAGCTCACTGCTATCACCCCTAACACTGTGAGAATAATTTGGGGCCATATAAAATTCATTTCTCATGTTGAAAGGTACAGTATTTGATAGTAGGAACCATTTAAAGTGTTTTCATCACTACTTATTTAAGTGAATGTTAATTTAAACATAAGATTTTTCAGAGAAAGGATTTCTATAGAACACATTTCATAGCTGTTTGGTATTTCACTGAAATATTTTTATGCTATATAGACTAAGTGAACTGTTAGAAAACAGCCTTGAGGGACAGTGTTGTTGTTTGTCATTAAGAGGAGAAGAGTTTTTTTCTTCTGTGTTAATAAATACTTGATTTGCTGTAAATGGAAGGAAACTTTGGTGTTCAATTGTACATAGGTTTCCAGGGATTGATGTGAAGAGTTATAATATCTTTGAGAGATGATTAACTTTACTTTTCATTAACTGATTGTCCAACTTTAATATAATCCTGTGTAAATCTGAATTCCCTGCTTAAAGAGATTAGGGAGAGAGATTTCTTTGTAACCCTGTCAGTAATGATAGTGTTTTAGGATAATTTTTAATAATAACTAAAATCTGCATCATAGAGAATGCTAGTGCTGTTCTTGTCTCTAAACCATAAAAGAACTTGGTTCTTGCAACTGTTTTCTGTCCTGGGGTCCTAGTTGTCATGTCTGCTATGTATTTAGCGAAGATAAACTGCTCTTCCTTTCAATGATGTAACTATCTTCCAACACTTAAGTTGATATCTGTGGTAGGAGACAATCAAATCATTTTCCCTTCATTCTGGGAGAGTCATCTGGCTTACACAACATGATTACTGATGCTTTTATGCAGACATCTATTTCACCAATTTCTTTGAGGTTTGGGAGAAAATGTTCATGTATGCTTGTTTGAACACCTTTATGCATTGAGAGAGGATGCTTTGGTTAAAATCAGTATATTTAGGTATTTCAATTACATATGTTAGGCAGTCTCCTGTAATGAGTCTGTCGCTAATAAGATTAAAAAGTAACACTTTTGCTATTAAACAATGGTTATGTCAGCTCTGGTTATTGATTCAGTGGAATTGTGACATGATTTGCCATGTCATTCCCCAGCAAACTTTAACTTTTCCTTGCCATTTGCAGTAGTGAGTAAGGTGCTTGATAATTTTACCTTTTCTTGCAATATAAGTATGAAGAAAGGAGCTACCTGTCAGCTTATTTGTATTTTATCAAGTAATGGAGAGTTGCTGTTTGTAATGCTCCTTTTGTAATTTTGAAAGTGCTGCATTGCTTACTGAGCTGTGTAAAGAGATCACATGTCCAAGAAAGTTGACATGGCAGTGAAAAGAAATACATCAGTTTATAGAAAAGTGATGAAACTACAAGAAAATTAAAACGAAAAAAAAAAATGGTTCCTTAAGACGCAAGCTCTTTTTCCTCCTGCTTTGAATTCTGATCAGTTTTTTTTCCATTACCTAGTAGCAACAGCTCCCATTTTGATATTTTGTCAGTTATATCATAATCAATGGCAAATCAGTTTTATATCTGCTAATTTTATGCTACCTACTGGAACTTCCACTGTTAGCAGCTAGATATTGGAAACCTTTCCTCCATTTGGCTCATAAAAAAAGTTTGTGAGTTTGAAAATGGCTGAGAGGTTTGGGTGGAAATAAAAGTTTCAAAGAATGAAGTAGATTGTGTGTCCATCATGTCTAGTAGTTTGACTGTGTTATTTACTACTTTACAGGAAAAGATAGTTGGGCCAAGTTCTAACAGTTTGGATGAGTCTGAACTCAATAAGGGTCCAGACCCTGACATGGAGTAAGACAACAACTTGAGCATCGCATCCAAGGAATCAGAAATAACTCTATAAGCACCTGACTTATTAATGTGTAGGTGGTAATTAACAGATGCTGGATGATGCTATACTCACATGTGCAATTTTACTTGCATGTATAATTTTGCATAATTTTTCACTAAATCTATATATTTCTTCTAAGGAGAATTTATAATTAAATTAGGGGCAAAATAGAATAATTTTCTATTATAATGATCATTGTGAAATGGAATCCTATCCTGGGAAGAGGTTACAGGACTGTTTTTATGGTTTAATGGGTACAGTGACTGTGTTGTGTTAATCAGGAGAATTACTGACTGGACTGATTTAATTCCAACTAGTGCGCACCAGATTTATGTGTCACAGATGAGTGCAAGTCATTTATTGATACAGACAAGTTAGTAATCAGGGTAAAGGACTACTACAATTGGGAGAAAAAAATGCCAAAATTGTCTGAAATTGCCAAAAAGTTATTTGTAATATTAATAAACTACTTTTTAAAGAAACAGGATGTCCTTTTTTTATTGATTTATGTCTTAAGCAATTTTCATCTTTCCCAACCCCCCAACCTCACCAAGTTTCCAAGGGAAAAGAGAGCCCCTTTATCAAAGCAAATTGATTTGCTCTGACAGAGAGTGAATCTTTTCCCTCTAATGCTCAGAACGTCCACTATTAAATCTCTTTATGGTGGCAAAATCACAATATCAACTCAGTTGATATAAACCAAATTATGATTTTATACCCCTGTCCCCCACCCACCGCATAGCACCACAGTTTCTTTAGAAACTTACCTCTTTATTCATTTGTATACAAATGACTGAGCCTTCTTATCACTATTTACTTAAAGGTAAAATTAAAAAGTACAATTTTGACGAAGAACAAGACTCCACACAAAGAAAAACCCTACTAAATGTGCATTCATTTTGTGGCGGTAAATGTCCAGTGTTTATCTACATAAATTTTCCCGTTCTAAGACTAGTTTCCAGTCTTTTGTATAACCTCTCGTGAAAAATCTTCTATCCCATGAGTCTGGTGGAGCGATACGTGTGCTCCAAACAGAAACTATGGCAACAGGCGCTATCATATAGCAACAGCAGCGGCCATGTTTGTTAGTGATACAATTTGAATCTCAGAGACAAGGGCTCGACGTAGAATTGAGGGCTATCTTTTAAGACACTATGGCTCTTCCATTCCTTCCTGGTAATGCCTTTACAGATCCAACGGTAAGTGGCGAGTGAAACGCGGTTTTATCCTCGATATGAAATACTGCAGTGCGAAAGTAACTTTTCTTTAATGTACAAACAAATCCTACTTCACTTTCAGAAAACCAAATTTCATAGATCTCAGACACTTGGATGGAAGAATGGCTACTCTCTACCAAAAGCACCCGAAATTGGTATCGGTGGAGACCCGATTCCTGTAAATAAACTGACTCAAGAAGAGCTGGATGAACTGGCAAATCTCAAACCTTCTTTAACGTACGGACAGAAAGTTCAGGCACCACCAGAAGATTTCGTTCCTGCTCACGTAGCATTTGATAAGAAAGTTTTGCTATTTTTCGGATATTTTAAGCAAACTGTCCACGAGTCATCCGGTGAATATTACAGAGTTCGTCCAGTGAAAGTTTATTATTATCTGGAAGATGACTCGATTGCGGTTGTTGAACCCGTAGTGAACAACAGGTAAGCCCAGCGATAGGTCCTTGCGTGTTTGGGTTTTTGTTAGTTTGTAGACCTCACCCACCAAAATGTATAAAGTGACAAATGATAAATGATGATTGCTACAGTAGACTTGCTTGTAATTTCAGCTACAATTTGAAAAATGTTTTAGAGACCTGCCTCATTTGGTAATCAACTTTTGTAATTGTTACTCTGAATTATTCCAGTGAGGGTTAAAAGTCACACCTCCTCGCATTATAGTTGTATTCTATGGACATACTGTAATGAGAACTGAATTTTACTTTCAGTGGAATTCCACAGGGAAAACTCATTAAGCGCCAACGGTTACCAAAAAATGACCTTGGTGAATACTGGCATTGGAAAGATCTTAACCTTGGGATAAACGTCACATTTTATGGAAAAGTCTTTCATCTTTATGACTGTGATGCCTGGACAAAGGTAAAAAGCTGCAACTTTGAACTATATTTGTTATCTGGCACTCTCTTTATTGAATTTTTTCTTAACCAACTAAAATGGTACCTTGTCTGAGTATTAAATTTTGGTTCCATCCCACTCATGATCTCTCCTTTAGAAAATGCCTGATAGATGTATTTCTATAACAACGATTGTCATACTTTATGTATGTCATGCTGTGAATTATTCTTTCAACCTTTAAACCTTTAAAAGTACTTATAACAGCAATGTGTAAGCACTTTAGTGATGTTATCATAAAGAGTGACCAGCATCTAATTTCTCCTTACAATGTCACCCTGAATCACACATTGAGGTCATGAAAAGAAGGAAGTGATCACCAACTGAAGGATCTCTTAACTAAACTGATTCCCCTTGTCAGCACCTTTGGAGTATAGAAAACAGTATGGAAAATATGCATGTACTGATGTTTGGGTGTAATGGATTAAGTAGGTTTTGAATGGAGCCAAGGCACCCAACTAAAACTTTGATACATAACAGTGAATTGTCTGGTGTTTCAAGCATGAATCATACATAGAGTTGATCACAACAGGTTAGCTGAAGTTATTTTAACAAACTGGAAAAGAAAAGCGTGAAAAATAAGAATAACTTGACAGCTTCCCTCTCTTCAACTAAGAATCAAAGTCATCACTCTCTTTTATAACAAAGTCAGCTTTAGCTAGATCATTCAATTCATTTTAATTCTAATGTCCTTGTTTTCCTGGTGTAGGAATACATGGCCAGTGAAGGAATAGAACTGAACCAGCCTGAATTACCTGAAACAGATCCCTACACAGAATCACGCAAACAGCCACTACGTAGCTACAAGACTCCATCATCATTTGACAAACTGAAACAGTTCATAGAGTTGGATCGAAAAGTCCTAAGATTTTACTGTGTCTGGGATGACAGAGACAGTATGTTTGGAGAAATGCGGCCTTGTGTGAGTAATAGTTAATCTTTGTTGGATTAACTTTATCAAGATCCTCCCCAGACTGGAAGATGCATGTAATTGTCAATAAATGAGTGCATGTATTGTTGCTTGACTAACAGCTAGTTCTCTTTTTTTCATTAGATCATACACTATTACCTTGTGGATGACACAGTAGAGATTAGAGAGGTCCATGCTGCAAATGATGGACGAGATCCATTTCCTGTACTTGTTTGCAGACAAAAACTTCCAAAAGACAGAAGTAATGTGGAATGTAAGTTAATCCTTGTGATGTGTTAGATAGAAAACCTTCTTAGGGAACTTTATGTACATTAACTTCTGAAAACGTATCTATCGCCCTTGGTTAATATGCTGTTAGTCAAGTCAGGGCACTGATAGTTTTTCTAGCAGGTGCTTATTTCATGTTTTTTCTTTTTCAATTTACACCTTCAGTATGACCTTAAGAAAAATTGCTAGTGTGAGATTCTAAACATCTCTTGAGATCACTTGAGACATAAGTGTGATACACTGTCCTCATTAATTCAGTAATTCATTCTTTGCTGAGGGGTGCACTATTGAAATGCTTTGCAAATTAAGGGGGATATACTAATTGCAGTGCAGTACATTCTTAAAACTGGAGGCCTTGTGAAAGCATGTATGGTATATCTTTAAATTCTTTTATTATTTTTCAACAGCTTCATTTCCTTCATGTGTTCTGGAGTTGTCTGATCATGAAATCAAAGACTGGTTTAGTCCAAGAGACTTCATGGTTGGGCAAACTCTTTTCATTTTGGGAAGGAGATTGTTATTACATGACTGTGATGAGTTCACAAAGAACTACTACAGGAAAACATTTGGCATCACTGACTTTACTTCAGTTGATGTGAAGGGACTACCCAGAGAGCCATTACCAAAGGTAAATATTTACTTGTGTTCAGTAAGGCTATACCCTCACTGAACATCAGATATGTATGAAATACTTCAGCCAGATCAATTTTCCTGTATTTCTTCTGACAGGCGTTCAATAATCTTCTAATTTAAGTTTTCTGTAGGTTTGTTGAGTGCAATAGTCACAAACAGTGATGAGAGATTAAATTAGTCTTCCCAGACTGTACCAGTTTTAAAGTAAAATTTTTATTGGAATTGCCAAATATCTCATATGGGACTGAAAGTTAATGATGTTTGTGTTCACGCATATCTGTAATTCAAGCAAAATGATAATTTTCCTTTGTTTACAATAGGATGTTCCACCTTACAATGGATTTGGATCACTTGAAGACAGCTTACAGTCTTGCCTGTCACTTGTACCTCAGCCTCCTAAAAAAGATTTCATCAAGATGCTGGAAAATGATCATAAAGTGCTGCGATATGCTGCAACAATGGTAATTTGCCTTTCAAAGAATTCAAAGTTATCTTCCCCCCCCTCCCCTCCCGGCATGTTTAGTGAATTGTTTGTCACAATGACTTACAAACTTAAACAACAAACTATCTTCTTATTTTATTGGCTTTGACAACTCACTTAATATTCATTTCTTCTCTCAGGAAAGCTTCAGACCTGAAGACAAAAACAGGCGTTTTATCATTTACTACCGCTTGGCTGATGATATGTTGACAATCTATGAACCTCCAGTCAGAAATGCTGGTATAATTGGTGGAAAATTCCTTGAACGAACTCATGCCACCAAACCAGGTTCATCTGTTGATAATCCTGAGTTCTACACCCCAGCTGACTTTCAGATTGAAGCTTTGATACAGATCTTCAAGCACCGCTTCAGAATAACTGATGCTGATGAGTACGTATTAAAATATTTAGAATCACATGCTCGAATTTATCCCATTGATACCATCAACTCCATCAGAGAAAAGCATGGCAGACCACCCACCACCACAGAGGAGCTGGTGGCATCTGTTCCACAAGGAGATACTGACCCAAACTTACAGAAAAGACAACCAAGTGGAATAAAAACAGAGTATCAAAGAAGGTACTTACAATACTGGCTGTTGTACCAGTCTTGTTTTCAGTTTTTGTGATGATAATAATATACATAAAAAAATTATGCACTTCTTATTAGCTGAAAACTAGTGCATTTTTCACATAACACGAGTGCAAAGTTGAAACACAACTGCAAATTACAAAAAGCAAGCACTTGTTACAAAATTTTGTCCACACTTAGAAATAAGAACTTGTAAATTTTTCAAAGACTAAAAATTGTACTTTCCCTATGGGCTTGTGCAATTTTGTCATCTCTAAAAATAAACTTGTGTTTATTAACTCCAAATTGCACTCTTATCATATTGTTACCTATACTTGTATCTGTAAATTTTGAGTGACTTAATGGACATCAAATATGTCGCAACTTTCTAACATTGCTTCATAATTATTCTTCCTAGGTTTTGTGAGGGATAAACTTAAATGTTAACACAACACAAGATGGAAAACATCAAGACTACTTTCAAGTGCAAATTTTGTAAATTTTAAATTTATTTGTATCCTTGACTTTCGTTGTCAGAACTTCAGTCAACCTTCTTCATATAGACCAAATAAACAGTCTTATGATCACAAATATTGTTCATAATATTTCAGATTTTTGTTCTTTGACCTGCATTATTTTTTTAGGTATATGTAGTTAAGGTTTGATATCATTACCTTAACACTAAATGCTTAGAGAATCGCGTACAACAGGCTGTAAGTATTGCATCAAAGTTAAGAAACTAAGACATAGATTGAGTGCATCTAATAGGTTGAATAAAGACATTGTCTGTTTTCAACTGGAGAACAACTCATTTTCTTACTTCCTTCAGGGTCTTGCCACCACACCACAACTTAGCTCTAAAACTAGCAAATGTTTGCAAAATAATCTTACTCTCCTTTCTCAAAGAAAGGGGGAAGGAGAAAGAGAGACCATACAGCAGAATTGTGGAAATTAAGTCTACCCACAGTTCTATTTGACAAAAAGTACATATCCTTATCTAGATTCTTTCTTATACACCTGTGGTATTTTGTCTCCAAACATCTGTAATTCTGCTTGTACTTGGCTTGGTGACAAATGATTCATTCACCCACATCCTTCTCTTTGCATTTGTTGTTAAACGTAGTTACCATGTCCATCAATTTCATGTTGCTGGTTTTCATTGTTAAAGTATCTTTGTCATCTATTTGAAAAATAAAATTCTTTAAGTTTCGTTACTGATCATGTCAAAACATCTAAAGTTATTGGATAAACTTTTTAATCAAATTTCTTGTGATTTGGCCTATTTGCTACATACACATGAGATTCATTACTTTACAGTTATGATAGGTCAAACTGCCTTGTTCCACTCACCAAGGATAAACCTTGATTACCTGTTCCTTAAATTACATCACAATTAATGTTTATGAACAACATAGTAGCTTACTAATACACTGGAGCACAATGTATGCTGGGCAGTTCCCTATTTTTTACACAGACTTAGAGAAAAATAACCTTGAGGTTTGCTCATGCTGGGGAGGAGGACATAGAACTATCACCATTAAATTTGTTACTTCAAGGAGAAATTCACACACTGGGGGCCTCAATAAATCTCCCTAAAACATCACTATGAATATCATTAATTTAAACTGCCTGGCTGTTGTGCAGAGGTAACCAATAAAGGGATTTAAGAAAAAAAAAAGCAGTTGATGTCAGAATAGCCATGGAACAAGATAACAAGGCAGTCACTAGAAGGTGGCCATTTGACTTTTAATCAGGTTTGCCGAAGTTATGGGAAAGTAAACAAATGTTACTCACTAAAGACAACATCAACAACTGGTTCTGATCCATCATTCTTGAAATTTGATATGACCTGGCATTTAGGATTGGAGTCTATCATTCTTCGACATGAAACTCTTAAAAGGAAGTCTCTAAAAATTAAAAAACAGTCAAGTGTGTTACTGATAGGCTGAAAGTGGATTTTGAGCCAAGCTACGTAGCATCAGCTGCACAAGTATTCACAACTTTTTAAAGAGAGTGCCGTGCAAAAAGCCAATCCCAGTAGATATGTACTAAGATTATTCCTCTGGTAATTTGTTTTGAAACATCATGGTGTAAATAAAAAATACCACGTGAAAAAAACATTTTCACAGAAATATCAACAAATTTTAAAATTAAATTATTTGCGTCTGTTTTGAATGGTATCTATCGCTAAAAAAGGTTCAACCTCTCGTGTTTTATCTTACATGCAGAATATAATGCGAGAGGTTGAACGATCTCTAAGTTGTGTGAGTATAACGTTACATTCAGGTTGTAGCAATGAATTTTGTCAAAAGGGTGTAATTACCTTGCTGTCGCCGTTTTTGGGTCAAAAGGGCAAAACGAAACAGTTAATCTAGCAACATGTTTTAAGGAAGCACCTCTGATGGCCGCCATTTTCGGGGACTGCTGACAAGGAGCCAAAGTGACCCTGGGCTCGAGACTGGACGTCACGGCAGTCGTATGTCATTACCATTATGACATCATCAAAAACCTGTTTGTCCAGTTTTACGAGTACCAGTTGGAGCGCCATCTTCTGATAGTCTCACTGTGTCAGTTACTAAGAGTAAAATGCCAAGAAACGGTCGAAGAAAACGTTCTCTTAGCTCAGGAGAAGATAGTCTAGTTTCTTATTACTCTAAACATCGATGCCTAGAAAGAGAATACAGCCCTGTCTCTGAAACTCGCCATTTAAAACGTGGCAGTTCACCAATTCGTAGCCGGGAGCGGAGGCATAATCGTCAATTGACAAGAAATCGAAGCCGCAGTACCCGACGAAGTGACCGAAAGACAAGAAGACACAAACATCGTAATGATTTTCCCGATAGTCACGCGGTAAGAAGCCACATTAGTGTTTTTGTTTTTTGTGGTATAGTCAATCGGAGGGTGAAGTTGTACTACTAAAGTGTTCAAACAGTCCTCATCTTAATCAAACAATCAGCTCCTAGTGAAAATTGCCATTCCGCTTCAAGACTCTGGAATTATTTGGAGATCGGATACTTGTTACTTGTGACTAACTAATTATATTCGTTCGAAAAATTATGGCTTTGCTGCATCTAATCGAAAGTACATGATTTGTTATAAAGACTATTTTCAATGAATGGTCACCATCTTGTAGATTTCAATTGTTTTGAATTCTACACACGCGACATGTGCTCAGAGTCGAGCGACAAACAGCGAATGGTGGTGTGACGAGTTTCACGTTCAATTTGCTGCCTTTCATCCGAATTTATGAGCCTGTCCTAAATTAATTAATTCGATAATAAGCACTTTTTTAAGGAATCTACCCATCTGCGAATGATTAAATATTCACTCTTAATGGTGGAAATGAGCTTTTCAAAGCCATCCAAAGATTGTGACTGAAAATAATCTGCACATCACTGGGGCAACAGTGGCATGTGATAATATAGCTCTATTACATACCCTATCCATATATTCATGGCTATCTCATTCAATAATCTTTTGTTTAAGATAAAGCTCTCTTGAAGAAATAACTTATTTTTAACGAGACATTTATCCATGGAAGTATGGAAGCTCACTGTCAAGAACGAGCTTAACTTTCACAAATGATAATGGAATATTTCCTAAGAGATAGATGCTTTTCCTTCCAAATAAACTTATGTGTTTGCTGTGTGTGTATATTTTGCTATTTTCTATATGTTTGAAAATGGGGTGGAACTCCGGATGTGATCATGCTGATGCAAATTATGATGTCGGGATGAATTGCGCCCATGCCTTCCTGTGAAATATGTCTATGAATGATTGAATTGCACGCGTGAAACGGATGCTGCACCGGTTGCACAGAAGCCAACATGTGTGGATGATCCGGGCAGATGCTTTTCAAGTAACAAGGATGATGACGACGGTCACCTGATATATCACCAGGGCGACATGCTGCACTCCAGATGTACTAATTTTTCTTGTTTCATTCAGTAACTGGTAGATACATGTTACTAAATTATACTTCCTTAGCCTTGGAACTTGTTCTCACCTTCTAGAAATGAGTGGCTGGTAATTTTACTGTACTATTGGCCACAGTATTCTTGTTTGCATTGTGAAATGTTGATCACTGTGCTTTTATACTTAACCCTATGTATAACTTCTATTGGGACACAGCATATATTACTAAAACAACTAAAGCTGTAGTATTTGTTCAATTTTGATTTCCTTTGATAATCTGATCATGGGATAAAGATCAATATGGAAGTGCTTCTTTTCTCAATATTTGACTTGGTTGTTTGGTTTTCTTTCAGATGAGATTAACACACTGTTAGGTGAGGGAACATTTGGGAAAGTCTTGGATTGTTATGACAGGTTAGTTTGTTGTGTCAGTAGAGTTTAAGATTCTAGAAAAACTTCCTTGTTTGTTTCTGTCAAACCTGAAGAACCTTGGGCATTGGAACCATGGTTGGATTGTTTATTTGGTGAGAGGAAGATTAGAGAAACTTAAATCAGGTGTAACAGGAAAACTTTCCCATTTTTAGTCTTCACATTTTTCAAATGAGTTTGAAAGTAACATTCCAGCTTCATTTGTCTGACACAGGCTCCTTAATTGAGTCAAATCATCCAGAGAGTTTTTGACAAGTATTGTTTTTATCATACATACTGCCAAAATACAGCTGTGTTGGGGAGGGTAGTGGTCTGTTACAACACTTATATTCTCATGAGATGGAGCTGTATTTAAAAGACAATAATTTTGTATTGACAGAAAAAGTAATTCATATGTTGCTGTGAAAGTGATCAAGAATGTTGAAAAGTACAGGTTTGTGCATAACTTATTCTTGGGAGTGTTCAAATATTTTAGCAAGGTTTGTCTTGAAAGAGCTCTTCAACTCTCAATTTTAATGAGGTATTATGTCAAATAATTATTTTATAGGGAAGCTGCAAAACTAGAAATCAAAGTACTTGAAAAGATCCAGCAAAGAGATAGGAATGGCAGAAGGTGCAAATGTTTTACTTTGTTTCACTTTACTGTTTTTGTTCTTATATAAGAAAAAGTTTCATGTTAACCTCTCTTATGTGATTTGGTCTCTGGGTGTTAATTTTGAACATAAGAAAACTGTGAACCAGAAGAATGAAAAGGATATTCTTATTTTTCACCAAAAAAGAAGCTTTGAGAAATCAAAACTGCAAGCAACAACACTTACCAGTTTGTTGTTTGTTAGTGTGTCTAGAACTGATTCATGATTGGTCAGCATATGATTGACACATTAGAGTCACATCAAAAGAAGGATTTTGATTTTCACAGTTACATGGCAGTCTCCAATTGATAGCCAAGTTAATTTTACCACTAATCAAATAGCAGTTAGAAAGTGAAGAAAAATAATTACATTGTAGGTTTTATTTCCTTGCAATACATTGTTCAATACTGTAAGACCCTCACAATGGTAATGATCATAATCACTGAAGATACCTTGTTATATAGTTTTAAAATGATCTTCTTTTCATTTCTTTCAGCTTGTGTATTGTGTTGCTCGACTGGTTTAACCATCATGGCCACATGTGTCTTGTGTTTGAGAAGATGGGTCTGAGTGTGTTTGACTTCATGGTAATTGAGAAGCTTCTGTTTCCCTTTGAGCCACAGCATAATTAAATGTTTTTATATAGTCTTGGTTAACAACTTCCTCCTCACATGGACATAGTCTTGGTTAACAACTTCCTCCTCACATGGACATAGTATATTGACTCTGCTGATATGAATCCTCTTTGTTCAGTGACTGACCATCCAAATTTTTTGTTTTAAGTACATATGTTTTTCTGCTTGATTTTTTCATTGTTCCATCCACATTAAGTTGTTCATAAATAAAGCTTCCCCAGTTTACAAATGATTTATTATTTCTATTATCTCTGAATTATTAACAAACTAATAAAGGGGGTAAGTTTCTAAAGAAACTGTGATGCTGTGTTGGTGGGAGAGTATGGCTGGTAATTTAGTGTTAACCACTGACTTGAAAACGTAAATTGGCCATGTTTCGAATGTTAGCCCTTTGTAAATCACTCTGACAAAGGGCTAATGCTCAAAATGTCAGCTTTTTTACCCTTTATGGTGGCCAATTTACATTTTCAACTCAGTTGTTAACACTAAATTACCTATTAACAAACAGTGCCCACTTGTTACTTGTTGTGACTACCGTCATTTTCTTTGACATCATCAAACCTTGTAGACCCTGTGAATCTCATTAAATTTGCTTGGTGGTTGAGCATTAAATAATGGACTGGTAGGTCACAAGTTCAACTGTTGTGTGTAGCTCTTGGGCATACCGCTGTCACCAACAAAAAAACTTTGTGCATCTAGTTCAGACAATTTGCTAAATTACTTAAATCATTGCCTTCTCTTATTATTTGTATGAATAGAAGGACAACAGTTATGAACCTTATCCACTGGAACAAGTCAGACATATCTCCTACCAACTTCTTGTTTCAGTAAAGTGTGAGTATCTAAGGCATTGAATTTTAAGTACTGGTTTGAATCCTGCAATTGGCTTATTTCCAGATTTTATGCCTTGTACATACAATCATTATTATTATTTATATATATATATATATATATATATATATATATATATATATTTACTGGTTGTTGAATAGCTTTTGGATCATTACTCACCGATTCACACAAACTTATTCAGTCAGAATAAGTGAACTTTAAAACTAAAAACTATTTACAGTCAGGAATCTTCAGATATACATTTAGACTAGAGCACTATTGTTTCCCCTAACTTTCTGGCTTCCATAGCCAATCAGCTGTACTGATCACACGGGAGTATAACCCAAGAGTTTTGTTGATATATAATACTTATTTCTGATGATTGATTTTTAGTTCTTCATGATATGAAGCTGAGTCACACTGATCTGAAACCAGAAAACATGCTGTTTGTGAATTCTGACTGCAATGTTACATATAATCCAAGACTGGTTTGTAAACAAAGTTTTGCTTTCTTGTTATGTACTAAAATTAGATTTGTGTAAATAAGGTTGTTAAGAAAGTCCATCAGAGTTTTTATGAACAGGTATTTTTAACCCTTACAATAATATTTTGTTGTTGTGGAAATATATTTGTTAATGTTGTTGTTGTTGTTGCAGAAACGAGATGAGAGAGAAGTAAAAAGTTCAGACATGCGTCTGATTGACTTTGGATCAGCAACATTCGATCATGAACATCACAGCACTGTTGTTTCTACAAGACACTATCGTGCTCCTGAAGTCATTCTTGGTAAGCAGTGTAATCAGAGCACATGATATGTCAGGGACTCTTCGTCTGTTGTGTTATGTTGTGGACTATTCCTCAGTAGTGTTATGTTGTGAAATTTCTTTAGTTGTTTGCTTTTCGTTTTCCCTTTGAGTTAGTGCATTGGGTTATTTGGATGGACTTGGTGACATGCTTGCAGTAAAACTTGCCAGGGGCCTTGAGTAATGTCTCCAGTTCTCTGTTGATTCACTTGATTTCATCAACAAGTTTCATTATCTAAAATCCTATTTTTCCTTTTATTCCTTAGAGCTTGGCTGGTCGTATCCATGTGACATGTGGAGTGTCGGTTGCATCATGTTTGAACTGTACACCGGCTTCACTCTCTTCCAGGTAACTTCACTTAACAGAATACAACTTTAGTATTGATTTTGATAAAGTAATGACTTCATTAGAAACACTTTAAATTGTTCATTTGTCAGAGGAGATGATAACATAAAGATGACCTATGGTGATGTGAATATAAATCTAGTTGTACCATACAGTATTATAATAAATTGCCTCTTTGGAGTTAACTATTGTGAGAATTGTCCATGAATTTGCTCTGTGTATTTCTGATAATTTATAGTTAAATTTTACTTTATGTTTGATTGACTTTAGACTCATGAAAACAGAGAACATCTTGCGATGATGAAGAGAATATTGGGTCCTATACCTTCCCATATGGCTAAAAAATCTAGGTGAGAAAAATTGTGATGGCAACAGTAACTTAATATTATTGAATTGCAAATTTTGGGCTAACCCAGGGTAAACTCTAATAATGATGAGCCCATTAAGTTCATGTGTTGAATTAATCGTTTGTTTATCTTTTCTGATTTTATTCTTTTGATTCTTTTAGAAAAACCAAGTACTTTTATAAAGGTAAACTAGACTGGGACGAAAGAAGCTCAGCTGGAAGATACGTGAGAGAGAACTGTAAGGCGCTTAAGGTACGCTACATATTTATCACTTGTTACTTATGCGTTTGACCAAACATCTGACTTGTAACTAATAGAAACAGACTTGTGCTTCCCTGACCAAGATAGGAATAATAATTAAGAATATAAATTCTGCATTGAGTTTGTTTAGCCTGGAGTTTAGATTGAATATATACGGTTAAACTGTTTTGTGTGATGTCATCGGCAGGATGTGATGGCGATTGTTTTTATTTTGTTGTTGTTTTCATCAGAAATACAAACGTGGAGATGGAGAGACACACGAACTGTTCTTCAACCTCATCGAACATCTGTTAGAATACGAACCTGATCGCCGGTTAAGCGCCAAGGAAGCCATCTGTCATCCATTCTTTTATGGAATGATAATACATTCGTCAGTAAACAGACATTCACACAGCAAGAGTAGATGACTATTAACAAGGAAAAACACAAACACTCGGGCATACTTCGCTCGCACGTTATTCTATTACGCTCTACTTTTTATTTTTCTCCTTTTCTCCTTTGCTACTTCCATGTAGCTGAAAACGTTTCGTTATTAGAAAAGCGGTGAAGTAATAAGCAGTAGACTGAAGCGTTCACGAGTACTGTATGTTTACCCCCACTACCTCCCCTCCCCCGTGACAAATAATAACAAGGCAGAATTGTTAAATAATGATTCTAACGAGAGCTGCGATATTTAACACTTCACATACATGATGTACATAACGGACATAATAATCATACAATGTAAGATGGTAGTTACGAAAAACTGTCAGCCAGTGTATTGGACAAGTCATTGGCGAATCTTCCGACATAAATCCAGTTTTCAACCTATTTTTCTCTTCGTTCCTACGCGGAAATGAAAATCATTTCATTCTCTAACGAAGTGTGAACAACAATATGTCATTGTTTTTAATGTTGCTTATCAGGATGTCCAGACTTATTTTGGTCGCCTTTACGGAGAATTTTATTCAGAATATTTTATGGAACATTCATTGTGCAGTGTTACACGTAAGATGCTTATAACGACATATAATGAAAAGAAGTGAATAAATTATGGCCAGAGAATTTTACACAGTGTTTGTTTTTATTTAGCGTTTGTTTTTAATTCAATTTATTGCTTTTGACACGTTAATCTTCTCAGAAAGTAGTTTTCTAACTTTTGTTTGGACAAATGTACTTCTTCATCTCGAGTGAATTTAGCAGGACTAAGCAATAGCTTGCACTTTCCTTGATGTGCTGTTGATGGTATACTGAACTTTTTAACAGTTGGAGGGGTTCAGGCGAGTAACAGTAAATAATGAACTTACTTGAAAGGCTAAGGAGAAGATGGAGTTCAAAAAATAAAAAAGTAGTGGAGGTGGACCGCGGTGCGTGCGCCAAGCGGACCTGGGCTTTCGTAGGTGACTTTAACTGCTTCCGTTTCCTGTATTTCTGGGAACTTCAGCTCTTTTCTTAGAAATATTAAATATTCATACGTAGCTCACGTCGTGGTCGCTGTTTCACCGTTGTAAAATTTAAGGATTTTCTGACAATTGAAAAAAAGCTTCAACTTTAATATAGTAAATCAGCGGCCAATCTTAAATCCACTTTCCTGTCCCTCCGCAGTGGTGAGCGAGCACATCAAACAGTACACCAACGCTGGCGCGCGAACAAGTCGAGGGCAATTTCATGTTGCTGTTTGGTACCGAAGACATTTCATCCGCGGACTTAATTGTTATTTGGTGAGTTAGCAACATAGAATAAACGGCTAAATGTAAGATTTCTGACTTTTTCTTTCAAATACAACAGTATTTTGTTTCAAGAGGTGACGAAGAGCTGATATGTTTTCGCTGTTTCGTAACATTGTTTTTAGTCCTTATAGATGTAATAAGCACATAAGGGGTTTATATCAACCTTGAGATAACTTTAAAGCGTTTGTATAAATTCGTTCCTTTTGTCGCATACTCTCACTTCCGGTACGTAAGACAGACAAGGGACGGCACTCGTATTGTTCGGTGTTGTCTCGTGTCCAGGCTTGTAAGCGCTTGAATTCTTGGAAAATGTCGCTTCATTGCTTTAGCAATAATTTTCATATTGGATAGGAGACTTCTCCTGTTTTTCGGTACGTATTTTTAAAATTACTTTCAAATTGTTCGAAGTTAAGGAATTTTAGGCATTGACACATAGTCAATTAGATCAAAATCAGGACTTTGGTTGGCGAGCGGCCATCCTCTCGGCCGGCCATTTTCTTTTCTTTCTTCCTCTTGCGATTTTTCCTATAAAGTCTTGTGAACAAAATAGGACGATTTTATTTAATTTGCAAATGAAATACGGCAACATGTGACAATTCTTTTTCTCTGTGATCATCGCTACGGCCTTTCTTTCGCTGGCGATCGCACAAGAAGGCTTTGCAAACATTTTCAACGCTTCGGGTTCTAACCTGCCTAATCACGGAACAACTTTGTGAAACGTATTTCTTCGTTTGGTTTCTTCCGTCGTTAAAGTTTTAAATGTTAAGTCGTAGTACTTTTATTACGCGACAAGTTTTCTGATAAGAATCTGACACAGTGATACAAAAAGCGAGTTTGTCTGCCTTTTGTTGGATTTTATCTCACGATGCGTCACTGATTATCCAAAATAACTCTACAAAATAGGAACCGTAACTTTTAGGACTGAGATCCTTTTGTCTTGTCGGCTAAGTCCATTCTGTTTTGCCAACCCTGTTATATCTTTTATCTCAAACGTATTGTTTCCGAGGAAAGCATAGTCTTAATTGCAAGATCACAGCAAAGTATCGCCCGAGTGTCGTCCTTCAAATTTAGAAACAGGAGAGACAATATTGAAAACCGAGGGGTTTAACAGTTTTTGAGAACTCATTCGCAGTTCGATTCAACTCTTTAATTTCCATCAGTTTGAGTTGAGTTTAAGTTGTATTTCCTATGTTGGCTTGATGTTCCTCCTATGTTTTGACGGGTTATTTTTGTTACTCTCTTAGTTTGGTGGCCAGTTGTAAATGTCTGATGTTGGCTAAATTCTGCAACATAGCTCCCGTAAGGTAGAAACCAAAATCTAGAACGATCCAAATAAGGTTAGCTCAACAGATGAATCTTTGCTTACTAATGTTTGTTTATTCAAATAATCGTTTCAATCCCTTCTCACTTCTGGAGATGAGAGAAAATTTTAGATCTTTGGACAACTAGCATTATCTCAACTTTCTGTGCCATTATATCACGATATGTTACCTTTTTATTGCGAACAAGATCATTCACCTATTGAGACATTTCCTATCAATGAATTCATTTCATTATTTCCTCTTGAGAGGACTCGCTTGATTGTTTCTTTTTTACGTAAATTGCTCAAAAATGTTATGTTATTGGATTTCTTGGAAATATGACAGTTTGCGGAAATTGTAGTTTTTCTGAGTAAGAAACGAACAATGTCGACCCCTGTGATTCTCGGAAAAGAAAATTGAACTAATAATCCAGTGTGTTAGAGTATTTCGGATGAATATACAGCGAAAAACATTTTGAGGTAATTTGTACCTTATGTATTTTGTTGACCAAGATAAAGTGTCATAGAAGTATCACTGTTGTTCAGTGTTCTTGTTCACGATAAGTTTCTCATATTCCAAAATTATTCACTATATTATATTATCAAGTAGTAATATTATCATATTACGTCTAGTGTATTCTGATTAGCGGAAATTTTATTGGGGTTGGTTTAGCGGTAGACCTTATTAACGATTCCGAGTCTTTTTGTTTATTCGCCTAGTGCCTTGTACCTTATACTTAGTTGAATACTTAAATAAATAGATACACGAATTTGCGTTCATAGTTTGTGATCATGGCTGATTTTCCAGACTGGAGGGTTGAATCTCCAGAAGATTCTGCATTTAAATGGCTTTGCGAGGGTCAATATATGAAAGCAATTCTCTCTTTTGAGTCCTGGATCCTGCGCACAAAACACACTTGGACTGATGATAAGGAAAAGAAACTTGGTGACCTTTATAGAGGACTAGCCGAAGCATATTGGCACGTACACTGTCCTGATGATGCTTTAGAGCAGATATTACGCTGCGTATGGGAGAACTGCCACGAATTTTCTGAGGTAACTCTTAACGATAATCAGTTCTGCCCAGCTGTCCAATAAAAGACAGAAAGTTTCGTCCTTCTTCTTTTCCACCAAACTGTCGAAGTATGGTAACTTCTATTTCCCTCCGCTCTCCAACTTCGTGATTATGGTTGGTTTTTTGTATTTTTTATTGTTGTTTTTTATCGACAGAGACGCGATTGTTATGGTAGATCATTTATTTTGCATTTTAATCTCACCATTTTGCTAGAGACACGTGAGCCATTGGTCAATACTTGCTGATAAACAGGTTGAGAATCCAGAGTTTAAGCTCAAAGGCTATCAAATAGCACTTCAGTTTGTTCCACCTCATGACCTATTCAAAAGGAGCCATCTGCTGTCAAAAATGCTGCTGTTTTGCTGCGAGTCTGGGTCATCCTTCCAAATCATGGCCGGTTTGTTTATGTGCGCAGCGAACGAGATAGAAGTTTGTGAACAAGAGGTGGGAACCAAAAACAGTATCATTACCTTAACAAATGAAGCACAACATTAGTGAAATCCTTTTTATCCTTGAAGGTCATTCCTCTGAAATGGGACCTGCACTGATATTTTTTTTAACTTTTACCTATTGGTTGTTTATCTTGAAGGAGCGTAAATTTTGAATAAAAAGGACAGGTCTTCAGGTTCGTTTAGGAGCGGCAGTACCTTGTACATACCCATATAATTCCCACAGCATCGTGACAATTAAATTTTCGCCACTTGCCATCTAAGCGTTTCCAAAAATTGTCCGGCACTTTTCCTACGCTGAGAATTGGTTTATACTTATTTGACGGAAAAAAGTCAGTGTAGGAAAGCGAAAAGCATGATAGATCATTGTGTTCGTTTTCAAAAAATAAGGAATTACCACTCTGGCAAGCTCCAACCATAGAAAGAAGCCGCCATTTTTTTAATGTGTACGATCTTGCAGTGCCACTATGACCAAAATTTTGCAATCTTATTTCCTTCATCAGGCTTTAAGAATAGCTTTCATTTGCAGCAAGGGAATGCCGCCGTCTATCCAACTAATAATTTTCGACTGTTATTGACTGCTATTATTTTGACATCTTGTATTACACCTCAGAAATGAGGTCTAATATAAAATGGCATAAAATTCTCTGTTGCCTCAATCCCCCACTTCTTTGAACGTCATTTAAGTGCTATCATTTTATAGCTAGCGGTTTCCTCTCATATAGGACCTCGCAAAAATTTGGTTGGATTGCGGAAAAAAGATTCTACCATTCAGAGATTCTTTGAAGATATCTGTTGAGTGCTTTACTCTAGCACAAAGGTTTTTGCCAAGTGATGAGGACAAGATGAAAGCCCGGCTCTGCTTTCTAAGGGCAAAGACTATTTTAGCTATTGGTGAGTCCAGTCAGTATGCTCAAGCAAAGAAGGATGCCCAGACGTATGTTGCACTCCGCCCTTCTAAGACGAAGGTAGTTACATTATATGTATATTTCTTTTCATTTACGAGGCTACTTAATGAATTTTTTGGACTGAATGTTAACCTACCACCGGAAACTAAAAGGACAAAGGTTGGTGTGAGAAAAAGAGGGCCAGAAAAATTGAATTCATTGACACGAATTTCAACTTGGGATCAGTAGTACAATCGATATTGTCTTCTTGCTTGCTTTTTTTGAAGCAAGGCAAACGTCAACTATTGAATCAAGGGGGTAAGTTTCTAAAGAAACTGGTGCAACTGAGTTGATAACGTAAATGGGCCACCGTAAAGAGTTTCAAAGCTGGAGTTTCGCTGTGACGAAGGGCTAACGCTCGAAACGTCAGCTTTGAACTTTTTACGGTGGCCGATTTACGTTATCAACTCAGTCGATATACTAAAATACCTGTTAAACGTCAACTATTGTCGAGGCAAGAAATTAATTATGCTATTTGTAGAGGGAACTTGAACGTTTCCCTTCTCTTTATCTTTTCTTTCCATCACTCAATTATTAACAGGTGATATTTTTAACTCTTTGAAAACCCTGCACTACACTCTGCCTCCGAGCACTCCCGTCTGCCAATGAGATTTCAGAACTTCGTGGAGTCCACGAAGTTTGAAAAATCAATATTGCTTGAGCTTCCTTTTCTTTTCAAGGTTTTTTGTTTGAATTTCTATGTAATTTTAGTCATTCTTTGTTCAATTTCTATGAATCGCGACAGGGCTACTCACTGTTATGGGAATGCTCTCTTCGATGCCATAATTATAAAGAGGCACTTGTGAATTTTGGAATAGCGCAGGAAACTTTGAAAGACCGACAAGAGGAGAAATATCAAGAATTTTACAAGTTTTTTACATCAGCCGTATCACAGAAAGGTAAAAAAAATGTATACAATTATTTTCATGAAGATTCATATGGAAACATCCATCTCAAAATTGCATTTTTCGATGCCGTCAGTACAACGTTCCGCAATCTTTGAGGGCGTTTTAATGTGCTTAACTACAGCTGTAAGAGCATTAAAAGTATGCCTATTCAAACCGGCAAGCGCACAACATAGGACAGGTGAAAACGATTTGGTGATGGTGGACGAAGAAGATAAACGAAAACGAATAGTTTTGAAACTGCATGGGTGGGATTGAGGCTTAAGACATCGCGTCGAGGCTGGGCTGTCGCTCGAGTGACTGCTAACTGTTTACGAAGGAAATAATAGTTTTATTGTTATCTTTTTCTCTTACTCTAATCAACAACGAATATGGGACCATAATACCACTCTTTACTAGCACAAAAGTTTTATTTCATAGGCACATGTGTACCTTGTTAATTGCTTGATGTTCAGGTCTGAGAATAGATGTGAGAGAGCACCACATCAAGCTTTCTCGCAGATAACCTAGCAGGAGTAGGTCCGCTCACCTCCTCTTTGGTTTTGAAACGGCTTGGAATATTTCAGGTCGAGTGTTAAGAGTGTTTAAAGAATTTTGTCTTAGTCCCTATGATTCTTAGTACAAAGTGACCATTTGTTTTACAACTTGTTTTTGTTTAAATTGATTGTGTCCCGTGCAGCATCTGAAGTATTCAAAGAAGAATGTCCTGTCGCTGGCTGTTTAGTGGAAAGACTTATTAGCGAGTTTACTGCCAAAGAAACCGTTAAATACCTATCAGTTCTCTTCCTTGACGGCTGTTGGGCCACTACATGCGATGCCTCTTGTGTTCCACTGGACATGGTATTGAAATCTGACATAGAAAACCGCGATGAATTAGTCAAAATCCTCCTGGAAAAGAAAGCACTTCCAAATGGTCTCTTAAACAGAAGTAAATCCCCGCTGTCAATCTGCATAGAGGAGGACCGTTTAGACTTGGCATTGATTCTTTTAAAGTATGGAGCTGATGAAAAAGAATTAGTGCAAAAAGATGGAGAAACTGCTTTACATGCTTCCTTACAAATTGCCTTGAATTCGAAGAAAGGTAAATTAAGATCATGTCTTAGAAAAAATTCAAAATGTAAAGAAATGTGGCGACATCCCGGTATTCGAATAATACCTTAAATATTTGTTACCAAGTAACTCTTCCTTGTAGCTCGATAAAAATTTTTTTTTTTTTTTTTTGCTCTGGAAAACAGGTAACTTGGAAATCTTCCAGTTCTTTCTCGACGGAAAAAGATCTGATGCCGTCGATGTACAGGACAAGGATGGGAACACTCTTCTGCATTTACTCTGTCAAGGAAGGATGAACTCTAAGAAACGGGAAGCCATGAATCTCGTTCTTAGAGCAGGAGCAAAAACGTCAATCGTAAACAACAAAAAGGAAAGCCCCATCGATCTTCTCTGTAAACAGAGGCAAGGCTTACATTTGTTGATTCCATTTGTGCGAGTGAATATAATGAAATAACTTTCGTTCCCTATCTATGATTGCCTTGGATAATCTCAATAAACGCTTGTTGTCGCAATCATTTACTTCATTCCCTCATTTTCCATGTAAAGCAACAGGTCAACTGAAAATAGATCACAAGACGCTAACTGATTCAATGTACTTAGAAACGTAACAGGACACTGAAAAGCGAAACATTATAAAATGAATTTACAAACCAACATTTGCGGCTCAAGTTCTCAGGAGAATATCCAAACACGTGCGTTCTCCAACTCAACTAATAGTTTACTAATCAAGTTTCATATACTGTAACACGGTAAAGATTTTGAAGTCACGGTAACACTGTCATCGTAAATCATTCAAGGGGTAGACTTGCTACAGAAAACAAAAACGACAACCAATAAGACGAAGGAAAAATGATTTCTTAGTTAACTCTTCAAATGGAAATGGCTTCATGTCAATAGATTCTGTTTTATGGACGAGCAGATAGCTGTTGAGTTGAAAACAATTGCTCAGTGCATCCTACGCCTTATTAATAATTTTAGTTGTTTTGATCGTTTTTATCATCACAAGAGTACAAAACTGTTAGTACGGTAACTGTGGATTTCGTGTGAAAAAGTAGTATTATTAATCTTATTGGCTTTTCTCGTCGCAGATTTTTCAATGATGAAAGAATAACTTTACTGTCCTCTGCTTCGGAATGCTTTGAAAGCTCGTCATCATGTGAGACGAACACTCCAGAGCAAGAAAGTAAAAACGAAGGCAACGAGGTGGAGGGAGAGAGAAATTTAACAGAACGATCGAAGAATATTTCGCGTAAGAGGAAAATTGATAAAAAAGCAACTTCCAAACAATCTGTGCTTTCTACGAATTCTATCGTTGGTGTCCAAACGGAATCTTTGTCCGTTATTCGTAGAGATATAGGGTCGATGATACAAAATTTGGATATCCGCGATTGGATCAAGAAAAATGAATCCACAGAAGTGGTCGAGAGGAGCGAAAACCCAAAGAATGAAAGTGGTCAAACTCAAGGTGATAGAGTCGTGCAGTTAAAACTCGCGAGCGATGATAGAGGATTAGAGCAAGAAGATGAATCACGATCGTTTCTGAGGGACGAAGAACAATGTTCTAGTATTTCTGATACAACAGAATATTGCATCAAGGGAGCTTTCGAAGGACTGCCATGGGAGGTGGAGTGCACTGCAGAAGTACGGAAAGTATTAGAAAGCGAACGTCTGGAGCCGTGGAAGATAAAGCTCTTTGTCGAGAAAGTAAGAACTCTAGCTTTAGGCCGGCACAACTGGTCCCAGGATCTCTGTAAAATTCTGAAGGGTGTACCAAAGAACTGTGGAATGCGTCTTTATGAAGCAAAACTGACAAAAGCTGCAAGAATCATCTGGGAATGTGCAGTTGCTTTCTCTCCCCAATATTCATACGAGGACGAGAAAGGAAAAGTCACGATTTATTCAGAGGTTATCCGTGTATGGGATATTGTGTTTGATCATGATAACATCTCACGCGCTAAAGATAACATTGTTACATCATTCATCCGAGGAAAGGAAGGCGTGGCGAGGAAGGAACTTAAACGACTTTCTCGGGGAGAGGCGTCACCAGACCAAGGCCCTAATCTTTACTGTAGGCGTTCACGCGATTTCCTATCTGGTTACCCCACTCTACTTGCAGTACCAAAAGAGAATGTACTCCGTAACGAAGCAAATGAAGATCAAGTGACTTTTTTCCCCCCTGTTAGTCATAACGACAACGAGTACCAAGTACTGAAATTTTACCACCTGTCTACAGCAATGATTCAGACAATACTGAAACAGCAACCATGTAATGTAGTCCTTGACTTTCCATTTCGAGTAACAGAAGAGGAGCATGCCATCATTAACTTTGAACCTTCCCCCCAGAGTTCCATCATCTTGATTGGACGCAGTGGTACGGGAAAAACGACATGTATTCTTTATCGCTTGTGGAGAGATTTTGAAAACTATTGGGGGAATGCTGTTAAAAGTGGACCACTAATGCCTAAGAAGATTGGGTTTCTTCCTGAAGACCAGTGGGACTCTGATTCATCAAAAGTAAATGTACCAGCTGGCAGACAACTTGATGAAAATGAAGATGGCTGTAGCAGAGAAGTAACTTCGAAGGATGACGACGGAATAGCATCATTTCTGTCTCCATCTCCCGAATCCGAAGAGTCCTTGGAGCATTTCCACCAGCTGTTTGTAACCAAAAATGGTGTCCTCTGTCAACAAATCTCAAAAAATTTCATTGCTTTGAGCCACGCGTCTTCATTTGTGGAACATTCAACTAAGGCATATACAGTGAAACCGGTGAAACTGCAAGAGATTGACGACTCGGCTACTGGCTGGCCCCAGTTTTTGAATGCACGTGACTTTTACGTCATGTTAGACACCTCCTTGCCTGAACCTTACTTCTTTCCACGAAATGACGATGGGAGCCTGGGTCCAAGGGCCCAAAATTGGGGCGAAGAAGATAACAGGTTCTCCGACATTCCACTCCTCGAGGAAGACGATGCTAAAGACAACTCGGATGAGGAAGATGAACACACAGAGGTTGAAATATCCAGCTTAGAAAAGGACAAAGAAATGGTGCTTATAAGCTACGACATTTTTGAAAAACAATTATGGCCAATGGTGTGCAAGAAAAAGAAAGACGGGAACTTCCATCCATCCTTAGTATGGATGGAGATACGATCATTTATTAAAGGCTCATACGAAGCTTTGCATACAAAGAACGGTTATCTTTGCTTAGAAAAATATCAAGAAATCGGGCAAAAGAGGGCTCCAAACTTTACAGCAGACAGGGAGGCAATTTACAAGCTGTTCTTATCTTACGAGAAAGTCAGAAAATCATCTAACATGTTTGATGAAAACGACCTTGTTTTCGATCTGTACCGCCGACTGAGGCAGGGCGGAGTTCCTGACTGGTCAATTCACAAGTTGTACGTGGATGAAACACAGGACTTCACACAGGCAGAGTTGATGCTGCTAATAAGCTGTTGCCGTGATCCCAATGGCATCTTTCTCACTGGAGATACCGCCCAAAGTATAATGCAAGGTATCTCCTTTAGATTCGAAGATCTTCGTTCACTCTTCTATTACATGAAAAAGAACTGCAAAGATGAAGGAGCACAAACACAAGTCGTGGTTCCCGAACTAAAGAAACTCATTTGGAACTACCGATCACACAGCGGAATTCTAAATTTGGCGTCCAGTGTCGTTAGCATTCTACAGGAATATTTTCCTGAGTCGTTTGACAAACTGGATCAAGACCAAGGGCAGCTTGATGGTCCCAAGCCAGTACTCCTTGAATCGTGCAGTCCATCAGATCTTGCGATTATTCTTCGTGGATATAAACGTAAGACAACTGCCATTGAGTTCGGCGCTCATCAAGCTATCCTTGTGGCCTCTAACGAAGCAAGAGAACGTCTTCCGGAGGAGCTTAGCCACGCACTTGTGTTGACGATTTATGAAGCAAAAGGACTGGAATTTGATGACGTCCTTGTCTACAATTTTTTCAAAGACTCGAAGGTAACTAGGCTTTAGTAAAAATTATATCTGCTCGTTGACGTTACAACAATTGATCCTTTCAGTCATTTTGATCCTGGTGCGTTAAGGCGAAAGAAAAGCCTGAAAGATAGATCGAGCTAAACGTAGCTCGCCATTTGAAGGCGGCGCCTTAACGCGAAATGTGATCGCGAATGGATTCTACCCGCTGAGATTATGTATTGCCTCTGAACTTGAGTCAAATTGTTTCTCAACCACTTAGGCAGAAAATTTATCCTTGAACACATAATGAAAGTGTCGTTCGCTTATTGACGCCGAAAATTTTTTAAAGATATGTCTTAAATGCTGAAAGGGGACTTCTTTGAAAGCAGTTGGTTTCTCTCTACGTTATTTATGTGAAATTTTTTAATGCCGCTGTGGATAGCCAAGGAAACCAATTCTCATACATGCTTGTTATTGTTTATATTTTTTTCACCTACAGGCGAGAATCGAGTGGGGGACAGTAACGCACTTTCTCCTGAATGTAAGCGAATCTGAAACCGGCAATTCATTGGAATTCCAATCTCGACCTGTTCTTTTTGACCCAGACCGACACAAACTGCTAAAGGCTGAGTTGAAGCAGCTGTACACAGCTGTGACTCGAGCTCGAGCGAATGTTTGGTTCTTCGATGAGGATGAGGAAAACCGGCGACCAGTGTTTGAGTATTTCGAGCAACTTGGCTTAGCGGAAGTCGTATCACTGAAAGAAGAGGGAGAAGGAAGTACATCTGGAAACCAGCCACTGGAGAAAATGTTCCCCAAAGAGTCGTCTTTGATGGAATGGCAGAATCAAGGAGATTTTTTTTACAGCAAGAAACTTTGGAATGTAGCAGAAAAGTGCTTTAAGAAGTCTGGAAATGAAGACATGAGCCGAAGATGCAAAGCTTACCTACAGGCTGACTATGCCCTAAGCCTTCGCAACGACCCACAACGACAGAAGGATGAATTCCTACGAGCAGCTTACCAGTTTCTGCAATGCAAAATGATTCGGCAAACTAAAGCGTGCTTATACAACGCTCGGGAACATAGCCTTTTTGCAAGTCTACTACAAAAGCTTGGAAAGGTAAGCCTGCGATGTGGTTATCATTGAATGAAGCTATGTATCTCATAGATTACGGGATGTAGGCGAAAAAGAAGACGAGTCATCAAAATTGCTATGAAATGAAAACAATATCAATTTGGTTTTTATTAAATAAGAATGCACTCTCTGTACACGTTATCTGCGTATTTCGTATTTGGGAAACTTCACCTCTGAGACCAAGATGAGAGGCACAGGTTTTCCCGATTTGAACCTTAAAGCCTTTTCATGAAAACATATACGTCTTGTTCATAAGAAGAAACTCCATTCTTCCTAACGTTGCTAAGCTAAGGACGTACTTACTTAAGTCTTTTTTAGTTAAAAAAAATGCTGCTGTTCATCGTCGTTTTGTAGATAAATGAATATTTAATCGTTTGTCTCACCATGCAGAGTCAGGCTATTAATTGTATTGATCGCAACGTTTCGATTGCTGTACTGCTGGTCTTCGTCAGGCGACGAGATCGAAAGTTTAGATGTCGCTACTCATGGCACCCTAATTTTTATTTTCACAAAAATCCTTTTGTTTCTAGGAGAGGAAAGCCGCAACTGTGTTTGAAAGAAATGGACACTTCTTGGAGGCAAGCCAGTGTCTGGAGGCGACAGCTGATTACAGAGGAGCAGTTGATACTCTCCTTCGTGGAAGTCTTTGCAACAAAGCTATTGAGGTTGTAAAGCGTTTCAGCAAATTAACTTTAGAGGAACAGAAACTGACCAAACATCCAGGCAGAACTCTTGACGAATTGTACTTGGAGTTAGCAGAGTTCAATCGCAGACGAGGCAATACAGCAGACATGAGTTCTTCTCTTCAGCACGTTGAGTCCACCGATACGCGGATTGAATTTTTGATGAAGCACCGATTTCTCGAGGACGCTGCCAAGGAGTTAGAGAAGCTGGGTCGTTCAAGAGAAGCTGCAAATATCATGAGAGAAAATGGGTCATTTTTGATCGCAGCCAAGTATGCTCAGACGTCTGGCAACTCAGTACTTGCAGCTGATTGTATCTTTGCCCATGTGCGTGTCTCAAAGACAATGACAGACGAGGAGCGACAAGCACGTTTAGAGGAGGCCAAGCGGCTATACGAGGTGGGAAAAAAGAAAAACAGTTTGGCTGAAGTTCTTTTAAGACAGGCGAAGCTTTCACGGGATGCAAAGAAAGTATTGCAGGCTATGGAAATATTCTCCGATCCATCAGTCTCTAACACCTGCAGTAATCTTGAATGTGTTGAAACTCTGGTTGAGATGGTTGGTGATGATTCGAAAATTCTTGACAAGAAAAACTGGACTCTGGTGAAACTGGTAGAAAGCGTAATAAAGCTCATTCTCTCATTGGATATTCCTGCTCCAGATTTCAAGACACAGAAAGCACTGGAAAGATGCGAGGAGCACTTTGGTATCTACAGAGAGGGTGATCCCAAAACAAGAGTAGTAAGATTCAAAGAGGGTGATCGTTTTCTTTCAATTTCATTGGCTTTAGAGAAGGATACTCTAGCAGGCAGTAAATGGGAATTGAATCTCCAGCACGTCCGAACACGAATTGCAGAAAATCTCCTGCACAGAATGATCAATCTGATCCCTAAGGTTCGAAAATTTTTAAGGAAAGAGATCGACTCTCACAAGACATGCCAGATGTTTTTGGTTGGGATGCCTTGTAGTGACGAGAGCTGTCAATATCAACACTGTCTCCCAACAAAAGAAAGCACAGATAGTTTGTTCTGGGCACTTTCACACGAAGTTTATCTTGACGTGCAAGCGAACGATTTCTTGAAACTTGAAGAAAAATATTCATCGCATGAAACCAGCCATAATTTCGGATCTCGGAGGCCACTCAGCACTTCTACTAAAGAATTGAGGAAGCCTTTTCCGAAAGATTCATACCAGTCTTGCAGAAATTTTCTTCAGTTTTTCTTTTCACCCATTGGTATTTCTTCAAGTATCCGCCTGAGAAAGTACATTTCTCTTGTGCGAAGTAGGAAATTCATCCAGCAAAGTCTATACAAGTGCGTGGATATGTTATGGAGAAGTCAACTTACAAGGCAGGAACGCATTTCAGACATCAACTGCTTCTTTACGGTCTCAAATCTTTTGCAGTTGCTGGGATCACCTCCGGGCACAATTCTATCTTGGATCAAAGAGGAAGAGAAATATTTCTGGATTACCTTTCCGTATGAGAGCCAGAACAGGAAGCCAAGAATTCTCAAATCTGTCGGCATGGTAATAGAAGAAAACCCACTAAGATGTACTTTGTTTAGTCGTTGGTGGGAGGATTCGAAGCGTCTTCTCCATGTTCACGGAAGAATTTTGGATTCAGGCCATTATGCTGTGCGGCGTTTCCTGAAGATGTCGGCAAATCCTGGAAAACAGCTCCCTTTTCCCGATCCAAGGAACTTCCTTTCGATTATGGAATACCAATTTGTAGTTCATGTCGCTCTGGCAGTCTTTGTTTCTTCGCTTTCCCTTCGGGTTTGTCTTCCGAGAAGCTACTTATCCGTCGTCACTTTCTGGGACGCTTTAAACTGCACCACGAGTAATCACTTTGAAATTCATCGTGCAGTCGAATTGTTCAGGTTCTCTTCAACTACTATCGCCCGCGTGAAGAGATTCCTTGGTGACATGGTCTCTCTCATGTTGGGAGGGTACTTCCCAAAATTCAACGTTCTCGACCACGTTTTACGTACGCAATCTTGCATTGACTCCGGGGAGACGGAACGTGCTATAATCCTGGTACTCACCATGCTTTGTAACTGTGGCCAGTTATTACCTACAGAAAACGAGATCACTCTCCTCAGGAACCTTTTCGCCCAAGTGCCCGATGAAGTTATTCTTCCAAAGAGAATAAGTAGCTGCTTGGAACAGGTTCGACAAGCGAAAGGTCTCCGTCAAATAGTAACCATCCTTCAAGACCTGTTAAAGAACAGAAAAGAAGAGCTTTGTGATGTTTACTGGAGATTTAGGACGATTAGAGGGGACGAGGTGGACTTCAAAAGATACATCGACACTTTCAATACAGACGCAGATACTCTTTCAACACTTATCCATGAAACCCCTGAGCTCTCAGGAGACGACGCTTTGGAGCCTGAAGAGGAGCATAGTCCTCATATAGAAGAGGATCAACCTACATCTGACTTGGACCCTTCGAGCAATTCGATGTTACAAGATATTGAAAAAGAAGAAGCCATGCGGGCAGAATTGTGGAAAAAAGAGATGACATCAGAAACGGGAGAGCATGCGGAAGTTGATTTCGGACAAGCGATAACACAAAATGATATATCCACTCCTTTCGTGAATGCGAAAGTCGACAAATCAGGTTGTGGTGTTTGCAATGTTTTCTTTTCCAACGAACAAACCGGACTCGAAGAAAACTTGGAACAGGCGAATGAACCAGGTCACTACGCCAACGACTTTGAAAGTCACCTGAGTGAGAATAGCCCACATTGGGAAAAACTTGAGCAATTTAATGCTTACGAATCCCTTATCATTCAAAAAGTGGTCCCACTCCAATTTATGTTTGAGACACTTGTCAAGAAAGTTGAAGATCAACTAGAAATAGCTGGAAAACAGAACATGCCTTTAAGTATCCTGAGCAACATGTTAAATAAAGTTAAGATGACCTTTGCTGCTCTGCGAGAGGTGACCTCGACAATTCAACAAGAAGGCAACTGGGCGGAAACCACACTTGTGGAGAGAGCAGTCATGGCTTTGACAAAATCCTTGGAAGCCTGCCAAGAGGAACTGCAAAAAGAAACTCAACCAAGAGGTTTGTATCTTCTATAAGGCTTTTGAAATGAATTGTGTAATTTGGGCTATTAGGGACAGCAGGGAAAGTGCAGCAAGCAAGCACGATAGAAGGACAAAAATGACAATTATAAGTTTTTCAAACGCAGGCTCGTTTGATCAAGATTTCATAACAACCTCTGCCATCCTATCATACAAGAGAAGTAAAAGGTATAAAAACGCGCTAGTTAACACGCAACTTTGCTAATGCATTAGTGGGACTCTCTAGACCTTAGAATATTAGAAATTGAAAAAAAGGTTCCAAGCAAGCTATTTCCAACTTTCCAAGATGCAGGCTTGAATTTCCTTGTACTGAACCTTTTGTAGCTCGTTTTTTAAAGCGACCTTCCCGTTCCTCGTCTCACAAAATACCTCTTATATTTTTAATCTATTCATTTCTCTTTCATTCAGATCATGACTCGCTGAAATCAGCAAAAGACGTCGAAGATGTAGAAGATGTAGAGTACCTGCATGTTCCGGGGCTGAAAAAGCGAAAGAACTAGGGAACCGAAAAAACATGTTCTAACATAGCGCGCGTGCTTGCCCTATATTAGTCCTATTGAGCCGCTATGAACAAAATCCTTATTTACGCACGCCCGTGCGTAAATAAGATGACGTGAGCATTTTTTTTACCTGGCTTCATAGTTTCCGTCCTGTTAAGCTTTAGTGCAGTTTTCCTTCTCTTTGAAATATGGAAGAAACCAGAGAAGAACTGCCCAATTTTTCTATCGGCATTGACCTTTTAGGTCCTGATCCAACAAGCAACAAAAATAAAGCCGAAAAAAACTCGCAAGTTGCACGTTTCGCGAATTTGTCGGAAGACCAGCTGCAGCAAATTTTGGTCGAAAGACAGACATTCACTTGAAACCAAAAAAGGCACCAATTGGTCATTAACAACATTTAAAGGTAAAATTTCCCTCTTTACTGTTGTTTTTAAATGTGTTCAACCTGGGGAATAAAATACACAGTTGTTAATTGGGAATTTACCAAAACCAAAACAATCACAATTGCACTCTATCACAATAAAAGGCTTCTTCGCGCAGATTCTTGTTGTCGCTCTGTTATAAAAGAATTTGCTCATGCTCTTAGCTGTGCGTATATTGAGTTATGGATGCACTTGGGAAGTTTGGAGAGCACTCAAAAAGCTAGAGTTGCTCTCGGCTGCGCCTCGAGCTACTCTTACGCATTTTTCGTGCTCTCCAAACTTCCTGCGTGCATCCATAACTCGATATACGCACGCTAGGCATGAACAAATTCTTAATTTGCTCAATACATACCGCACGGTAGAGTATAGGTTTTCGCGCGCGCTGATTGGCCAGCCCGAAAGCAAATACTCTGCGAGCAGTTGAACGGACAAAATCGCGCGTCGAGAGGTTTATTTCGCAATTTTTCCGGTACAGTGATATAATGAAACTATTGTTTTGTTCCTTGTGTGGTATATACTAAAACAATTATTTACCTCAGAGTCGTTAAAAGTGGTGGATATTTACCTCGCCCCTTTGCAGCCTGGTACATACCCATCACTATTCGCCTCCACTTCGATAAATAATTGTTAATTGTTAAATTTGTTCACGTCTAACTTTTAAAGCATTTAGTTTTACTTCGCAGCATTCAGTTACATAGTTGTACAGTTGAAAGAGGTGTGCGTCTGCGGATTCTGATTCGTTTAGGAGCCCTTTTGGACATGGTTTCTCTTATAAAATTTTACATAACTAGCAATCTTTTAAGTTACTCTTTTGATTATTGGGTCACTGTCAAAAACATAGATTGGACATTGGAACATGGTCATAACAACTTACTTTTATGTTTTTATTAGTTTCCTCACGGAGCATGGAACATCTGACATGAAGTAGTCTAACTACTGCTTGTTCGGAACGATAACTTTTTTAAAGAGCTGATGAGCTGCTAGACTTCCATTGCCTCGTCATGTTGGATCTAGACAATTTTCACGGATTCGACATAACGTTTTACAGGAATTTCTTGGAAAAGAAAGTTAGAATAATCTTTACAGAGTAAGCTTGGTAGAACAGATCGACCCCAGCCCCCGCATTTATTCCTCACTACTACTTAACTCTACCATTAGCTTGTTAACAGCCATTTTAATTAACTTCCTTTATCAGTGGCAGATATACCATGCCTGAACTGAGAAAGAAAAAACATCAAACGAGGAGTGGAAACTTGTTTTTGTACGTGTCGCCAAAGATTATTCGAAGCATGAGGGAGAATGGGATAGGGTTGCTCTGTACTTGTCAAGTTAAGGGTTGATTGATTATTCATCTCGCCCCGAGTAATGTGATTAAATGCAATTTTTGTGAATGACAGATGCTTTTTGCAAAGATAAAGAAGGCAACGAAAGAAATGTGTAACGTGAAGATGGCCCTGAAATTGCTTTTTTCTTACAAGAGTTAGTGGAAAATCCAACTGGAGAATACTTACTCGATCGTAGTAAACGTGTTTTACAATTTGTAATTAAATAAACTAAGATATTTTAATAGTAAGGGGACACTTCTTTGTAATCCGCTGAACTAAAATATGTCATCTTCTTTCTGTTAGTTTCTACGATTGCTATGTTCTGTCATGGTTGCGACGGTTGGTAAAAGAAATCAGGGTAGCGTTAGTCATCCTGGTGAAATAAGATGATGAGAAAATAATAAGTAGTATTCTTTGTTGTAGTTGTTGTTTCTCACGATGTAGCAAGCCATATCGAAATTATGAACTAACTTTGTTGATTTATGGCGAAGGAGTAGACGGTGTTTTTCAAAAAAGAAAAAAAGAAAATAATAATAATAAAAAGGGGTGGGTTGAAGTACGTATGAATGGAGTCGAGGGGCAAATATTTGTTGTACCCTACCACACCCCATTATAGACCCCAACTCCCTACATCCTCGAAAGGCTTCTTAATTAAAGGATTAGCTCCATTATGTCCATAGAACGTCGGTGAAAGCCACAGCTGATCTGATTCTCTTTCGGTTTTGTTAGAAGGCGGCAAATACGATTCCAAACGACCGGTTGACCAAGCGCAACCATGGATGTGACAGCGGACCAGCATGTTCGCGGGCGAATTGTGTTCTCGTTTATAACAAACTTGTTCCGTTTCGTGTGTTTCTGGGAATTTCGTCTTTGTTCGCGAAGAGTGAATTATTTAAACGTTTTTACGATCACCTTGTGGAACGTAGTTGGATATGTGAAATATTAACACTTGTCAACTTTGCTACAAAGAAAATTTAATCGAGAAGACGTGGATAGAAGGCGGAAGTAAAATATAATTCTCTACTATAGGTCCTCCTGATCGAAAAAAAAAGGAACCTGCGCAGGCTTGCAGGACAGTCGTCTTCAATGGTTGGCTTTTGTTTGGTTCACAGGAACCGTCATCGATGGACTTTACCGTTGATTAGTAAGTGAGCAGTTCATAATATAAAGCCAAATTTAACATGTACAAATATTTGCATATCCTCACAATACAGAGAATGTCTCCTTACTTCCTCGACGAGCCATTTATGTTTTGATTCATATTTAAACTTAAGCATCGCTGTTGTGTTTCGCACCGATCGCACTCGTTCATTAGGGTTTATTTTAAACTTGACATCGTTGTGATAACATCAATGTCCTGTCAATGGCTCTACTTTAGCCGCTTTTTATTTTCATTTTTATTTCACGATTCACACCTTTTCTTTTGTTATTCAAAAACCTTTATTTACGTAAAAAAGGCTGTGGTTATTCATCGTGGTGAAAAGCTAAGTTTTCCGTTTGTCTCACGATGTAGTCACACGTGACTACATCGTAAGAAAAACGGAAAACTTAGCTTTATTAACCTTTATTTAACTAACAACCTTGTTGAATATCAACAAACTGAAAGTCCGGGAAGGGCTTGATAATGTAGCAAGGAAGAGAATGGCTAATGAATTGAATTTGATTATAAATGAAGGATTTATCTTTATGAATCCCTCGTTTCAGGGATTTATCTGTATAAATCCCTCGTTTCAAGGATTTATCTGTATAAATCCCTTGTTTCAGGGATTTTTACAAATAAATTCCTGAAGTGAAGGATTCATTAGAATTTCAACAAATTAATCCCTTATTAATTTTTACTTTCCAATTAGTCAGTTGAACCTTGCTCTTCCTGAGAACATCAAATTCTTCCTCTTGACAAATTTCGGCCTAATTTTCTATTAATAATGTCATTTGCAAACATACTTCACTACAATCAATATAGAGAGAAAATACATGTTTCTTTTCAATTAAGTTTCCTGTCTTTCTGTCCATCCGTGATGCTTTCCTCAGTCACTACTTGCTTTAATTCTTCCGCAAATGAATTTCGTGAAACAGGCTCATCACTCTACCAGGCCATCTAAACTAGAATCAATACTAAAATTGTGTAGTAATATTTCTTCCAAAAAACTATTTTGAGTAAGAAAAAGCTCCTCATTGCTACACATGCCATCTATAATGACAGCACAAACAGAGAAATGAGTTGTTGGAAAACATTCGTACACATTTACCAAAAAACTAGCAAACAAGAACAAAAACAAAATATCACACAACAGAACACATAAACAAAAAACAAAGAAATGCAATGCTTAGTCCCTTGTGGACTCGCCAAAATATCAAAGTACAAAAAAGTCTAGCACTTGTCACAGAGGAATTCACAGCAACTTTTCACAGTCCTGTACGCACACATCAGGCTGCTTTTGTTGTATCTAATTTGATCCGATGAAGGTGTGACTGTAATTAGCCAATGTTTGGCCCCTTTAAGAAAGGATCATTATATAAAGATCCCCCATGAATAATATCATGAAATAACTCAGATAAACACCTTGAACGTCAGTATTAATCCGTATATACATATATATGGATTAATACCTCTGTTTTTGGTATCGATCTCTTACTTACCAGAATTATTAGCTAACAGTTCAGCCTGCAAAAACTCCCCACAAACTCATGATTGGTGGAGAAAGAGGAAGGAGGAGAGGAGGAGGGGAAAGGGGCTCTAATATGGAGAAATAATATGTTCTAGGTTTTGTGGATAATGAATGGATCCTGCTATTATTACAAAAAGGTTTTCTTGTGCCAATAAACTACAACAAGGACATTGAGACAAGGTGTACTGTGCCTGTCTTAGTATACACAGCACATTTCAAAACTCTCTGTTTTTTCTGATTGAGTCTGTTCTCTTAATAACCTTAATGACAGAGGTTTTTAAAACAGGTTTTAAAATAATACCAGTTACTTTACCAGCCTATCTGGGTGATGACTTGCTCCTCGTTTTCTTACATCCATTTTGAACTCACTGGTCAAGGGATCTTTGCTCTCTAACTGTGCTCGCCTTACAGCAATTTACTCATGAATGACACTACTTTTTGCCCAAAAGCACATCTTTAATGTAGCCAGTGACAAAAATCAGATTTCAGGTTTGTTTAAAGTAACCAATAAATTGCAGGAAAATGAAAGACCAAGAAGCCATTGTGTGACCAATTTTGCACTATTGTCTTTAAAATTTTTCCTCTTTTTTTAATCTCTTGGTATTTAGTATGTCATAAATTTGGGTCAGTGATAGAAAATACTCAATTGGCACAAGTCTTGGTCTTTGTTTTTCTCATCTTTTAGTTATTCATGAAAGCTGCTCTTTATTTTGGTTGTATAAGTAGATGCTCAACAAATATTGATTCCCTCATAAAAGGGTAATTATTTCTGTAGATTCACTATTAAGGCACTTTTAGACTTGACTCAAATTTTTTTAAATGAGAAGATTATTAAATGAAGGTATATTTTTATGTCCTAGCCCATTTGACATGAAGGTTTTGAATGCAAATGGCTTATTATCACTACAACCAGCTTGGACCAGAGGCCCTTCAAGCTGCAGCTTTTGACTGGCTCAATCAGGGTTTTTATTTTGAGGCAATTGATGGTTTTCAAAGGGTGATCTGGAGATTAGCCAAAAAGAGTCGCTGTGATGAGACTCTGCAGAACCTTGGGAAACTACGTAGAGGACTAGCACAAGCATTTTATTGCATAGACAAAGTCCAAGATGCCTTGAATGAAATTCAACTCTGTATTACAGAGGGAAATCATGTACGTTCTGAGGTGAGTGTTTAATCATCCAATTGGTTTTACTGTTAGTCATAAAATACATGGAGTGTCACGTTGTATAATGTTATTCCATTTATGTACAGCATACTATGCTGACTCAATTAGCTGATCTTGCTGGGTAGAATTATTCAGTATTAAACAGTTGACTTGGTTCATTTATTCCCAATCTGTATGCTTAAACTGTGAGTTAAAGCAGTGGCTATTTCCATCCACCCATAACATCCAAAGATTTTTTGGGTTAATTGAGTATTTTTAGATCATATGTCAGCAGAGGAATAATTTGGCTTCATTTTCAACAGTAAAGAGAACCCCCATTAACTTGGGAGAAATTACCTAGTAATTAATCATAAACTTCAAATGTTAAGTTAATATACTTAACAAATTTTGTTTTCTAGGAAAGAACAAATCTTTGGATAGCTCTTGCTGATAAGAGAGGCACGCATTCTAGAGAAAGGCAGCTTGCTTTTGTTGGCTACGAAATTGCTCTTCACTTTGTACCTTCACGTAATTTTCTCCTGATGAGTAATCTGTTGTCTAAAATGTTGCTGTTGTGCGGTGAGATGGGACCATCTTTTGCACAGAAAGCCACAACATTCATAAAGAAAGCCCAAGAAATCCAGACATGTCCATCACAGGTAAATGTTTCTCTTCACTCTGCCACTGTTGGTATCAGATAGAGATATAGAATGGATCATGCAGCTAGAGTATTGTTTCTTCTGTAAGGTCTCATATAATTGTAACCATGTGATTATTTAATCATGATTGATTGAAACTGATTCAGAGTCACCTGCACCCAGTCACCATGTTCTTGCCCTTATAAACAGGTGTAAATGTGTGGTTTGTTGGTATAAAACACACTCAGTATCTTTTCAGGGGAGGAATGGAGTTTTACTTTATGGTATTCATTATTTGCTGACTTCTCTCTGGACTTGGACTTTTAGTGAGCTGTTCTTTTGTAGTGGTTTAGTTTACAGTTTCCCTATAGGGAGCAATTAATAATCAGGGAATCAATTCTGGCTGGTCATGCACCGATTTTCGGTGCAAAATTTCAAAGAAAAACATGAGACTAAAACAACTGCTGTCTTGTATGATAAATGAAAGAAAATTGAAACAATCATCAAGTTTTACAAAGTAAAACTTGGGACTTTTTGAATGTAAAGCTTATTTAAGTTCTGGTATCCTGTTGATTTACCAGTCTGTTTCTAGCTTTCCCAAAAAAAAGGTATAGGCTTCTAAACATAGTGACTTACTAGCCTGTGTGTTTGTTTGTGACTTGTGTGAGACAACTTGGTTCTGACAGCTTGAAAGCACACCACCTAGTCATTGCAATGTTTGCACATACACCAGCATTTGACAGCTGTGTTAATTTTGCCGAGCAAAATGATCATTTAGTTATTCTGCTGACTTCATCCCTTTTTTTCCAGGAACTCGCAGACATTTGGTTTAATTGTGGGAAAAGGCTAATGGAATCAAAATCATTTGTGAAAATATCTCTTGAATGCTTTGCTCTGGCAGAAACATTTTTACCAGAACCTGATAAGCTCATTAAAGCTAACATCAGTCATTCAAGGGCATCAGCAATCTTATCAGCCAGTTTGTCAAGTCATTATCAGCTGGCAGTCAATGATGCAAGGACCTATGTGGAACAATTTCCTTCATTTGAGGTAAGATTTAAAACTGCAACATCACTTTTTAAATTCTGGTGATAAACTGAAGGATAACAAGGTCAGGTCATTATTTTCACTCTATTTCTGTGTCTTTCATCAGAAAAATGTTATTTGATATTTCAAAATGTTTCCAGTTTCTACCATCATTCATCTACAAATATTAACCCCATCTTAATTAGGCTAACCTCTTAGGGTTTGTATTAAGTGTATAGAAGTGGATATTTAACCAGCAAAAAAGAAGTGCCTATTTGGATCTAAGTTTCAAAATTTCCTGTGCTGTAAGATCTTGAGGAGTTTTCAAGGTGAGGCTCTAATACGATAATTGGTCCGGCCATACAGGGTTACACACTGCTATGGAAATGCTGTCTTTGTGTGCAAGAATGTAATGACGCTCTCACAACTTTCAAGAAGGCGCAGGAGATTATGGAGGACAAGAGAGACCGCAGATATAAAGAATTTGTCAAGTTTTTCTCAACAGCAGTAGGACAAAAAGGTGAACACAAATTAGCAGATGAATCAGTTTTTGTGTTTGAGTTATTCTTGCTTTCTGTTTGATCAAAATGTAATTAGGGCAGGTGTGCCCAATGCGTGACCTCCGTTTTTCATTATTTTGTGTGAAGCTGAGGAAGGTAGAGAGGGGGGGGAGGGGAGTGTTGTTGCGTGTATCTGCTGGCTCGGAGAACTCCAGTTTAAAATGACAAAGAGTGTATGGCTATTTACTAACCCTGGCTTGGGATGAAATCGTTGGGTAACGATTCGAGACCGACACTGGGTTCGCAATGGATGGGAAGCGTCAAAATGTCCAAAAACTAACCGTAAAAGTTAATAGACAACAGAACTATTGGGTGGAATGACACCAACAATATGATTTTACAACCGTTCAAGAGTACCCAGCTTGTCCAACGTTTCTTGCAATCGCTGTTTTTTTTCTTTTTTGTAAACCTAACTCTGTCTTCGTTCTAAAGCATTTCAGGTGTTTGAAGCTGAAGTTCCTGTCCCTAAATATTTTGTGGAAAAGTTAATCACTGAGTCTGTGAAAACAGAGGCCATTGAAAATCTATCAACGCTCTTTTGTAAAGGGTCTTGGGCTACAGATTGTGATGCCTCTTGTGTTCCGCTTGATTTGGTTCTGAAATGGGACGACGAGAATTGTAATCGTCTGTTGACAACCCTCCTGGAAAAAAAGGCTCTTGCTAGAGGTCTCCCCAACAGCAGTAAGTCACCGCTGAAAATTTGTTTGGAGAGAGACAACTCGGAGTTGGCAGTGATTCTTTTACAATATGGAGCCGATGACAATGATTTGGTTGAAAAAGACGGGGACAGCATTTTACATGAGTCGCTGCGAATCGGTCTCAGGAAAGGTGAAAATAGAATCAGATTTGAATAAGCGTGCTGTACAAATCACTTATTCACTCGAACGAGAGAAGCCTTCACCACCGTAGATCAGTTTTTAAATGAGTCACGAAACTAATCTGATATAGTAATGTCTTACCTTAATCTTTCCTCGCCCTTGAATCGGTCTGGAAAAATTGGCGCCACTCTCAACCAATCAGATGCTGACGGGCAGACATGTATACACACATAAATATGTACATGCGTACATACGTACGTACGTACGACCGTACGTACTTAACCACATACTTACAAACTGACATGCATACATATATACATTATTAAATCTGCCTAAAAGGGCTTTTCAGCATCAATAGAATCACTACAATTACCACTGACAGTAACTATTGCAAACTGAATCAACTTAGAATTAAGATGAATTGAGGACATAAGCGAACAACTACATGATAATAATTACAATTGTGGAATATAGTCAATATAGTAGGCCATGAATCGTGAAACATTTACGTCAAACACATGGTAGAATGCATCATTCTTATTTTTTTTTCTTGTTAACAGGCAACTTCGCCATATTAAAGTTCTTCCTCGACGAGAAAAGATATTCTGTCAATTTGCAGGACGCAGACGGAAACACTCTTCTGCATATCCTTTGTCGAGGAAAAATAAATTCCAAGAGACAAGAAGCTATGCAGCTTGTTCTCGAAGCGGGAGGCAATCCGCTGATTTCAAACAAACAAAAACAGAAGCCCATGGATCTTCTTACTGCGTTAGTTAGGTAAAGTGTCTTAGACTAGATTAATTGTATAGTTGAAGGTATCCCATTAATTATTCATTTTTTCAAACCTAACTTGGTTTTCATTTTCTGTGATTGATTAATAAGTGGACCATTAGTTTGCTAACAAATTGTTTGAGTTCACCTTCGTGTCTGATGAATTTATTATCCCCTGTCTATTCAATTATGTCTAATGTTACATTTTCACTTTGTTATTGTTACCAGGGATAATAGGAGAAACCTACTGAGCTCAGCCCTAGAGAATTTTAACACTGAACCTTCCCTCGATTCAAATTACGCAGAGCAAAACTTGGAAGAAAAACTCGACGGGGCGAAAGTTGAGAGAAGTTCCATCGAGGAACCTGAGTCTCCGCGTCCTCTAAGTGACAATCCAACCACTCCTCCTTCCATGTCATCCTCAAAATCAAATAATCTGAAAAAGGAGCCTTTAACCATTGTCCGCGAACGTGTCCTGTCACTTATCAAGAAGTTAGATGTGCGTGACTTGCTCAAAACATCAAAGAAAGTCAAAAAAGTGATTCCACAAGAGAAAGCTGAGTTGTACGTGAACAGGGAAGAGCAATATTGCGGGAGTCATCAGCAGCAGATTTGTCGAGTTGAAGAAGATAACCGAACTTTCCTAAAACATGAATCAAACGAATTCCACGTTGATAAAGGAAACGATGACAATGTGGTCAAGTTGTCTTCCTTCGAGGGCTTGCCGTGGGATGTGGAGTGCACTGCAAAAGTTTGGAAAATATTAAGCGACAAACGACTAGAGTCATGGATAAAAGAGCGTTTTTTCGACAAGGTCAGAAGTCTTGCTCAAGGCCGAGACAACTGGACCCCACACTTGTGTAAAAGACTTGAAGGTCTCCCGAAGAGCCGTGGCATGCTTTTGTATGAAACAAGATTGACAGATGCTGCAAGAATCATCTGGGAATGTGCAGTTGCTTTCTCCCCCCGATATTCAGATAAAGACAGTGAAATGAAGTCCACGATTTATTCGGAAACCATTCGAATATGGGATATCGAGTTTGATCATGACAATGTCTCGCGCGCCATAGAAAACATCGTTACATCATTTACTCGTGGCAAAGGTTGCAACCTGAGAAAGGAACTCAGGGGACTTCCCAGGGAAGAGGCCTCCCAAAATCAAGGTCCAAATCTGTACGTTAAACTTACGCAAGAAAACATGTGTGCTAGCTCATCTACCCAGATCAGACGAGAAGAAAAGGCGGTAAATTCTGAAATGAGTGATGATGAGGTGACCTTCTTTCCTCCAGCTAGCCATAATGATAATGAGTATCAAGTATTAAAGTTTTACTACCTATCCAGCGCCATGATCCAGGCCATACGGGAACAGCAATTGTTTAATGTCGAGATCGATTTTCCATTTCGAGTGACAGAAGAAGAATATGACATAATCAACTTTGAACCTACCCCCCAGAGCTCCATCATCTTGATTGGGCGGAGTGGAACTGGGAAAACAACTTGCATCCTATATCGTCTGTGGAAATGTTTCTTGCAATACTGGAGAAGCGCCTCAAAAAGCGGGCCATGGATACCAAAGAACACTGTTTTTCTTCCCAAAGAGAGCCCAAAGTCGTATTTAGAAAACCCTAACCCAGGACATGATGTCGAAAGTACTCACATCAAATTGCAAAAAGCACAGAGTAGTAGTGACAGTGAAGTAGCGGATGGCGATTGTGATGAGGTAACTGCCTGTTGTCTTGAGGATCCATCTGTGCAAATCAGAAATGGTTCTGAGTCCGGCGAACGTTTTGAACATCTTCATCAGTTGTTTGTAACCAAGAACGGTGTCCTTTGTCAAGAAATCCAAAAGAATTTCAAGGCCTTGAGTCAAGCATGCTTATTTGTTAAACACGATTCGAGGCCAGATAAAGCCATGCCTCTCAAGCTTCAGGACGTCGATGACACTTCAGGGTCCTGGCCACTCTTTTTGAATGCACGTGACTTTTACATCATGTTAGATGCCTCTCTTCGTGAGCCTTATTTCTTTCCACGTAGTGAAGATGGAAGCTTGCAGGGGAGAGTGCAAGACTGGGGTGAAGAAGGCAATCGGCTGTCAACTATTCCTGTTCTGGATGAAGACGAAGACGAAAACGAAGATTCCAAAGATGACACAGATGAAGAGGAGGAAGAGGAGTCTTTGGAACCCACTGAACCCACTTTGCATCAGGGAAGATCCATGATCCTGGTTAGTTACAGTATTTTTGAAAACTACTTGTGGCCAAAAATGTGTAAGAAAAAGAAGCGGATTAGCTTCCACCCATCGTTGGTTTGGATGGAGATACGATCATTTATTAAAGGCTCTTACGAGGCTCTGCATACAGGAAGCGGTCATCTTAGTCTTGAGAATTATGAAAGAATCGGACGAAAGAGGGCGTCTAACTTCAAAGATGAAAGTAGAACAGAAGTTTATAAGCTGTTTAGATCTTACGAGCACTTCAGGAAATTGTCCAACATGTTTGATGAGAACGACGTTGTGTTCCATCTGTATCACCGATTGAGGCAGTGCGTAGTTCCTGATTGGTCAATCCACGAGTTGTACGTGGATGAAACGCAGGACTTCACTCAAGCAGAGTTGATGCTGCTAATACGCTGTTGCCGCGATCCCAATGCGATCTTTCTCACTGGAGACACCGCCCAAAGTGTAATGCGAGGTATTTCCTTCAGATTCGAGGACCTGGGATCACTATTCTTTTACCTCAATGAAAACTACAAAGCTGTTGGAGCTCAAGCAGAAATCGTCGTTCCAAAGCGAAAGCAGCTCATTTTAAACTATCGGTCACACAGTGGAGTTTTAAGTTTGGCCTCCAGTGTCGTCGACATTTTGCAGAAATATTTTCCTGAATCATTTGATAAGTTGGATAAAGACCAAGGGCAGCTTGATGGTCCCAAGCCAGTGCTCCTTGAGTCGTGCAGTCCATCAGATCTTGCGATTATTTTACGCGGAAATAAGCGCGAGACAACCACCATTGAATTTGGTGCTCATCAAGTTATCCTGGTGGCCTCTAACGAAGCAAGAGAAACTCTTCCGGAAGAACTTAGCCACGCACTGGTGCTGACAATTTACGAGGCAAAAGGATTAGAATTTGATGACGTTCTTGTTTACAACTTCTTCAAAGACTCACAGGTGAGGAAAAACTTAAGTGACGCCTTTTTGTCTGGTCGGAGTGAATCTCTGAGTGTAAGATTTTAGGATGTGATGGTATATCTTCCACATGTTTTTTCTCTAGAGGGTAAAATTGAGAGTTAAGATAAGTCTTGAATTTGGATTTTGAAGATGTGTCTTAGAATGAGAGATATGGTGAACTCTAAACTCGGAGGTGAGATGAAGAGAGGTGTGTTTTCATTCTCTCACGAGTGTGGTTCGATTTCTCATGGGAATTTCTGTTTCCCACGTTCGTGACAAGGAGAAAAAGTATCTCTCTTCAAGATATGTTCCGGCATGGAGTGCTGCGGTTTCTTCGTGTGAAATATATCTCTTTTTTGCATAAAGAAGTCGATAAAGAACTGAGTCGATATTGAAAGATAGGTGCCAAATCTAGAAGAAATAGGCTTCGCATTACACCGCAAAATTCTTGTTTTGGATTCTCTAATTATATTAGTCATTTTTTTACATAGGCGTGTGCTGAGTGGAGAGTTGTTACGCAGTATCTGGTGGAGGTGGTGTGCAACGAGACTGGGAAAGTCAAATCCCGTCCATTGGCGTTCAACTCTGAGAAGCACAGAATCCTCAACTCCGAACTAAAGCAACTTTACACAGCGGTAACTCGAGCCCGCGCAAACGTTTGGTTCTTTGATGAAGATGAGGAAAATCGTCGACCTATATTCGAATACTTCGAGCAACTCGGCCTGGCGAACGTGGCAAAACTACAAACAGACATAGGAAATGATCCCTGTTGTAGCCAGGCTTTACAAAATATGTTCTCCAGGTCGTCATCTCCAGAAGAATGGGAAAAACAGGGAAAATTCTTTTTCAGCAAGAAGCTTTGGAAGGTTGCAGAGAAGTGTTTTACAATTTGTGGTAATGGCGAGATGAGTCAAAAATGCAAAGCGTACGTACAAGCAGACTATGCACGAACTCTTCACAGTGAACCACGGCGTTTGAAGGATGAGTTCTTACGCGCAGCTGACCAATTTCTTCAATGCAAAATGATTCTAGAGACTAAGGTGTGCCTGTACAATGCAAGGGAGAGAACCCTATATGCAAGCCTTCTTCAGAAACTCGGCGAGGTAAGAGTCAGCCATTTGAGTTCTAATTTTGGTTGCACTAAAAATCGGATATCCTTGTAGAGAATCTGTGTCAACCTACGTTTTGAAAAGTTAAATAAGGTTCTTCTATTGACCAGCGATTATAAACACTAATATACCTATGCTGCTGCTGGTTCTCAGCTCATTTTCTATCATAGTTTGGTACAGTAGAAATGTATCTGACAGAATCAGTTAAAGCTAGGAAAAGTAAGGGCCACTGGTTTGCGTTTCATAGTGAAGCATTTAATTTTATCTTTACAGGAGAAGGATGCGATAAAATGGTTCGAAAGAGCGGGTAGCTTTTTAGAAGCAAGTCGGTGCCTCGAGAAGCTTGGAAACTACAAGGAGGCAGTAGAAGTCCTTATCCGAGGGAACCTTTACCAAAAGGCTATCGATGTTCTCAAGCGTTTCGAGAAGCTATCATCAACTGATCAGAAAGAGATTCTTGCACCCGGAAGAAGTCTGCAAGAATTGTGCTTAGCCTCTGCTGAACTCAGTTTCAAGGGTGGAAACATGACGGAAATGCACAACTCACTCAAGTTTGTTAATCCTGTGGAAATTCGAGTAGAGTTTTTGAAAAAGCGCAAGTTGCTTGATGACGCTGCAAACGAATTTCTTAAAGAGGGGAGAGCAGTCGAAGCAGCGAAGATAATGAGAGAAAAGGGATCCTTTCTAGTCGCAGCTGACTACGCTAAAAGATCTGGCCACCATCAACTTGCAGCTGATTGTACTTTGGCGCTCGTTCGTAGCACAGAGGACTTGCCAAGAGAGGAGCAAGCTAAACATCTACGTGAAGCTAAAAACCTTTACAAAGAAGCAGGCCAGATGAATGGTTTCGCTGAAGTTCTGTTAGCGGAAGCTAAGTGTATTGCAGACTGTACGAAAGCAGTAGAGGCTGCCGGGATTTTCAATTCACCCACAAATTATAATATCTGTGGGGAGCTGGAATGTGTTGGGGTAATGTTGGATTGCACTCATCCGGATCATCCTGGTCTTTCTAATATTAACACTTCCTTTGCGGTGAGATTGGTGCGAGATGTCCTTCAACTGATCAAATCCCTGAATGCCAGCAATCTGGACGTGGTGACACAGAAGGAAATCGACCGGTGTGAGGAGTACTTTGGACTTTTCAGAGAAGTTGATCCATCTAAGAGAGTTATAAGACGTAAAGAGGGGGATCGCTTTCTTTACTTCGCCCAAGGACTACAGAGACGTCCTTTTGCCGGCAACAGATGGGAGATGGATCTTCAAGATGTCCGTGAACGCATAGCTGAAGTTCTCTTTAACAGAGTCACCCAGCTTATTCAATCGATCCGTGTTCTCCTGGATACAACGTTCATAACAAATCAGAGCTGCCAGAACTTTTTGATGGGCTTTCCTTGTAATTCCGGAAGTTGTCATCTCCAACACAAGCCCCCATCCCAGAATACCAATGACGCACTGTTCAAGGCAATTTTAGATGAAATGTATCTTGATGCTCAAGCTTACGACTTTCAAAAATTGGAAAAGAAATATGACAGGTGGGAGATCAACTCACCAAACCCAACTAAAGACTCGGAAAACCCTTTTCCGAGAGATGGCTTTGCGTCTTGTGAGAAATTACTTGAATTCTTCTTCCCTGCAAGTGGCCAATCAGCAGATGTCCCCATACATTCTTATATCTCCTATTTACGAGATGGAGTACCTCGGTTTTTCAAGCAGCGTCTTTTCAAATTTGCCGAGGAACTTTGGAAGAAGCGTGCAAATGATGAAGCCAGACTTCAAAGCGCTGATGTCTTCCTTACTGTTTCGCATCTCCTTCAGCTTATTGGGTCTCCTTCGTCTAGAATTCTTTCCTGGATTGCAGATACCGAAGAGGAGTTTAGGAAAAACTGCGTCATGCTGAACGGCAAGCCCAGTATTCCGAAAACAGTAGGTATTGCTGTCGAGGAAGGTCCAAGGATGACTTTTACCTCATTTTTAAGGTGGTGGGAAATGTCCAAGACGTACTTACATGCACATGGCGACATCCTTGAGGCTGGGCACAACGCAGTTCGCCGTTTCCTATCAATGACTGCAAACCCAGGGAAACGACTTCCATACCCTTCGGCTAAAAACTGTCTTGATATCCTGGAATATTTCATGTGTGTGTTCCTCACCCTGTTTGCTCGACTCCAACAGGCTCAGAATTCTCGCGATCTCGTGTGTCTTCCGGCTCGTTATTTGTCTGTCATGTTATTTTGGAACACTCTTAACTGTACCACTTCTAAGCATGTTGAAATTTACGAAGCAGCTTTCTTTTCTCAAAGTCGTCCATCGACCATTAGTCGCGTGAAAAAGTTCCTGTGTGACATGGTGTCTCTTATGCTAGGTGGATATTCCCAGAAGTTCAACGTACTAAAGAAAGTCCTTCATCGTAAGGAGAGTATTCGCACAGGAGAAGCAGAACGGGCACTTATCTTGGTCCTAACTCTGTTATGTAATAGTGGTCACTCAGTTCCACACGAGAGCGAATTCAGGCTCCTAAAAAACCTTTACATCAAACCACTTCCTGAAGTCAAGCTTCCCGACAGGATGGTGGTCTGCCTGGAACAAGTTCAAGAGGCCAAAGGAATCCGTGAGATTGTTGTTATTCTTCAGAATCTGTTGAGAGAGAAAGGTGAGAAATTGTGCACCGTTCATTGGGAAAACGTTCATCGACAGCTTTGGTGGCAAGAGGTGAACCCTGAATGTTACCGTAACAACTTTTGTACTAATGTTTTGGAAAGATTGGCTCAAAGAACAGAAGAACTTCCAGCCGAAGAGGTGATAGAGTCAAAAGATGTAGAGGAAGGATTGTTGGACGAACTTAACGCAGACGAGGACCACCCCATTAGAGATTTAGACCGTTCGCAAACTGACAAGTTGGAAGCTATAGAGAGAGAAGAGGTCATTCAAGCCGAATCCTGGGAGGAATCTAATGAAATGGAAGCGCTGATTCCTGAAGAAATTCCTCATCAACAGGATGCTCTTGAAGACCCGGTAAATTCATACTTCAGCCCTTTTAAAGTTGATCAGTCCGGCTGCAGTATTTGTAACGTACGTTTCAGCTCAGAGAAGAGTGATAAGGTGCAGTTTTCTGGGGAGGAATGGGAAAAGCAACCAGAAGATAAAAATCCTATATCTAGCAGCTTTACGGAATACTCAACTCTGGAAAGTCACCAAGCCGTTGGTAGCCCACACTTTAAGAAAATAGAGGAGTTTAATGCCTATCGAAGGCTATTTGTAGACGAGCTGCTTCCGCAGCACACAAAATTAAGCAGCTTAACAAGTCAGGCTGAGTCACTCTTAAGGACCGCAGAACAGCATGGAAGGCAAATGAGCATTTTAAGTAACAAGATGGACGAAGTTAAGAGGGCTGAAACCAATATAGCTGACATAACCAATGATATCCAACTCCACTGTAACTGGGCAAACCTTGAGCCGTTCAAGGCAGCCATTGCAGCCCTTAAAAAGGCTTTGAAGTCTTGTGAGGAGGAAATTTTGTCAGAAAAAAACTCACGACTCACAGGTTAGTGGTGTTTGTGCACTTTTTTTTCTTTTTTCCTATCATTAAAGGTGCAACGAACGTTCTTTTTTCGGTTTTAGCGCGGTCTCGCCCGAAAAAAACGCCCGATTGCTAGTAACTGTGTAAGCGGTTTTGTGATTTATGGATCTATTTTTTGAAGATTAATTTTTCTGTTTAATGGTTTATTTATATATTCCATTCGCAAACTCCCAGATAAGACTTGATGTGGAAGAGAAGGAGAACTGTTGAAAACAAATGCTTTAAAATCATGAACTTTGAATTGCGATATATTTACGAGCTAGTATCGTTACCAAGACTCATCATATGTTTGTTATTGACAGATGAAAGCAGACTTGTCCCATCGTTTGTAAGTGACCCGTCCGACTGGGACTTGGATAACGACCAGGATGGTATGGCTGGCAGATGTGCTCATGTTCCTGGACTGAGAAAGAAGAAGTAGCAAATGATGACTGGAAGCTAGTTTCTATGCTCTCAGCCAAAGATTGTTCAAAGCGTGCGTGAGAATGGGACGGGTTTGATTTGTACTTGTCAAGTTAGGGGTTGTTTGATAATTTATCTCGCTTTGAATATAATGTGATGAAAATATATTAATCATAATAATAATAAATTTATTTATACTGCAAAAATAGATCAGCTGAATTTTAATATAAAGACAGTTGTTATAAACCTGTGTGCAGTAGGTTTATGGAAATGACAGATGATCTGTACAAAGTTAAAGAAGGCAACGAAAGAAATGTGTAACATGGGGATGGTCTTGAAATAATTACTTTTTCGTGCAAAACTTAGTAAAGCAAGAAGCTTAGAAAAGTATTCGTGTAAGAGAGCGAGACACCGCTTTGCAACCCGCTCAATCAAAACATGTTACCTTAAAAATATATATATATCTATCTGGCCTTTTTTGTTGTAGTTAGAAAACTTCCTTGTTTCATGTGAATTACCACGATTGCTATGTGCTGTCATGGTTGCAAAATTTGGTCAAAATTTCAGAAAAGTTAGGCTTTGTTCATACTGGTGAAATAATATTTATGAGAACCTAATTCGCATTAGTTTTTGTTGTTGTTGTTATTTCTAACGATGAAGCGAACCATATCGAAATTGACTGAGGAAATCTTCTTACAAAAAACTCTGTTGTGGAGGTTATCGCGAAGAAAACTCGATGGCGAAAGGGGAGGGTATCATAAAGAGTAACGGGCAGATGATTTCTCTCTGTCACCGATCAGTTTCCAGTCCACTAAACTATCTCACGGCTGGCTGTTTATCACCCAGCAGGATGAAGTTCCGAACCTTCTTTAAATATTTCAACGTGAAGATCCTGAAGTGCTCCATGTTACACATCGACTCAGAATAACGAGTTGTTTTACATGAGTGGGCTGACAGCCACTATTAATATTCGAGAAACGTGTCTGAATTACCTTGTATAATGCCATTAGCTTATATTGTTACTGGGAATTCATTGACCACTTGGATGTATATTGACCCTAAATTCTTCATTAAAGGAAATAATTTAGCGTGGAATGTCAATATTATATTATATTATATTACTTGTCACGACATTTGCCGATCAGTGTTTCTGGACTTGTAGGGAACCTGTCCTTCGTCAAGCGAGAGAAGTGCGATTATTTCTAAGTGTGGTTCAAGTTTTCCTTTTACAAACCAAACTTTGTCTCAGAATATTCGTGTCTTAAAAAGGTAAGTGAGGGTGGTTCGACAGGCTGGCGAAGTGGACCGGTTTGCCGATCAGCATGTTACGTACGATACGTGATTAAGTAAGTTAAGTGAGTCGATCATTCTTTGTTATTGCTTCTCTGCTGTGGAGGAGGCGCGCTTAAGAGGCTTCATTAACTTGATTAGCAGATCACCCATATTTCCCGGGTGTGTTAAAGTAAATCCAAAGTGAAATGAAAGGAAAAGTATCTTAATTTATTATCCATACTCAACGTTCAGTGACCTTCGCTAATATCACGATGAAATTATTTTAAAATGGCTGTACTGAGAATTGTGTGTCTCATGCACGCATCAAGAAGGTTTCGTTGCTAATTATGTCTTACTTTGTACAATATGAACCGGTTCGCGTCTGAAGAGTGCTCTTGCTCAAAGATTTGTCTTTGTTTTTCATACCGTGACCTTTACTCTGCAGATCTTCACAAGTTAATCAACACACTGACAACAGTTTATATGATAAATCACGTACACTGTATTCAAAGACAAAGCACAGTGGATGTCTTTTACAATGTATTCTGACCTTTGCTCCATTCACTGCCTCAAAATTCACTATTTCAGAAATTTCTCCAAACAACAGATGTGAAATTATCTTCGTGTAAAACTCACGAAGAAACTCTTGAATTTTTACTGCATTCTTAGCGTCGCGCTCGACTGATTGCCGCCCAAGAGCTAATTACTCGGAACGTTCAGTATTCTGCATGAAAAGGAATTAATAAGAGGATAACGAGCTCTTATAGTATTATTCGGAAAAATTTGTTTAAGTGTTGTATAAACGGATTGCGCTAAAACCACAGAGCATACTGTCTGTCTATGAAACTGCTTTCATGACAGTTAGTCTCGGCTCCTGGAATATCATTGGAATCTCCATATAATATTTTTATCATGAAAAATGTCTTTTTTCTTATGCTTAAAATGTAACTATTTTACACAGTTTTGTTCAGTCGGTGATGCACTGGAGTTCCATCTTTATTCGCGTTTTGCTTATTTTTTTCGCCTTATTTTCTTTTTCGTTTTGTTGAGTTTTTTTTTTTATTTTTTTTTTTACCTTCTTGTTCTAGTTTCAGCATGATAGCAAAGTTATTGGCGTCCACTTACACACTCTCTGGTTCCGGAAGAAGTTAGAATTTCAACTCAAATTTGAGCATAATGCAGCGGCTTGTTGCCGGTCAAAAATTGTGCGGGGTGAAATTCTACATGCGATGCGGCTTTTGTCAGTTGTCTGTTTTTTTTAAAATTTTTTTTAAATGGCTTTATGCAAATAAAGTTTCAGTGGATCACAGACTCCTTATCTCTCTGCCAAGCAACAATCACTATCTCTATCTGTTTCTTGTTTCCTGTCGACAAAAACATTGATAACTACAAATTTGAATTTTTTCTGTGGAATCTGCCTGTTAAATTTAGCGCCAGTATTTACCTTTCTAAAGTGTTCCATCTTTAGTAAAAAGAAGATTCCTACTTATTAAAAAAGAGCGTTTTTTAAATCAGGCAGTCGAACCATGGGCTGTTAAGTCTGTCACAGCCATCACTGAGCGATTTGCGTTTAACTAATGAACGAACCGAAATAATTTCCTTCCTGAAGCGGTTTCTCTGTCAAAACAAAATGAAAGTTAATTTCAGAAAATAGCCTCACGCTGTTTTCAATTGTTCATGGGCTCATCCAATTGGTTAGTTTTTCTTTCGAAGATTTTATCTCCTTTTCCATAGCCAGAGGTTTGTTTTCATGCCGTCTGAAAGTATTTCAGATGTCGTGATCCTACAATGCGTGTGCAACTCCTGTTTTGAATGTACGCCAAACTGTACATATCTAATTGTTTTGTAGTCCCAGCCAGTGAAGCAATGCGGCGCTATCTTGGGTAAGTGATTGACCTCGGGCTTTTCAGTGCTTGCCGAGTGTGTGTCAGATCAAAATTATGCAATGCTTCCAACTTGAAAGCAATGTTAGTGCATATATTTTATACTTATCAGAAGCGTTCGACGAACAAGCAACGGCAGCACATGACTGTAGTAACACCTATCACTCGTGTAGCGTGTAGCGACCAGCAAGTATAGTCATTAAACTGCACGTGTTTGATTTAATTAAACCAAACCTAGTTATTGATGATGCATTTATCAATCAGCATATCTTATTTCAAAATCGGATAAAAGCCTCTTTTCTTGATCGCTTTTTTTTTAATCCGATAGATCGTCAAGAGTTGACATTGAATTTTGTTTATTTCCAAGAAATCTGAGAGAAGTCTGACTGTTAACTGATCAAACAAAGTAGTTCCAGTTTGATGAATGAGTTCTCAAAACAATAGAACTCTTACCACGTTCATTTTGTTGCTAATCTCGATTTATCTAAAAAATTTATATCAGTGTTATGTCCAGGGAAAAACGAATTTCAAAATTTGAGGACAATCCGATGATCTAAGGAGCTATCACGTTATCTGAAATAGCCTATTGCTCAGTTCCCTAATTCTCATAGGTGATTGATAGGTAATTGTATTATTGGATTTCAGACATTGTATGCAGCCCGCCTGGTAGAGGTAGGAACCGAAAAAAATTAAAAACCCATCTGAAGCCATGATTGTGTTTCAAATTTACATTGTGATACAAGAGGAATAAAGAGTCTCAATGATAAGAACGTTTTTTTGTTCCATAGCAAACAGGTATTGCCACAAATGTTTCAAAGAAAGGAAATCTTTATAACAAGGAAACTGATCGTAGCCTTGACACACCCAGGAAAATTTTATATTAGTGAATTGAGCATTTCTCTTACGAAGAGTTTGAAGGGAAATAAATCCCAATTTCTTTCAGCTTTCATACAGGAAAGCAGATTGTTAGAGGCAATTGTTGAGAGCGCACGTTGAACGTTATCATTTTCCCCTAAATTTTTTTTTCCATAAGACAGGTTTTAAAATCTCATTTTCAGAGTTGGCGGCCTGTAAGGTTCATAGTTTCAACACAAAACGGTGATGGTACGAAATGAAGGCCTGACCTATAGAGCCAAAAAAACTTATGAACTAGTGCCGGCCTACTCAGTTTCTACTCAGCAAGTCCGCAGTGCATGTGATTGTTGCCTGGTTGGTACATGCTGATATGAATGCAAGTGATGTGGTTGTGCAAAATTTGTCTTCCTGAGGATGTCTTGTGATTCGGGCGCGATATTTATTGATCAAAACATGTCACCCGTAATTGACATATTAAACAGTTCAAGCAGAAAAACAAGAGCGATTGTCAGTTTTCAATTGCCACTATGTTCTTTAGGAAATTCGTTTACGATGAACTCGCGCTTTCTTTTTCCAGAAGCATTCTGATCCAAAACAATTTTCTCTCAACTGATAACCATAGTAAATATTGAAAATTAGCGCCGAGAATTTTAATCCCAATCTTACAATATTTAACTTATCGGAAGTCATTCTTTTACTTCGTTAAAATAACTTTGAAAGCCTAAGAAGCTTTGCTCATCGGGGAATCTTTTTAATATGGCGAGAGGAATTTTGTCTTGGAATATCCCACAGTTTACATTAATTCTGTCAGTTTTGGACGAGTTATGCAAACATTGGTTTGTGAATGCGCCCGCAATATCTGAAGTCGAAATCAAAACATTGCATTTCGTCAAGAGTTCTGCTGGTTGTTTAAGCGCTGCAGGATATTTTTACAAAATTTGCAAATTAAGACCCGCTTCACAGAGCTGTTTTTGTTTTAATGAAATTATTTTATTCATGGTTAATGTGTGAGCAGCCTTGAGGTCGGCGAATTGCGGGCGGTGAATACACGGAAAAATGGCGGAGGTAATCGAACACTTGGACTGAATAATCCGCGCAGAGTTATTAATTATTCTTCAGTCACAAGCTATCGCTAAAGTATAGATAACGTTGAATTAGTGCTCACTTTGATATTTTTTGTTTTCCCGACAGAATTTCCTGAAAACAGGGTGTATTTCGATGCAAATCAACCGAGCTGAGCTTCAGAAGGTTCGAGTAAAGCTCTCCCGGGATGCTTTGACCATTCAAAAGGAAGGAACTGGCAGTGTTTCCCCTTCTTCTTCTTCTCCAGTTAACCAGCCTGAGGTGGGTTTACATAACTTGTTTGACACTTTCCTGGTGTTTTTATCGCAATTTGCTGGACATTGGACTGGATATACATTTAATTTTTAACAAGTCGTGCTCACAGAGCGTTGACAAGAATCGATTTCATTGTTCAAGGTCAAAGACTAATTGATTGCCATGCAGCACTCACGTTCACGCATTTGACTCATCATAGCTCTTTTATTTCTTGTCACTAAATACGGTAGTTTTTATTTTGTATCTGAGTTCAGCAGGATAAGAAGATATTATATTGTTTAAATGTATTCCCTGGATTCCAGGAAAGGCGCAGTATAATGTGGACACTTCTTGTTCGGTACGATGATCATTTAACGAGAAAAAAATCCCTTAAAACTTTAACAAAGCATCACTTGTGATTGCTTCCTTTACAATTTCTCGATTTGATAAATGCATTTACACAATTTTCACTTGAAAAAAGTCAAATTCTTAGACAGGTCGGGCAAAATACGAAACAGAAAGGAAAACAGTACGGGTCACCGTTTAATCATCATTGTAAGTGATACATTGCGGCAAAAGCAAGCTCTGTTTATAATTAATGGCCTTAAGAACATTATTGTTCGCTCATTATGCCCGAAAAAAACTTATTAGAATTGGAACAATACGATTGCTTGTATCCGGTGAAAAAAAAGACATCAGCTTTTCTATTTTCCTTGAAGCATTTCATTGTCGGAGATAAATGCTTTCACGATATACATTAGACAGTTATGTACATTAGTCATCTGGTCTATGAATGTAAAGATATTTGAGTTAAAAATACCCGAAAACTGTTTGTAGGTTATTATGTTTAAAAAATGAAACAGGAAGGAAAAAACAGAATAGTTTACATGTACTATTTTGGTTTAGTAAAACACTAATTTGTGTATGAAAACTGTTACATAATTTCGAAATGCCATTGATAATAACGAAAATGCATAGTAATTATTTGATAGATGGCACTTCTACATTAGTTAAAGGAACTTTGAGGTTGAGTGTTTAAACACTGATACTCTCTTAACTCTCCATTCACTTTCCACTTAATTTATTTGTGGATTATTGATGTGCACCTGGCTTGTTTATTTCTATTTGCATTAATTTGGGCATAACTTCAAGGCTGGTTTTCATCGGCAACAGAGTGGGATCTGGAGTCATGATTAAAGTTGTTGGAGCAATTTCGATTTTGTCAAAATTAGAAATCAGAGTGGCAGTATCATAAGCTTGATAGCACTGGGGTGGGAAAAATCACAACTTCTCAATTTTCTTAAGAGTTGGCTTATGGCTCTGACACACTCATGATCCTGGGTAAACAAGATAGTTCTATACAGGATCAAAGACCAGCAGAAGTTAATCCTACGGGCAAGGACCTGGCACTTCAATCAAGAAGATACTGTTGTCAGGGGACACTTTTTGTTGTCCCATGGGAATCCCTAAACACAGGTCCACTGTATAACCTCTGTATCTGGGTACTAATTGAAGGGACACTCCTATTCAGGGAACACTTTTTCTAGTCAGGGTGCCCCCTAAATGTATGTACCACTAGATTTGCTGTCCAAGGTGTGTTTTTGTTAAGTAAATGACTGCAGTCATCCTCTAGTTTCCTTACCAATACTTCTTAAAGCCATGCAGATTTACATCTGTACTCACGCACTGTCAGCTGTTTTATTTTTTCATTTGTTTCCAGAGCACAAATGGCAAAGCTGAGTCCCCAACATGGAAGAGATCCCCATTTACTGTAAGATATTAAGCTTATCAATATCCACCAAACAATCCATGTTGAAAACTTACTGAAGAGTGTCTTTGGAAATGAGAAGAATGAAAGTTTTTTTTATCTAAGTAGTATGCTAAGTTGATTACAGTTCACACCCAATCAAAATGAGTGTCCAAGGGACAGTGAAACATTGGATGAGAATTTGAATGTTTGTATTTATGGAAACAAAAATTAAGAGATTGCCTGTAGGAGTAAGGGTTGACACCTAATTTATTACATTTAACTGCATATGGCACCTTGTTGAGCAGAATATGAACTTGGGTCATATTTGGGTAGAATATGGGTACCCTCTCACCATTGTACCATAAAAACTGTTGTGTATCTTTGTGTCTATAACGTACATTTCATGAATTACATCACTTGAAACCTGTAACCAGTTGATAAGTTTTGGATTGTTTCATTGGAGATGTTTCCAATTCAGATGGGATGTATTTAGGGGAGGACCATATATTAAGTAAGAATATCCATGCAAGCAAGTCTTCTTACAAGATCCACTGAAAAATACTCACCTGATCAAAAAAATCATACCCCAAAAGAGAGAACAGAAGTTTGAAATATAGCTTTGATTTATTTTTTTTCAGAGCACAAATGGTGAAGCTTCCTCTCCTACTCAAAAGAAGCCAACACCCCCCATAGGGGTATGTTGTTCCTAAGTGTATAGTGGTAATATAAGTCAAATAAATGTTACAATAGATGAGAAATAAGATGTAGTGTCTGATATACTTTATTGTGTTGACTGCAGATTTATACAATATAGGCAATTATAAACAGATCAGTCAGTATCAGACTCGTGGGATCATTTTTATTCCTAGGAAAGAAAAGTGAAGCTCACCAAGAGAAAAGTAGGGGGACTGGGAATGAGTATTAAGGTAAGCATTGATAGAGAAAGCTTTTGCCTCCTTGAGTCTCTTTGCCTTTTTGCTTTTTAAAGGTCAGTGCACCTCACTGTATTAAAAAATATATTTTATAGGGAGGACGAGAGAGTAATCTTCCAATAGCTATCTCAAAAATATACAAAGATCAAGCAGGTATAACTATATTACTCTGTAACTTTTACTTGTCATTAATACCCTGGAAATTCGTGTAGTATTTTTTTTGTTTTAATCAATTTTCTTTTGCTGTCTTAGCTTATGAAACAGGTCAACTTCATGAAGGTGATATTATACTTGAGGTCAGTATAGGTAGAGGATGATTTTTTCACAGGCCTTTTCAGGCTTAAGTTACCTCAGAAAAACTTTCTTAATTGGTATATTAAGGTCTGACCCTTTGATCTCTGTCATGCTACCTTTGATGTGTATTCATTGTCAAATTCATAAGCTGTTATGTACTCTCCCTACAAAATATCTACTCAGCTAATTATTATGTTTTTTTTTTTTAGGTTAATGGACAAGACATAAGAAGAGCCACACATGATGAGGCAGTAAGTTGAACCAGTTCAGGCCCTCATGTTTGGTTTGTTTTACCCTGGATGTGTTCGCATGGTTCCCAAAGTGTTAAGTTTTTATAAATGTCCTTTTTTTCTAGGTAGCTGTTCTTAAAAAGGGAGGTTCAGAGATTGAACTAACTGTCATTCACTCTTCTTCCCATTCATCAGGTATTCATGATAATGCAGGCAAAGATTAGTTATATATTTAATATTTATTGCGTGGAAAGAGAAAATAAGAAATGACTTGTGGTGGGAAAGCCTGGGTTTCATACATGTTGGCCAGAACTATCCCTGTTAATAGGGTTTTTGATAGGTTTGCACAGTCCTCTATTGGGCAGTTTCTGTTGTATTGTTCAGTTCTGTGGTACAATTGTGTCTCCACATTAACCTAATGCTTCATTCATTTTTAGTTAATGATAGTGAAATGACAGCAGGAACAACTTCTGAAGTGAGTCAGTCCAGTGTATCAAAACAAGGTATGTTATACTATGAAGACATTCAATGGTTTTCCCAGTTCAGTGTTGTTAGCCTGTACTTTTTTTTGTTCTCCTCTTTGCTCTCTTCTCCTGCACTACATTTCTAAATGAAATCCCTGCCAAGCTACATTGACAATATAAATTATTAGAGGTCAAAAAGGTTTCTTTGATACCTGTGGGTTCATATTAAGTTATTTTAAATTTGGTGATTTCATAATACTTTTGTGGAAAATCCAGTATATTTCTAATGATACACATAGTAAGGGTTGATTGATTTTTCCTTTCAAAGCAAATGGAATTGTTAGAAGTGTTGAAGAGTCATCAAGTGATGCTGAATGTAGAGAGAACAGCAGTCAAAAGGTACATTTTGTTACAAGTCATATCTCAGAAATATAGAAAATCCTT